TNTNTTTCCCCCCCCCCCCCCCGCGCGCGCGCGAGAGAGAAGCGACGCGCGACGGCCTCGGGCGCGGCGCGGTCGTCCGCGAGACGGGACGCGGAGGTCGCGCGCGCGTCGCGCCGGGACCGGGCTTCGTTCGGCCGGGGCGATCGACCGAATCTCGAGCGCGCGCGCGCGAACGCGAACGGCACCGCCTGCGACCATGACGACCATCGGAAAGATCACCGAGCTCGGGGACTCGCTCATCAACGCCGCGCTGGACCGCCTCGAGGACGAGCTCGAGTCCAGGCTCGACGCGACCGGCTTCGCGGGGACCAACCCCTCCTCGATCGGCGACGTCGCGCTGTCGTCCGACGCGATCGCGAGCGCGAAGGCGTGCGCGAAGTGGTGGACCGAGCTCGCGCTCGCGGAGAAGCGCGAGGACTGGACGTCCGCGGCGATGGAGATGGCATCGGCGAAGGAGGACGGCGAGGCGCGCGCGAAGGCGCTCGGCGTCGTCGCGAAGGCGGCGAAGAAGGACGCGTCGGATCCCTCCGCGGCGAGCCAGAGGGCGCTGATCAAGGCGATGGGCGACGAGGTGAACGCGACGAGGACGCGATGCGAATTCGCGGAGACGGCGTTCATGTCGACGCTGAACGATCTGGACGACGCGCCGGACCCGGCCGAGTCGCTGACGAAATCGCTCGCGGCCGCCGAGGCGCTCGGCGCGCTCGCGAGCGAGGCGGCGACGCTGCGGAGGGAGCTCGACGCGGCGAATCGAAGCCTCGCGTCCGCCGCCGCCGACGCCGCCGTCGCCGCGAGAGAGAGAGCCGAGCTCGAGGCGCTGCGCGAGTCGCGAGAGAGAGAGGTGGACGCCGCGGTCGCGACGCGCGTCGCGGACGCGGAGAAGACGGTCGCGGAGCTCGAGGTCAAGCTCGAGGCGGCGGCGGTCGCGAGAGAGAAAGCCGAGGCGGCGCTCAGGCGCGTTCTACCATCTCACACTGGTTCCCGTACGACCGCGTCGGCGCGGTGAACGCCGATCCTTAAGGACTTTTTCACCCGGCGGCGCATTTCTCCGCCCACCCCCCCACGCTTTCAATCCCGACGCACACACCTCGACGCCTTTCAACTCCGCTTCTGACGCCTTTCAACTCCACCCCGACTTCGCTTTGAATGGACCCTCGACCCTCAGGGAGACGGCGCGTCGTCACGACGACGCGCAGGGCCGGCTGTTCGAGCTCGAAGAGGCGAGAGAGCGCGGGCGCGACGTCGACGAGCGCGAGGACGCGTCTCTCGTCGAGGAGGTGGAGCGCATGCGACAGGAGACCGCGCGGTTGAGGCAGGAGCTGAACGCGCGAGGGGCGCGAGGAAGCGACGGCGCGAGCCCGGCGTGGGCGGCGGCGGCGGGGATGGGCGCCGGCGCAGGCTCCGGCTCCGGCGACGCCGGCGGCGACGGCGCGTCCGTCGCGGCGCTGAAAGAGAAGCTCGTGGTGTCGAACCGCGTCGCGGATCAGCTCAAGACCGCGATCGAGGAGACGGAACGCGCGCTCGAGCTCGCGAACGCGCGCGCGGTGGATCAGGCGGTGGACGCGGCGAGAGAGCTCGCGAACGCGAACGCGACGATCGCGGACCTGGAGCGGCGGCTGCGCGAGGCGCCGAGTCGCGCGTCGGTCGCGGCGTCGGAGGCGAAGATCGCGACGCTGCGCGCGCTCGTGGACGCGGAGGACGCGGCGGACGACGACGTCGAGCAGCTGACGCCGTTGCTCGCGGTGCAGCGGCGGAATCGGCGGCTGAGCGACGAGCTCGCGGCGTCTCGGCGCGAGACGTCGGCAGCGAAGAGGGAACTGAGAGACGCGACGCGACGCGCGGCGGACGCGACGGCGGAGCTTCGACGACGCGAGCAGACGATCGACGAGCTCGAGCAGCACCTCGTCCGCGTCGGCGGCGGCGGCGAAGGGGCTGATGGTGATAAAACGGCTAAACACGGCGCGGTACTCGACCCGGACTTGCTCCCGGTGGTGGCGGGACAGAGGGACCGGCTCAAACGCCGCGTCGAAGACCTGGAGCTTCAGACCGGGGCGTTAGAGGCCGACCTCGAGGCCTCGCGCGCGTCGGAAGCCAAGCTGAAGAGCGACAACGTGTCGCTGTTCGAAAAAGTGCGGTACTTGCAGTCGTACTACGCGGAGAAAGGCGCCGGCGCGAACGGCGGCGGCAGAGGCGGGCAGACCATCGTTCGCGTCGACGCCGCCGGCGTGCCCGCGCGGGGCGGCGTCCTGGGTGAGTTGATGCAGCGACGCGCCGCGCGCTACGGCTGCATCCCCGGCGGCGGCGTCGGCGGCGGCGCGCGCGGCGGCGGCGTCGGACTCGACGCGCTCCCCGGCGGCGACGACGGCGGCGTCGTCGCGCGTTACGATGAGGCGTACCGGCTGTCTATAAATCCGTACGAGAAATTCCGCGCGAGCGAGGAGAGCGCGGGGTTGGGTCCGGGCGGGAGAGTGGCGCGGAGCGTGCTTCGGACGCGCGCGTCGCGGACGATGTTCGCGCTGTACTTTTTGCTTCTGCACGCGACCGTGTTCTGGTGCGTCGCCGCGCGAGGGAGCGGCGCGGTAGCGGGGAGAGCGGCGAGGTAGGACGGCGACGGTAGATAGTCATCACTCAGAGTGTAGACAGAAGGCACTCCAGTGCACTGGTTCGTCTCTCGGAAAAGTCAGTTCCGGCCGCCACCAATGCTCGGATCGAGCCGCCGGTCGTCGTCTCGTCACAACGCCTCGGCGCCGCCGCACGCGTTCACCGCTCCCGCTTCCATCCCGCGCGATGTCCGACGACGATAAGAGCCCGAATCGCGAGCCGGAAGAGGCGATGGACGCCTCGGACGACGACGACGACGACGACGACAAGAGACGCGCGCGGTCGCCGGTCCGGGAGGATTCGCCGATGAGATCGCGCAGCCGCTCGCGCTCGAGATCGCCTCGCCGCTCGCCGCCGCGGCGCGACCGCGAGCGCGACCGACGCCCGTCGCCGGAGGGCGACGTCATCGAGGTCTCGGACAAGGACGCCGCGTTCGTCCTCGGCAGGGTGCGTCCCGCGCGGCGACGCCCCTCGAGCGTCTCGTCCGATCCGTCAATTCTTCCTTTCCAATCGTCGCGCCGTCATCATTCTCGTTCGTCGTCGTTTCATTGCGTTCACCTTCGTTCGTTCGTCGTTCTCGTTCGCTCGCCCGCCCCGACCCGAACGCGCCCTCATCGAACACCACCGCCGTCGTTCCCCTCGCGACCAGGGCGGCTCCACGAAGAACAAGATCGCGCGCGTCTCCGGCGCGAAGCTCGACCTCCGCGACGAGGGCAGAGGCTCGGGCGGCAAGCTGTTCATCTCCGGCGACGCCGCCGCGGTGACCCGCGCCAAGGACTACGTCGCGTTCATCCTCCAACAGCGCGTCGGCCCGGTCGCGATTGACCCTAACCTTCGCAGGGACGACCTGTCGATCGTCCGCGTCCCGACCGAGTGCGTCGGGTTCGTCATGGGACGCGGCGGCGCGGTGCTGAGGGACGTCGAGGAGGAGGGGACTCTGATGTTCTTCGCCGAGCCGAAGGACTCGGGCGCGTCCTCCTCGCACCGGTTCCCATACGACCGCGTTCGCGTTGTGAACTTCATTCCTTAAGGACTTTTCTCCCCGGCGTCTCTCTCCGCCAACCCCTCGCTCACAATCCCGACGCGCCTCGACGCCTTTCAACCTCGCTTCTGACGCCTTCGACTCCGCCCCGACGTCCCTTCAGGCGCCAAGCGGGACGAGGAGATCCTCGCGATCTTCGGGTCGAGGCGCGGGCGCAGAGGCTCGGAGCTGAAGGTGATGTCCGCGGTCGAGCACAAGAAGCCCGGGGCATTCTTAGACGGCGAGAGCTTGCGGACGCCGCTGGATCAGCCGGGCGACGGCGAGCCCGGGGACGACTTCGACTACGACACGTTTCCGTTTTCGGCGGATGAGTTTTCGTACGCGCTTGGCGCTCGCGGGAGCACGCGAAAGAAGCTCGCCGCCGCCGCCGGGTGCATCATGGAATACATCGGGACCGTGGCGTTCATCGCCGGGAACGCGCGCGAGCGGCGCCAAGGCCGCGAGTACCTCGAGTGGTTGATGACACAGCGAGAGGGGAAGTTGTACGTGGACGTGAGCGATCGCGACGACGTGACCATCGTGGAGTGTCCGAAGGCGCACGTCGGCTACGTGACGGGGCACAAAGGGGCGAACTTGCGCTCCGTGGAGCAAAAGACGCGGACGTTCATTTTCACGAACGAGCCTCCGGCGGGGGACGAGAGGGACGACGGGGACGACGACGTGAATGACGTCGACATGGACGACGACGGAGGCGGCGAGAAGAAGAAGAAGAAGAAGAAGTCGTCCGCCGCGCGCGGCGGGCGGGAGGGGTTCGAGACCATATGCGTCTTCGGCGACGACCCGAGGGATCGCCAGCGCGCGGCGCGAATCATCGAGGACGAGATCGCGTACTCCGAGAGGCGCGATCGACGCGGCGGGCGCGGCCGCAGCCGCAGCCGCAGCCGCGACCGGTACGACGACCGGGGCCGGGACAGGGACAGAGGAGGCAGGGACAGAGGAGGCAGGGACAGGTCCTACGACCGCGATTACGACGACAGGAGGAGGGACGATCGACGCGGCGGCGGCGGCGGCGGCGGCGGGTCGCGGCATCATCCGTACGGAGACAGACGAGAGCCGAGGGAGAACACGCGGAGGCACGAGGGCGAAGGGCACAGACGGGACATCTGCTACGACTTCTTGAAGGGGCGGTGCAACCGCGATCGATGCAGGTTTTCGCACGACGACTCTTCGGGCGGCGGCGGCGGAGGGAGACGCCGCAGTCGCAGTCGCAGTCGAAGCCGAAGCCGAAGCCGCGGTCGCTGAATTCGCTGATTAGCGTCGCGTCGCGAGATCAGGAGCACGTCGGTCGTCCGTGTCTCGCGTTGTACATACCACCCACGTCGACGCGTGCGCTACGAACCCTAAACCTAAACCTAAACCCCTACCCCCTACCCCCTACCCCCTACCCCTTGACCACGCCGCACGCGACGAGCAGATCGCGCGCGGCGTTGTTGATGTGCTTGAACCGATCCGGGCCGAGGTGAATCCCGCCGTACCACCGAGTCACGACGACGCACACGTCCGTCGCGTCCGTGACGTGAAGCAACCGAAGCAGCCGCCCTCCCGCGGCGCTCTCGCCGTCCTCGTCGTGGTCCGCCGCGTGCGTGCCGTTCGGGAGTTTGATCCGATAGGCCATGATGTTGTGCGTCGCGCGCGCGACTTTGCCGTCGCGTCGCAACGCGCTCATCACGACGTCCACGAGATTTGGGTCCGTCACGCCCGTCACGAGGTGCGCCTGGAACGTGCTCTTCTTCTCCGTGAACGGCGTGCCGTGCACGATGCGCGCCTCGACGTCGTCCTCGGTCCACCCCATCAGAGCGGCGTCGCCGTCGCCATCGCCGTCGTCGCCGGCGCCGCGTCGTCGTCCGCGGTGATCGCGATCGTTCGACGCGCGCTCGAGCGCGAGCGCCGCGAGCTCAGCCTCGAGCGCGTCCGCGTCCCACACGTCCCCCGTCTCCTCCTCCTCCTCCGCCGCGTCATCTTCGTCGTCGCCGTCCTCCTCCTCCTCCTCCGCGTTCGCGTCGTCTTCGCCGCCGCCTCGGAGCTCGTCCTCCTCGCGCCATCGTTCCATCGTGTCTCGGAGGCGCTCGACGACGTCGTAGACGACCTCGTCCCCCGCCCATCGCGTCGCCATCTCGCGCGTCGCGATCTCGTGCCTCCCGAACGGGAACATCTCCGGCGGCGACAGTTCGAACAGCGGCGCGGCGGAGGAGGGGTACGACGGCGGGAGGAACGCGCGGACGCGGACGCGCGACGGCGCGCGCTCGCCCGTCGCCGCGAAGTAGGCCGCGGACGTCGCGTCGGACGAGGAGGACGTCGGCACGAGGATCTCCCAGACGCACTCGTCCGCGCGGATGAAGTCGTCGCCGTAGATGGCCGCGAGGGCCTCCGCCTCCTCCGCGCGGCGCTCCGCGTCGGAGATCTCCATCGCCCTCCCCCGCGCGGCGCGCGGACTGCTATGACGAGACGCGACGACGACGACGACGGCTGATTCAGAACATTCTTTTCGCGATACAACCTGATGACTCTCGTCCTCTTCGACTCGCATCACGGCCCCGCCGCCTCCGCCGCCGCCTTCGCCGCCGCCTCCGCCGCCTCCAACGCGTCGTACCTCTTCTGCGTCGCCGCCTTCTCCGCGGCGCGCTCCGCCTGGATCTTCTCCCGGAACCGCGCCTCCGCGGCCTCCGCGGGAGAGTACGCGGGACCCGGGAGGACGTACCGAGGCGGCGCGCCGGGCTCCGTGCCCGGCATGCACGGCGTCACGAGGTTGCACTCCACCGCCTCCGCGCGGTCGGCGCCGAAGAGGAGCGCGGCGGCGCCGAGCGCGGCGGCGCGGCGGGACACCGCCGGGGGGGGCGGGGTCGTCGCCGCGCATCGCGTCGAGCGCGCCTGTCGGGAGACGCGGGGACGGGGACGGGGACGGGGACGGGGACGGGGACGGGGACGGGGACGGGACGGGATGGATGATGAGCGGCGCGTCGATCGAACGACGGACGATCGCGACTGACGCGCGAGGATAGTCTAGCTAGATAACGCGCGACCGCGGGGCGGAGACGGATCGAGGGCGGGGCGTCGTGCGCACCGCGCGCGCGGTCTTCGCGGCGGGAGCCTTCGCGGCGGCGACGCGGAAGGAGGCGACGGAGGACATGCTCTCAGACGACGGCGTGCGATGCGCGGCGCGTCGGGGACGAATGAAGCGCTCGGGCGCCGTCGGAGCGCATCATCGTCTGTTTACTGTTTTTGTGTCGTAGATTTCAGCCGTCGCGTTCGGACTCGCGACCTCGCGCGAAGCGAAGGCGGCGGTGGTTCTCCGTGATCTATCGCGCGTGATGTGATATGTACATCCATCGTCCGTCGACGCGCCCGCCGCCGCCGACCTAAGCACAGCGAGAACCGCATCCGTCGCCGTCGCGGCGTCACCGAGCCGAGTTGCCAAAGTACCCGAAATACTCCGGGCCGATGCTGTTCTCGACGAACGACCGCCGCGTCGACGCGTCCCTCTGATGCTTCTCCTCCCTCTGCGCGCGCACGGTGTTAAACACCGCCGCGCGCTGCTCCAGCTTAAACTGTTCCACCTGCTCCGCGCGCTGCTCGAGCGTCTTCCGCACCAGCTCGCTCTGCGGGTCGTTCCGTACAATGCGAACGTCGGGGTGGAGTTGAAAGGCGTCAGTTGGCGTTGAAAGGCGTCGAGGTGTGTCGGGATTGAAACCGTGGGGTGGGCGGAGAGACACGCCGGGAGAGAAAGTCCTCAAGGATCGGCGTTCACCACGCCGACGGGATCGTATGGGGACCAGTGTGAGATAGAACGCGCCTGCGCGAAGTGCGCGCGATTCGCCGCCGCCTCCTCCTCCGCCGCCGTCGCCTTGGCGTCCCTCTGCGCCTGCTGCTCCGCCGCGTACCGCAGGTGATCCTCGCGACGCATCCCCTTCCAGTGGTCCGCGCGCACGCGCGTCTCGCTCAGGTAGTTAGTCGCGCCGACGCTCGGATCCTCCGCGAGCGTCGCGTCGACCGCCACCGCCTCCGCCTCCGCCTCCGCGGCGGCGTCCGACGCGTGCTTCTCTTCGATCGCCCTCGCGAGCGCCTCCTCCGCGAGCGCCGCGTTCTCGCGCGCGACGTCCCTCTCGAACGCGCGCCGCGCCTCCTCCTGCGCGGCGACGACCGCGCTCTGGTACGCCTCCTGCTGCTTCACGAGCTCGCCGTGCGCGATCTCCGCCTCTTGCTCCGCGAGCGTCGCTGCGTCGCGCTCGGCTTGTTGCGCGTCGCACCACGCGCGTTGCTGCGCCGCCTGGACGCGTCGGCGCTCGCCCGCGCGCAGGTCCTCGCCCTCGAAGACTTGCGCGGAGGAGACGCCGATTCGCGCGTCGGCGTCGCCGACGCGCGCGGGGAGGGAGTTGCGCGTCGCGTTGGGGTCGCTGAGATCGTACTCGCGTCGCTGCTCCTTTTTCTGTTGGAACGAACGAAGACGCGGAGCGCGCGGGGTGAGCGAAATTTCCAAATTGGGTCAGACGCGGGGACGGACGGACGGATGGATCTAGGCGGGAGCCGCGCGCCGCGCGAGGATCGCGCGCTCGACGCCCGCGCGCGAAGAAGGGAAAGCCTCAACGCGCCGCGCGGTCGCCGCCGTCGATGGGCGCGCACCTGATGCTCCTTGCGGAATTCCGCGACGTTTCTGTTGAGCGCCGCTTGCACCTCTCGGCGCTCTTGCTCCATCAGCACGAGCTGCTTGTCGTAGTACGCCGTCATCGACGCGTGGTGCTTGTCGTACTCCGCCTCGCGCGCGGCCGCGAGCTGCTTCTCCGCCTTCTGCGCCGCGAGCGCGTTGACGTCGACCTGAAGATCGAGGCGGGAGAGGAGGGAAGGAGCGACGCGTCGGCGCGGCGGTCGAGACGACGAATGATGGATGCGCCCCCTAAAAGGGGTACGACGACTCTCTGACCGGGGGCGACGGAGGACGACGGCGAGAAGACGCGACGCACCCCGAAGTTGCGCTGCTTCGCGTTGAAGATGAGACGCTTACGCTCCTCCATGTCGAACCGCTTCGTGCGCGGGAAGCGCGGATCGCCGATGATCGCGCTCATCGTGCGTGCGACGCTCCAGGAGCGCGCGGGCGGATGTGGACGGGTGATGCATTTTTAGTAGTCCCCGCTGGAGGAACGTTCATCCGTGGTCGGTCGACCGGTCCCCGCGTGCGGCGAGCACCGCCCCGCGCTCGCGCGAGCCGCGCACACCGACGAGCGCGCCGAGCCAACGCACGCGGTCGCGACGACCGCGCGTCAGTCGCCGGCTCGCGAAGCGCGCGCGCACGCGCGGAAGGAGGGCGCGAGAGCGCGCGCTCGCGTCGAGGGAAGAAGGGCTTCGAGCGCGCGACGCGACGGCGAAGAATCGAGGCGCGAGATCTCACGCGCGTGGGGCGCTCCGACACGCGACAACAGCGCGGATCGAACGGTCGATCGCGGAGAGGCGCGGGACCGGCGACGGGAGGAAACGCGGGACGCGCGACGCGATGACGGGCAAGGAAAACGACACGCCGAAGACGGAGAAGGTGCGCGCGTCGCGACCGCCGTCGAACCCTCCCCCGCGTCGCGATCCCTCGCGCGCGCGTCGCGGGCGCACCCTCGATCCTTCCGCCCTTCCCGCCAACGCGTCAGTCGCGCTTCTGTTCGTCCTCTCGCGAACGAATAATTAATTAATCTAATCTGATCGATCGTCCTGACGCTCTCTCTCTCTCTCTCTCTCCCTCCCTCCCTCCCTTCGCAGCAGGATGGCGAGGAAAAGCAGGAAAAGAAGGCGCACCACACCGGCGGCAACGCCCGCCCGCCCGTGGACACCTCCCTCCTCCCCCCGAAGCCCAAAGAGGAGGACGTCGTGAAGGTGCGTTCTATACACTGGTTCCCATACGACCGCGTCGGCGTGGTGAACGCCGTTTCTTAAGGACTTTTCCCGGCGCATCTCTCCGCCCATCCCTCGCTTTCAATCTCCGCCCTCGGCGCCTTTCAACTTCAACTGACGCCTTTCAACTCCACCCCGACGTCGTGAAGGTCAAGCACGCGGCGTCGGGCGTGATGCTTCCGCTCGACGTCGGCGCGCGCGTGAGCTGCCGTTGGCGCGACGGCCAGATGTATCCGGTGCGCGTGATCGAGCGCAGGGCTGGGCCGAAGGGCGTCCTGGGGCAGGAGGAGTACGAGTACTACGTGCACTACGAGCAGTTTAATCGGCGGTTGGACACGTGGGTGACGATCGCGGACATGGATCTCGACACGGCGGAGACGGATGACGACAAGAAGAAGCGCAAGGCGGAGGAGGTGGACGAGGAGCACGCGGATTTCGACCCGAACGCGCTGAGGGAGCACGAGGAGTGCACGAAGGTGCGCAACATCTTGTCCGTGGAGCTGGGGAGGCATCAGATGGACACGTGGTACTTCTCGCCGTTCCCGCCCGAGTACACGACGTGCAAGAAGCTCTACTTTTGCGAGTTCACGCTCAACTTTTTCAAGCGGAAAGAGCAGCTGCAACGGCACCTGCGCAAAAACGAGATGTACCACCCGCCCGGGGACGAGATCTATCGCAACGAGACGCGAGGGCGGACCGCGGCGTTCTTCGAGATCGACGGCAAGAAGGACAAGATCTTCTGCCAGAACCTGTGCTACCTCGCGAAGTTATTCCTGGACCACAAGACGCTGTACTACGACGTCGACTTGTTTCTGTTTTACGTCTTGTGCGAGGTGGACGAGCGAGGGTATCACATCGTCGGCTACTTCTCCAAGGAGAAGTGCTCCGAGGAAGGGTACAACCTCGCGTGCATCCTCACGCTCCCGGCGTACCAGCGGAAAGGCTACGGCAAGATGCTCATCTCGTTCTCGTACGAGCTCTCGAAGAAGGAGGGGAAGGTTGGCACGCCCGAGCGGCCGCTGTCCGATCTCGGCCTCGTGTCCTACCGCGGGTACTGGACGCGCGAGCTGCTCGCCATCTTAAAAGACCCGTCCCGCGCGGTCATGTCCATCAAGGACCTCAGCGAGCTCACGATGATCAAGACCGAGGACATCATATCGACGCTGCAGCACTTGAACCTCTTGGCGTATCAGAAGGGCGCGTACGTGATCTGCGCGGCGCCGGAGATCATCGAGAAGCACCTCAAGGAGGCGGGGTCGCCGGGCGTGGAGGTGGATCCGTCGAAGCTGATCTGGACGCCGTACAACGCGGAGAAGGAGTACCAGAACTTCCGCGGGTGAGGTTCGAGCGCGCGGCGCGCGCGCGGGGGGGCGAGCGGAGACGTTCGCGCGGCGGAGGGGGAGAGGGGAGAGGGAGTGTGATCATCATCGAAAGATTATTCCTAAAAATAGTGCGCAGCCGTTCGCGAGTCGATTTCTACTCGCGCGGACGTGCAGTGAAAATCTGTGATCCGTCCTTTCGCGATTAACTCGAGAACGACGGTTTAATTTTCGTAGACTCGAGCGAAAGGACCCAAGCCCTAGAACGCAGCGACTTGAAAAGGGAGTAATCGGCGCCGCTGCGCGCACTTCGCACGCGCGCGCGACTGTCCGGTACCTCACCGCGGCACGTCCAAACCGTAGATTAGCATCGTTCCGTGAACGAGCGCGATGATGCGTCGCGTCGCGAGCTCGATCCTGCGCGCCCAAGCGAGGAATGGCGTCCGCGCGTCCAACTTTCGCTTCGCCCCCTCCGCGCTCACGACGGAGGGTTTCAAGGCCCCCGACGCGATCGCGCGCGCGTTCGGGACCTCCGCGCCCGTCGCCGCGATGGGCGCGCAGGAGCTCTCCTCGCTCCTCGAGGAGAGGATCTCCGGGCACTACTCCGCGCTCGACATGGCGGAAATTGGGTGCGTGAACCGCCGATCGCCCGACGCGGATCCCCCGCCCGTCCGTTCGCCCTCGACCGATCTTGAAGCGTCCGTTCGCGAAGAAGGAAAGATCCGACCGCGTTCGTCCTCCGATCGGTCGATCGACGCCGCGCCGCGCCAACACGCTGACGACGCCCCCTTCCCCCCGCGCGCGCTCCCCCCCGTCCCTCTCCCCCAGCCGCGTCCTATCCGTCGGCGACGGCATCGCGCGCGTGTACGGCCTGAACAACATCCAGTCCGGCGAGATGGTCGAGTTCGCCTCGGGCGTCAAGGGCATGGCGCTCAACCTCGAAAACGACAACGTCGGCGTCGTCTGCTTCGGCTCCGACACCTCCATCAGCGAGGGCGACATCGTGAAGCGCACGGGCACCATCGTCGACGTCCCGGTCGGGCGCGGCATGCTCGGGCGCGTCGTCGACGGCCTCGGCAACGCCATCGACGGGAAGGGCGCGCTGACGGATGTGACGCAGCGTCGCGTCGAGATCAAAGCGCCGGGCATCATCGTCCGCAAGTCCGTGCACGAGCCGATGCAGACGGGTCTGAAGGCGGTCGACTCGCTCGTGCCCATCGGCCGCGGGCAGCGCGAGCTCATCATCGGCGATCGCCAGACGGGCAAGACGGCGATCGCGATCGACACGATCATCAACCAGAAGGGGGTGCACGACTCTGGCGCGGAAAACGAGAAGCTCTACTGCGTGTACGTCGCCGTCGGACAGAAGCGGTCCACGGTCGCGCAGCTCGTGAAGCAGCTGAAGGATAAGGGCGCGCTGGACTATTCCATCATCGTCGCCGCGACGGCGTCCGATCCCGCGCCGCTGCAGTTCCTCGCGCCGTACGCCGCGACCGCGATGGGGGAGTACTTCCGCGACAACGGCATGCACGCGCTCATCATCTACGACGATCTCTCGAAACAGTCCGTGGCGTACCGCCAGATGTCGCTCCTGCTTCGCCGCCCCCCCGGTCGCGAGGCGTTCCCCGGCGACGTCTTCTACCTCCACTCGCGCCTTCTCGAGCGCTCGGCGAAGATGTCGGACGAGGTTGGCGCCGGGTCGATGACGGCGCTACCCGTCGTCGAGACGCAGGGCGGCGACGTCTCCGCGTACATCCCGACCAACGTCATCTCCATCACGGACGGTCAGATCTTCCTCGAGACGGAGCTCTTCTTCAAGGGCATCCGCCCCGCGATCAACGTCGGTCTGTCCGTGTCCCGCGTCGGGTCCGCGGCGCAGATGAAGGCGATGAAGCAGGTGTCGGGCTCGCTGAAGCTCGAGCTCGCGCAGTACCGAGAGGTTGCGGCTTTCGCGCAGTTCGGCTCTGACCTCGACGCGGCGACGCAGTACCTGCTCAACCGCGGGAGCAGGCTGACGGAGGTGCTGAAGCAAGGGCAGTTCGTGCCGATGCCGATCGAGGTGCAGGTTGTCGTCATCTACGCCGCGACGAAGGGGTACCTCGACAAGGTGGACATAAAAAACATCGGGGCGTTCGAGGAGGGTTTGCTGAAGGAGGTGCCGACGTCGCTGTTGGACACGATTCGCAACGAGAAGGTGATCTCCGACGCGACCGACGCGAAGCTGAAGGAGCTCTGCTCGAAGTACACCGAAGGGTTCCTCGCGACGCAGTCCGCGTGAGCTCTCGAGCGGCGAGACGAGAAGACTTCCTTCGCGCGCGGCCGTCGACGGGCGAGATAAGACGGCGCGAGAGGAGAAGAGAACCGACCGGTGGCGGCGGCGCGCGCCCGTAACCGTCGGTGATGTAACCAGAAAATAACCTTACCTCTGCACTTGTTATCAAAGAGAGACACATCTCGACTACTGAACGCCCGCTCATAAATCTATTCGACACGACGACGCTTCGAGACGCGAATCGTCACCCGCCCCACGCGAGCGTCTCGCCGTGCGCGCCGAGAAACGCGGCGAGCGACGTCCCCTCCGGCGCGTGCCGCGCTCTGCTCGAGGGTAATTGTCCATACGAAGCGATCGCGGGGTGGAGCGCGGGGGCGCGTCAGTCGGAGTCGCGAGGCGTCGAGAGCGAGGGGCGTGCGGAGAGACGCGAGCGCGGTCGCGCGGGGACGAGCGAGCGCGAGGAACGCGTGTTCACGCGCCTGAGTTTTTCCGCGACGTCGACGCCTAGGCTCGCGTCTTGGCTCCCGTATCTCACCTCCGGCGGGCTCAGCGTCGGCTTCTCCCAGTTCGTCATCGTCAGCCGCTTCGTCTTGTGCGACGTCGACACGTCGTTTGCGAGCGCGAGCGCCTTGAGCCCGCACCCGCCCTCGTGCCCGAGCCGCCTCGCGACGTCCGCGAGCTCCGCGACGCGCACCGTCGTCGTCGTCTTCGTCGTCTTCGTCGTCGTCGTCGTCGCCGCCGCGTCGCCACCGCCGCCGCCCGGGAAGTCCCTCGCGAGCTTCCGCACGTCCTGCTTCACGCCGACGCCGACGAGGATGACGTTCGGGTGCGTCATGAGCGCGAGGATGTCCGCGTGCAGCGTCGCGTGGCCGACGAGCCGCGTCAGCACGCTCAGACCGCGCGCGTGCAGCTGCAGCAGCGCGACGCGATTAGGGGGCTCGCCGCGGACGTAGTTCGGCTTCCACTCGACGTCGAAGCCGACGGGCAACGCCTCGGCGTCGTCGTCGTCCAACCCCGCGCGCCAGGCGCGCGTCGCCTCCGCGGCGTGCGCCTGATCGCGCGTGCACACGACGGTCGCGTCCGGCCACGAGGGATCGGGACCGCGCCCTCCGATCTCGAGCCAGCACCCGCGGCAGAACCAGTTCCCGTCGACGCCGTCCCACTGGCACGCGACCACGGACGCGCACGTGCCGCACTCGGTGACGACGGGGACGAGGAAGACGTCGTCCGGCGGCCCCGGCGCGCGCGGCGGCATCGCGGCGCGCGCGGGGGGGCGCGACGGGACGAGTGACGTTTGCGTGAAGCGATTTTGAGCGGTCGTGGCCGCGAGCTGCCGTTTACGAATTCGTAAACGTTTCTATTCGCGTCCAGGTGCGTCCCATACACTGGTTCCCATACGACCGCGTTCGCGTGGTGAACGCCGATCCTTAAGGACTTTTCCCGTCGTCTCTCTGCGCCCACCCCACGGTTTCAATACCCGCCCTCGACGCCTTTCAACTCCACCTGACGCCTTTGAACTCCACCCCGACATTCGCTCGTATAGAACGACCCTCTATTCGCGGACTACCTACGCGCTCCTACAGCTTCGCCCTGGGCGCGAGCCCCGCGGCGGCTCGCATCTTCGCGAAGAACGACGCCGGCAGCGCGTCGTACTGCGCGAACGCGCGAGCGCGCTCCTCCCTCCGCGCGTCCGCGTACGCCAGCCCGTCCAAATCTCGGCGCGCGCGTTTACACCCGACGCCGCCGCGGAGATTCGCGGCGCTCGTCGCGAGCGCCGTCGCCGCCTCCATCAACCTCGGCGTCTCCGTCTCCACCCCGCCGCGGCGTCTGTCGCTACTCTCGCTGCCACTACTCTCGTCACCGCCGGCGCCGTCCGCGCGCAGGTAGTACGCGTCGTCGTCCTCCTCCTCCTCCACGACGCGGTGCACGAGCCCGAGCCTCGGGGTCGAGGGTCCATCGAGCGATGATGTCGGGGCGGAGTTGAAAGGCGTCAGAAGCGGAGTTTAAAGGCGTCGAGGTGCGTCGGGATTGTGAGCGAGGGGTGGGAAGAGAAAAAGGACGGCAAAAGTCCTTAAGGATCGGCGTTCACCAAGCCGACGCGGTCGTATGGGGACCAGTGTGAGAGATTGAACGCACCTCAGCGCCGCGTCGGCGTCGAGCGGCGCGCCGGCGAGGCTGACCGCGTTGGCCGCCTTCGCGCCCACGATCCGCGGCAGCTTCGCGCTCAGCCCCCACGACGGCAGCAGCCCCAACTTCGCGTGCGTGTCTATCCACGCCGCGCGCGGCGAGCACACGAGGACGTCGCACGCGAGCGCGAGCTCGAATCCGGCGTTTACGGCGACGCCGTTTATCGCGCCGACGATGAGAAAATCGCAGCGTTCCATCTGATGGACGATGTCGTTCGTGAGGTCGTTCGCGTCCATCTTGAACACGTCCTCCGCCGCGCTCAGGTCGATTCCGGCGCTGAACGCTTTTCTTCCGCGCGCGGCGAGGACGCACGCGCGGACGGCGGGATTTTCGGCGTCGCGAAGCTCCCTGAACGCTCGCGCGAGGTGGACGAGCATCGGTCTCGTGATGGCGTTCGACGTCGACGGCGCGTCGATGGTGACGACCGCGACGCGCGCGTCGGCGTCGAGTCGTTCGACGCGGATGGACATCGCGCGCGCGGCGCGGGCGGAGGGGGGGGGCGTCGACTCGCGGACGGACGACGCGGAGGAGGAGGAGGAGGAGGAGGAGGAGCAGCGGACGCGCCGACTGTTTGGCACTGCGTTGTTGAGTCGAGCTTTCTGCGTGCGTGAAAGCCAGGTGAAAGCTTTCTGTGCTGGAACCGTCCGAGACTCCGAGTCATAGTCGGGCGAATTTAGACCGTCGTTCTTGAGTCACCGGCGTCGGATGTGCTCTTCTTGGTCAGATTTCATCGGAAAGAACAGAGATCGCTTTTCGTCGACGCGTTTTTAACGGCGACACCGCGGCCGCCTCCGCGCGCACTCCGCTTCGCGCGTGGCACGCCCGAATCGACGCGCCGCGCGTTCGTGGACGCCCCGGCACCGCGTCGCGCGCCGCTCGCGCGAGGAACGAAGCGGAAGGAACGAGGCGACGCGCCAGCGCGCGTCGCGACGAACGCGGCCGGCGCATTCGTCGTCTACGATTCGACGCGTCGCGTGCTTCGCGCCGCTCCCGACGCCGACGCGTCCTCCCCCGCGCCCTCGCGCGCACGAGACGCGACGCCGCCGGACGACGGCGTGGATGCCGCGTCGGTAACGCCCCGCGCTTCGTGACGTCTCATCGCGCGAGAGGATGACGCCGGCGACCGCGGCGACGACGCTCGCGCGCGGCGCGGCGGCGGCGGCCGTCGTCCGCGCGTCGTCATCGTCGCGGTCGTCGTCGTCGTCGTCGCGTCGCGCGCCCGCGCGCCCCGCCGCGGCGGCGCCGAGCGGCGCGTCGCCGTGGACGCGCCGCCCGGCGCGCCGCCGCGTCCGCGACGATGACAGCGCGCGCGCGAGGGCGCTCGCCTTCGACGGCGGCGCGGAGCCGCCGCGACGCCGACGCGACCGCGATCGCCGCGACGTCGCGTCGTCGAAGACGTCCGCGGAAGAGGACGCGCTCGAGCTGAGGTACGAAGCCGCGCGCAGCGAGTACGGCGAGCTCAGGCGACGCGAGGCTGGCGCGAGCGTGGACGTCCTCGAGAAGGACGCGGACCTCGACGACGAAGACGCGGACCTCGACGACGAAGACGACGAAGACGCCGCCGACGACGCCGCGCGCGACCCTCTCGTTTCGTACAGCGAAGCCGCCGCGTCGCAGCTCAACGCCGTGGACGTCGGCGAGGACATGGAGACCAGGGAGGGGTGGATCGGATACAAGGCCCTCCTCGCGCAAATCACGCTGCTCGGGCTTCCCGCGCTCGTGAACAGCTGCATAGAGCCGGTGCTGAGCTCGGCGGAGACGGCGTGCGCCGCGAAGATTGGGACGATTTATCTCGCCGCGCTCGCGCCGACGACGTCGCTGTTCTCTTTCGCCGCGGAGGTGTGCTACGCGCTGTCCATCGTCGTCACGACCGCGGTCGCGAAGGTGTCCGCGGCGGCGGCGGCGGCGGCGGCGGACTCGAACTCGAACTCGAACTCGAACTCGAACTCGAACTCGAACTCGAACTCGAACTCGACGATCGCCGCCGCGGAGGACGACGGCGGCGCGGCTGTGGACGGCGGCGAGCTCCCTCGGATGGTCACCGCCGCCGTCGGCGCGGCGTTCGTCAGCGGCGGCGTCCTCGCCGCCGGCCTCGCGGTCGCGGCCGGCCCGCTGCTCGCCTTCATGCACGTCCCTCCCGCGGCGGCGCCCGTCGTGAAGAGCTACGTCGTCGTCCGCGCGCTCGGGTTGCCGTTCTTCGCCGCGTCCAACGCCGCGGAGGCGCGTTCATATTTACACTGGTTCCCATACGACCGCGTCGGCGTGGTGAACGCCGATCCTTAAGGACTTCCTTTTTCTCCTCGGCGATTCTCTCCGCCCGCGCCACGGTTTCGATCCCGACGCGCCGCGACGCCTTTCAACCTCGCTTCTGACGCCTTTCAACTCCGCCTTTCAACATCGCTTTCAGGGGGTCTTCGTCGGCCAACGCGACGGCGTCACGCCGATGCGCGCGTGGACGAGCACGGGGCTCGCGACGCTCGCGATGCTCCTCGCGGCCGCGCACCCGGAGTGGGGGCCGTTCGGGTGGGGACTCGTCGGAGCCGCGGGCGCGATCGCGGCGGGGCAGGTGTTCACGTTCGCGGTGTTCCTCCGAGGGCTCGTGAGGGACGGGCTGTTGATCTCGCCGTTCGGCGGCGCGGACGCGGACGCGGACGCGGACGCGGATTCCGCCGCGACGCGCATCCCCGGCGCCGACGTCGCGGGTCTCGGCGGCGGCGCGGGTGAAAAAGTCGTGGCCGCGTGCCTCGCGTCCGTCGCTGCGTGCAGACAAGCCGCGGACGTCATCAATCGCTCGAAGATGCTCAGCGAGATCGGCTGGCTCTTCGTCGGCGCGTTTTCGAGGATGGGGACCTACGCGGCGATCACCGCGTCCGCGTCGTCGTTGGGCGTCGTCCCGGGCGCCGCGCACAAGGTGGCGCTGGAGGTTTTCTGGCTCCTGTCGTTCCTCACCGAGCCCGTGTTCACCGCGTGCAACGCGCTGCTCCCGCGCGAGCTCGGCGCCGGCCGGTATCAGAGCGCGAGAAAATTCCGCGGCGCGCTCGTCGCCGTCGCCGCTGCGCTCGGCGCCGTCCTGGCCTCCGTCGCGGCGGCGGTGACGACCACGGGGGCCTTCTCCGACGACCCGCTCGTGACGACCGCGCTGCGTACGCTGACGATCCCGGTCGCGGCGTCGCTGGGGCTCAGCGCGACCGTGTACGGGATCGAGGGAAGCATCATCGGCGCCGGGGAGGTGGGGTACCTCGGGCGGACGCACCTGAGAGATTTTTTCGTCGTGTTGGCGTTGTTAAAGACGCACGAGACGTTCGCGTGCTTCGGCGGGGGGTTGGAGGGGGTGTGGTGGGTCTGCGCGACGTTCCAGGGGCTTCGGATCGCGCAGCATTGGCTGCACCTGGAGGCGAAGAAGCCGTTTTGGAGCCCGGCGGAGAGGAGGGACGGGAAGGCGAGGAAGACGATCGGGTTGAAGACCGCCGCGTGACGCGCTCGTCATTTTATCATTATTTTCGCGTTGAACGATTTGAACGATATCCATTCTTTATCACATCCATCACATCATCATCGCTCGCTCGCTCGCTCGCTCACGTGTACTTCCCCCCCGGGCCGAAGCTGTAGAACTCGTTGAAGTCCAGCCGCGCGCACAGCGACGCGAGGTTCGGCTCCAGGTGCGTCGACGCGTTGAGCGATTCCAACAGCTCGCGAAGCTGAAAGTCAAACTCGCGCTCGAGCTCCGACGCGGTCGCGACGAACGCCTCGTCCTCCGCGGCGTCCACGACCGCCGCCGCCGCGTCCGCGCGCGCGTTCATCCTGTCGATGGCGCTCGTCGCGCTCCGCTTCCCCGCGAAGCCTTCCTCTTCGCCGCCCAGAGACTTCCGCCCCGCCGCCGTCGCCGCGGAGTTCTCCGCGTCGGACGCGAGCCTCAGGGTCGTTCCATACAAAGCGAAGTTGGAGTGGAGTTGAAAGGCGTCAGTTGGAGTTGAAAGGCGTCGAGGGCGGGGATTGAAAGCGAGGGACCCTGGGCGGAGAGAGAGGACGGGAAAAGTCCTTAAGGATCGGCGTTCACCACGGCGACGGGGTCGTATGGGAACCAGTGTATAGAACGCACCTCGCGCTCGCGTCGGCGAATCTCAAACACGCCGACTTGATTTTCTCCAGCCGCCGCAAGATCGTCGGCCAGAACAGCATGCCCTCCTTCATGCACGCGTCCAAGAACGCGTCGTGCTCCGCCGCGAGCTCGTCCACGTTGGACGCCTCCGCGATCTTCGCCTCGAGCCGGTGCCAGTTGGGCTCGACGACTTCGCACGCGAGGTAGTAGACGAAATTTTGAAGGAAATGCAGCATGCGTTGAGAGAGGATGTACGCGCGGCCGAGCGACCCCGCGTCCGCGGTCGCGGTCGCTCGCGTCGCGCTGGACTGCCACGTCTGCCACGTGGCACACAACCGTCTTTCCACGTGTTTGCAGTGGAACATGTGGCGGAACAGGAGCTGATATTTCGTCAGCGCGCGTCGCGACAGCACGAGCGACACCGGCCACGGCGCCTCGTAATCCAGCGTGAACGTCTCGAACCCGGTCAACCTGAGCGCTTCTTTCGGGGTCATCGCGACGTGCGCTTCGTCGCCGTCGTACGCCACCCCGCCCGCGCCGGTCCCGTCGTCGCGCAGCGACTGAATCGACAGAAGCTGGTGGATGATCCCCTGGCGTTCCAACGCGCACGTGAGGTCCTCGTTGTGAGGGTCGGACGACGCCGAGGACAGCTTCAACGACAGCTCGAGTAGGCTCTGGAGCTTATCGACGCTGATGTCCGGCGCGCGCTTCGAGAGCTGCTCGCCCGCGATGTCCACGAAGTGCACGAGGAAGTCGCCCTTGTCCAGAAGGAAGTAGCGCTTCATGGAGAGCAGACGCGCGCGGAGATCGCCTTCGATCAAGACGTTGCGAAGCAACGCGTTCGACGCGTGCTTGAACGCGGCGTTGATCCGCGTCGCGTGCGTCCCCCGCGCGTCCGCGCCGAGGGCGATCCGCCCGAGGCCGTCGCTCGGGAGCGGGGGGAGGTCGAACGCGGCCGCGTCGTCGTCGTCGGCGGCGGCGCCGGCGGCGCCGGCGGCGGCGTTTGAAATCGTACCCGCCGCCGCCGCGGATCCCCTGGAGAACGTGCTCTCGCGCAACGCCGTGAGGTACTTCCCCGTCGTCAGAACCTTCTCCGCGAGGTCGCCGCCCAAGAACACCGGGACGTCCTCCCGCAGCGTGTACCGCGCGGACCAGTACCGCGAGTCGTACTCCTCGGAGAGCGACGCCTTGTCCAGGTCCGCGCGTTCGACGATCAAAAATTCGTCGTACGGATCCTCCACCCGCCCCTCGTACACCCACCTCTCCACAGCCTTCGCGTACGGCGCCGCCGCCGCGCGAAGCAGCCGCAGCAAGAGATCCCTCGCCGCGACGTCGCCCGCGCGCGCGCGCGCTTCTCGATGCAGGTGGTTCAGCAAGGGCGCGCCTCGCAGTCCCGGCGCCGACGCGGCGACGCGCGCCAACAGCGCCAACGCCGGCGCCGCGGGCTGTACGTAAAACCACAGCGCCTGCAGCGACAGCCGCCCGAGGTTCTTCTGGTGCTCCAGCTGCACGATCATCGTGTGCCAGTCGTGGAGCAGCTCGCTCATCTCCGCCGCGAGCGCGTGGCCGACGAGGCCGCTCTCGAACCGACGCGCGCGCTCCGCGTAGTCGGACGCCGTCGCCGCGGCGGCGCACAGCGGGAGCGCTTCTTTCGCGAGCGCGCGCAGCGACGGTTCTAATCCCTCGGAGATGTGAAACGTCACCACGCCTCCCGCGCCGCCGCCGGATCGCGAGGCGGTGACGTAGCGCCCCTCGACGCCCATCATCGCGTAGAGTAAGTCGTCGATCACGAGGAGTTCCTGGCACGCGGTGTCGTACTCTCCCAGCGGTTTCGGCGCGTCGCGCGCGACCGATGAACCGCCCGCGCCCGAGCCCAAGTGCGACCCGGTCAAGAACGGTCGATCGGACGTCCACGCCGGGAGCGTCGGGAAGTCGCGCCCCTCCACGAGCGCGTCGCCCGGCGCGCGGCGCGCGGCGACGACGGCGAACGCCGCCGCGTCTTCTCCTTCTCCCCGCGAAGAATCTCGCACTCTCGCCGCCGCCGGCGGCGTCGCCGCGCCGCCGAGGTCCAACCCCTCCATCCTTCGCCGCACCTCCGGCGTCATCACCCCGAGCGCGTCCGCGAGCGCTGCTCCCGCGCCGCCGCTCCCGCTCCCGCTCCCGGCGCCGCCGCCGCCGCTGCTCGAATACGCGGGGTTATGCGTCAGCGTCTTTCCGTCCATGGTTTTGAATCCCGTCATCCCCGGGGACGACCGACGTCCCTCGGGATCCGCGGCGAGCGCGTTCTCCTCGCTCGCGAACGTGAACTCCCCGGTGCTCGCGTTCGGGGGGTCGCGCGACAGCGAGCTGATCTCCGCGTCGTTCGGGGACGCGCCCACCTCGGACGCGACGCCGGCGCCGCGCGAGAAGTCGAAATCGGCGGTGTCGTCCCCCGTCGTCTCCGAGCTCGCCAGCATCGTCGCCCCTCGCGGCGTCGGCCGCCGATCGTCTCCGCGCGCCGCGCCGCCGTCTTCTTCGCCGCCGTCGACGCTCACCGCGGCGAGGACGTCCTCGTCCGCGACCACCTTGGCGAGCACGGCGAGGTACTTGTCCACCTCGGAGGCGTGCCCCGCGCGCTTCAGCCGGTCGTACGCGGTAGCGAACGCCTCCGGATCGCGCGCGCGCTCCCTGAGCGTCTTCTGCGCCTGCGCGGTCGCCACCTTCGTGACGTCGTACGGGGAGATCATCTTGCTCAGCATCGCGACGGACGCGGTCGCGAGCCCTTCCGCGCCCCGCCCCTCGCCGATCCCGAGCTCGGTCGTGAGCCTCGCGACGAGCGCGCGCAGCTTCTCCACGAGCTCCGCGTCCGGCGCGTTTCTCCCTCCGGACGACGCCATGGCGCGACGCGAGCCGCGAGGAGCGCGAGGAGCGGACTCTGTCGCCGGTCGCGTCTCTCGCGCGGCGGCGGGCGGGCGGGGGGTCGCGGCGGGCGGGTCCCTCGCGCGGCGTCCTCCGCGCCGACCTCGCGCGAGTGAACGAATGATTGTTGTACGCGTTGGCACTCACCTTTTGAAATCGATGCACTGAGCAGTCTCGCGCGCGGTGACCGACCGACCGCGTCTGCGTTGCGACCCGCGAACTGCTCGCGCGACGGACGAACCGCACGAAAGCGACGACGCCTCCCGTCCGTCGCCCTCTTTCGCACGCGCGTCGTCGCAAGTCGAACTTAGGCAGCCAACATGGTGCGTCTCCGCGCCCGTCTCTCTCCATCCGCGCGCGTCGCGATCGCGTCGCGTCGTCGACGGCGGCGCGTCGCGGCCGCGACGCGAGCGAATGATTTACGGCGTTCTCGACGCCGCGCGCGCGGTGACGGACGACGGGGTTTCTTCGATCCCGCCGCGCGCGCGACTCGAACGCCGCGCCGCCCGCGCCGCCGTCGCGTCCTTCGTCTCGCGTCATCGTCGCCGTCGTCGCCGTCGTCGCGTCGTCGTCGCGGCCGTCGCGACGTCGCGACGTCGTCGCGCCTCGTCGCGGCCGTCGCGTCCGGCGCGGTTTTTTTAGGGTTTGCCCGCGCGATGATGATGTGATGATGGAGAAAGGGAGGGGCGAGTGGCGACGCCTCGCGACGACGCCTCGCCTCCTCCCCGCCTCCCTCCTCCATCGCGCGCGCGCCGCCCACCCCGCCCCGGTCGCCGCGCGCGGGCCCTCCCATCCCTCCTCCCCGCGAACGCGCGCTGACGCGTCGCCGCCTCCTCCCTGCCTCTCCCCTCCTCCCGAAAATCATCTCAGGGGATCGACCTCGAAGCGGGCGGGCGCAACAAGGTGAAGCACCGCACCGCGCCAAAGTCCGAAAACGTCTACCTCAAGCTCCTCGTGAAGCTCTACCGCTTCCTCGCGCGCCGCACGGACTCGGACTTCAACAAGACCGTCCTCAAGCGTCTGTTCATGTCCAAGATCAACCGCCCTCCGTTGTCGCTGTCTAAGCTCGCGAAGTTTCACAAGGGGGGCGTGTCCGCGATCGTCGGGACCGTCACGGACGACGCGCGCATGTTCGAAGTGCCCGCGATGAAGGTGTGCGCGCTTCGATTCACGGAGACGGCTCGCGCGCGGATCATCAAGGCTGGCGGCGAGTGCATGACGTTCGATCAGCTCGCGCTCTCCGCGCCCACGGGCGACGGGGTCACGCTGCTCCGCGGCCCGAAGAACTCTCGCGAGGCGGTTAAGCACTTCGGCGCGCCCGGCGTCCCGGGGTCGCACGCGAAGCCGTACGTCCGCCACAAGGGTCGCAAGTTCGAGAAGGCTCGCGGTCGACGCAAGAGCCGCGGCTACAAGGCGTAATCGGGTGGGTTCTTTCTGGGTTTGGTGGTTTCGCGGGCTGGTTAGCGCGCGAGGCAATGAGATGACGTCGCGGCGGAACGAGAGTAGTCGCCGTCGTGTAATAGAGACCGTGCTCTCGCTCGCTCGTCCTCGTCCTCGCGCGTCCTCGCGCGAGACGCGTCGCGTCGTCGCTCTCCGTCGCGCGCGCTCGCTTCGTTCCGTTCGTTCACCCCCCCCCGGCGTCTCTCGCCGCGCGTCAGAAAAGGAAAAGTGCTCCGTTCTGAGGGCCATTCCATACAAAAATAGTTCATCGGTCAGTTGAAAGGGGACGCTATCAAATGTTGAAACCGGGCGATGGGTGAAAAACTTTTGTTAGAACGCACCTGACACTGCATCGCGCATCACATCGTCAGCTGTTCGTTATTGATTCCGCCTCCCGACCCGTTCGCCTCGCACTCCTCGAAGCGCCCCGACAGCGAACACCCCGCCGTCCGAAACGATGGCGCCGAAGAAGAAGAATAAGAAGGAGGCGAACGCCGCGCCCGCGCCCGCGGCGAAGAAGGCGAAGAAGGAGGAGCGCGTCGGCGAGATCGAGGAGGCGCCGGCGCCCGCGTCGGAATCGGACGAAAAAGCGCCCGACGACGCCGACGACCTGGACGACGACGACCTCGACGACGACGACTACGAGAACCCAGACGACGACCTCGAGGGCCTCGTCGGCGAGCTCCTGAACGGCGAGATCGAGGACGAGGACGCGGAGGACGGCGGCACGCACGGCGCCGTGGACGCCCTGCGCGCCGGATTCCAACCGATCGTCGTCGAGGACCCGCGCCCGGCGAAGGACTGCGAGGACGGTTTCGCGCACGCGGAGGCGGGGAACGCGGAGGAGCTCATGCAGTGGCTCATCGCGCCGTACTCGCTGGACGACTTCATGAGGCTGACGTGGGAGCGACGGCCGCTGTACGTCTCGAGAAACGCGAACAAAAAGTATCTCGACGGATGGCTCTCCAAGGAGGACGTGGACGGGTGGCTGCGCGCGGGGAAGATGCGGTACGGCGTCAACGTGGACGTGACGTCGTACGTGAACGGCGTGCGCGAGACGCACAACATCAACGACGACGACGCCGACGACGAGGAGCCGTGGTTCGCGGACGCCGCGTCGGTGTGGAAGAAGTTCGACGAGAAGGGCTGCTCGCTCCGGATCTTGCACCCGCAGCGGTGGAAAGACGCGCTGTGGAAAATGCTCAGCACGATGGAGCGGTACTGGAACTGCAGCACGGGCTGCAACGTGTACCTCACGCCGCCGAACTCGCAGGGGTTCTCCCCGCACTTCGACGACATCGACGCGTTCGTGTTGCAGCTGGAAGGGAAGAAGACCTGGCGCGTGTATCCGCCGCGCTCCGAGAAAGAGATGCTCCCGCGGTACTCCTCGCCGAACTTCGCGCAGGACGAGATCGGCGAGCCCGTGCTCGAGGTGATCCTCGAGCCCGGGGACGTGCTGTACATGCCGCGAGGGACCGTGCACCAGGCGTCGTGCGTCGACGGGGAGCACTCGCTGCACGTCACGCTGTCGACGAATCAGTTCAACACGTGGGCGGACGCGCTCGAGCTCGCGCTCCCGGCGGCGATTCGCGACGCGGGTGCGTTCTATACACTGGTTCCCATACGACCGCGTCGCCGTGGTGAACGCCGATCCTTAAGGACTTTTCCCGGCGTCTCTCTCCGCTCACACCTCGCTTTCAATACCCGCCCTCGACGCCTTTCGACTCCTCCAACTGACGCCTTTCAACTCCACCCCGACATACGCTCGTACGGAACGACCCTCAGTCGCGGAGCTCCCCGCGCTGCGGCGGTGCCCGCCACCGGACATGCTTCAGCGGCTCGGGATCGGCGCGAGCGACGACGGCGACGGAAGTGACGGCGGCGGCGGCGATCGAAGAGACGCGTTCGTCGGCGCGCTTAACGAGCTCGCGTCCGCGGTGCTCCGCAGGCTCCCGCTCGACGCCGCCGCGGACCAACTCGGCGCGCGGCTCATGAAGCAGCGGCTGCCTCCGCCGCCGTCGCACCTCGCGACGCCGAAGGCGGCGTCCGGGCCGGACGCCGCGAAGAAGGTGACGATGGACAGCGTCGTGCGGTTGACCGCGGAGGGCGGCGCGAGGGTGGTGGTGGACGGCGACGGCGAAGACGTCTTCGGCGACGGCGAGGCGCGCGTGACGGTGTACCACGTGCACAAGAACGGGCGGAAGCTGCACATGGAAGGCGGCGACGGCGAGGGCGACGGCGACGACGAGGAGCCGTGGGACGGCGAGGACAACGATCATGCCGGCGACGGCGGCGCGAAGGCGTGGGTCGAGTGCGACGATTACGAACCCGGGATGATGCTCTTCTCCGCGAACGCCGGTCCCGCGCTCGAGATTCTTCTGCACTCGGAAGACGCCGCGGAGACGGGCGTCGCCGTGCGCGACCTCGAGAAGATCGAGTGCACAGTCTGCTCGAGATCTCACGACAATTTCATCGAGCCGGGGCTGGACGTCGCGTCGGGGAGAGACACGCTGATCGCCGTGCGCCGGCTCGTGTGTCAGGGCGTCCTCGCCGTGGTGTCGTGACGACGACGACGACGACGACGACGAGAGAAGACGGACGCGGCGCGTCCGCGGTGTATCACACTGCAACATTGCGATGCGCGGCGATGGTATTAGGTATTACAATCAAATCAGACGCGTCATCGAGTCGCGTGCGTCTCGCGAGTGAGTACTCACTCGTCACGCGCTCACTTTCGCGAATCTCCACGCGCGAAGACGCCACGCCGTCGGCCGCCCCGCGGCCAACGACGCCAACCCGTCCGCGACGAACACCACCACGATGAACCCGAAAAACGCGATCGAGATGGCGCTGAACAGCTCCGGCGAGATGTACCTCGCCCCGCTCGCGTCCCTCCCCAGCAGCAACGACAGCATCACCCCCCACCCCATGAGACACGACCCCCACGTGCTCCCCGTGAGCCAGATCACGTCTCGCGTGAACAACGCGCGCGGCACCATGAGCGCGTTGCCAGTCATCGCCAGCACCGACGACAACACGGAGAGGCCCTCCAGCGAGCTCGGGTTCGCGAAGTTGTTCGCGAGCTGCGCGACGGGCATCGTCATGAACAGCAGCGTCGCGCTCCACCCTGAGGGTCGTTCCATACAAGCGATTGTCGGGGTGGAGTTGAAAGGCGTCAGATTGAGTTGAAAGGCGTCGAGGCGTGTCGGGATTGAACGCGAGGGACCCTGGGCGGAGAGATGCGCCGGAAAAGTCCTTAAGGATCGGCGTTCACCACGCCAACGCGGTCGTATGGGGACCAGTGTGTGGAACGCGCCTGAGAGCGCGCCCCACGCGGCGTCCACCTCCTCCGGGAGCTTCCCCGCGCGGCCCAACACGACGAGGACAAGCCCGAGCAGTCCGCCGATCGCGCCCGGGAGCATCCCCCAATTCGCTGTCCACGCGGGCGGGAGCAAGGCCACGAGGCCAACCTGCGGGAGCGCGGCGAGGCCGACGATCGCGAGGAGGCTCTGAGGGTCGTTCCGTACGAGCGAACGTCGGGGTGGCGTTCAAAGGCGTCAGAAGCGGAGATGAAAGGCGCCGACGGCGGGGATTGAAAGCGAGGGACCCTGGGCGGAGAGACACGCCGGGAAAAGTCCTTAAGGATCGGCGTTCACCACGCCGACGCGGTCGTATGGGGACCAGTGTGTGGAACGCGCCTGATACGCGTCCCACGCGAAGTCGCCCGCCTCGTGGAGTTTTTGGACCACCATCGGGTCGTCGTCGTCGTCGACGGAGCCAAAGTCCACCGCGCACTGCACGTTGCCGACGCACGGGACGCCGTTCGGGTCCACCGGACCCACCTGCCCGAGCATGCGCAGCGCGCTGAGGACGACGCCGAGGGCGACCGCGACCGCGGCGGCGCTGAACTCGAGCAGCGGGATGTGCCCGGCGAGGCACATCTGCGTCAGCAGCGCGCCCGTCGCGCACACGCCCACCACCTGCACGACGCTCGCGCTGCCCTCGCCCTTGTCGCTGAAGTAGGACAGCAGCAGCAAGTTCCCGAGGAGTCCCGCGACTTGACCCTGCCACGAGATGGCGGCGAGCGCGTCCGGGCGTCCCGCCGCGATGAGCGCGGCGTTTTTCATGATCTGCGGCGCGGTGAGGAACAAAAACGGCACCGTCGCGCTCGACGCGAGGTTCGTCGTGACGTCGTCCCATCGCGTCCGCGTCACGGTGAGCCACGCGGGGACGCGGGGGTCCGCGTGCGGGTAGACGAAACCCTCGTCGTCCACGCCGCCGGTGGTCGGCGACGTCCGCGACGCCGACGACGACGCCGCGCTCGTCGTAAAAGTCGAAGAAGAATCCGTGCCCCGGCCCCTTCCCGACCCCGTCGCCGTCGCCGTCGCGTCGTCGGCGCCGCGGCCGAGCCGACGTTCGAACAGCGCGCTCGCGACGACCGCGTCGCCGACTCTGCGGTGCGATCCCGACGTCGTTCGGTGCGGAGACGTCGCGGCGGCCGCGGCCGCGGCCGCCGCGGGGGACATCGTCGCGGATCGTCGCGGGCGTCGACGATGGACCGAGTGCAGGCCGGGAGGGAGGATGATGCTGTGATGCGCGAGGACGCATCGCGCGGTGGGCGCGTGCGCGCCTCCGTGCGCGTGCTCCGGGCGCGAGTGGTGCGACGCCTCGCGGTGGTCGTGGTGGTGATGATGATGATGATGATGCGCGAGCGGCGCGTCGTGCTTCCGACCGCCGGGGAACGGCGATTGTTGCGGCCGCGCGGAGGATCGATGCGCGTCACCCAGATCCGCGTGGTGATGCGGCGCCGCGCTCGCGACGATCCCGGGGCTCGGGGCCGCGTTCAGCGGCGCGGGCGTCATCGCGAACGCCTCGGGCGCGACCGAGCGGACGTCGCTCGCCTCGGGTCGTCCGTCGCGCGCGCGGAACCGGTCCCGGGCGCCGCGCGAGAGAGATCTGACGTCAGCGAATTCTAAAAGCGCATAAAAATATCTCAGCTGGCAATCGTGTGTCATCGTCGCGCAGTCTAGCAGTGCTACTGCGTTCTGTTCGGACAAACGCGTTCCATGTAGATTTCTTCTCGTGGCATCACCACCGCGCCCGCCCGGCTAGGTACCGCTATCGGTTCGTTCGCATCGCATTCTACACACCTCGCGTCGAGCCGAGTCGACTCGACGCGTCCGCCCGCCAGCCCGCCCGCCCGCCCGTCGCTACGAAGCCCGCCGTCTCTCCTTGAGCTCCGCCGCGGCTTTGGACGCGGCGTTTTGTCTGACGGCGTCTTCAAACTCCGTCGCGAAAGCGCTCAGCGTCTTCAGCACGTCCTCCGGGCCCACCCCCGCCGGCGCCTCGCCGAACTTCGTCAGCAGCGCTTTCATCGCGCGCGACGTCTCCGCGGCGAGGGACTCGAGGGACTCGACGAGGTCCTCCGCCTCCGCCGCGAACGGCGCGATCGCCGCGAGAAACGCGGCGGCGTCGGCGTCGTCGCCGCCGCCTACGCCGCCGCCCGCCGTCGAGGCCGTCGCCTCCTCCTCGAGCGCGTCGCACTCGCGCTCGAGCTCGCCTCGCGTCGTCGCCGCGTCTTCCACCGCGCGCATCATGTCGGCTAACGACGGTCCGCGCGCGGCGTCGTGCACGGGCCCGAGCTCGGCCGCGAACTGAAGCAGCGGCGGCGACTTGGCGCTGAGGGTCGTCGCGTGTACGATACGTCGGGGCGGCGTCGTGAGGCGTCAGTTGGAGTCGCGAGGCGACGCGGCGCGTCGGAATCGAAACGGCGGGAGAGAAAGTGAAAGTCCTTAAGGAACGAACGGCGGGCACCTCGCGAACGCGGTCGTACGGGGACCGGTGTGATATGGAACGGAACGCGCCTGACCGTCTTCGCGAGGTGATGCAGCAGCGACGCGTTGGTCTTCGTCGGCGCGCTCTTCGCCTTCGTCTCCACCTCCGCGAGCTTCGCGAGCGACGCGAGCTTGTACGAGCTCGCGCCGCCCGCCGCGCCGCCGCCGCGGTCTAAGATGCCGCTCAGGGCTTCGACGACGTCGAGGAGTTTCTTCAGGCGGTCGGACGACGCGCACGCCGTCACCGCCGCAAACGCCGTCTCGAGCGACGCGCGCGCGTCCTCGACGCGCGTCGGCAGGGTCGCGCGGCACAGCAGCGCGTCGATCTTCGCCGCCGCGCGCGGAACTGCGCTCATCGCGAGGAAGAACGCGTCCGCGGGGGAGGCCTCGGCGACGTCGCACGCGCCCTCGACGTACGCGGCTTTGACCTTCGCGACGTCCGCGGGGGACGGGACGACCGTTCGTATCGCGCGTAACGTCTCCATCGTGACCGTTTTCGCGTCCCCGGCAGACGTCGGGACGTTCCCCCGCCGAATCGCCGCCGCGATGTCCTCCGCGCCGACGCGAAGCGATCGCAGGACCATGGTCACCTTGGACGCGACGCGCGAGCCGAGCACGGTTCGCGCGCCCGCGGCGGCGCCCGCCTTCAACGGCGACGTCAACGTCGGCGGCGGCGGCGGCGGCGGCTCCTCCGTCTTCGAACCCTTCCTCGCCGCGCGCTTCGCCGCCGCGTTAGACGCCGCCTCGGACGGGACCGGGCGCGCGCGCGCGCTGAGCAGCGCGTCGAGATCCTTCGACGCGGACTCGGGCGCCGCGGCTTTGGCTCTCGTCGGCGCCGGCGGCAACCCGTCGTCGTCGGCGCCGGCGGCGGCGTCGTCTTCTTCGATCGCCGCGGCGTCTTCGTCTTCTTCGTCGTCGTTCAAGGACAGCTTCTCGACCGCGCGCGTCGCGGCGCTCGACGCGCGCGCCTCGTCCTCGGTCTCCGCCTCCACCTCCGTCTCCGTCTCGGGCTCGAACGCGTCGCTGTCGTTGTTATACAGCGCGTTCGCGTGCTGCGTGAACGCCTCCGACGCCGCGATGGCTTTTTCTTTTTCCATCCTCGCGCGCTCCGCCGCCTCTCTCTCCGCCTCGCGCGCCCTCGCCTCCTTGGCATTCCTCGCCTCCTCTTTCGCCTTCTCCTTGGCGTCCGCGGCTTCAGCCTTGGCTCTCGCCTTTGCCGCCGCGGCCTCGAGCTTCGCCCTCTCCTTCGCGGCCCGCTCCGCTTCCTTCGCCGCCGCCGCCTCCGCTTTCGCGCGTTCGAGCGCCGCGGCTTTCTCAGCCTTGGCCGCGCGTTCCGCCTCCTTCGCGGCCGCTCTGGCGCGCTCCTCCTCCGCGGTCTTCTCCGCGCGCGCTCTGATCTCCGCGGCGGCGATGGCTTCCGCGGCGGCGATCGCCTCGGCCTCGGCGGCGGTCTTCTCCGCTCTCGTCCTTTCCTCCTCCGCCGCCGCCGCCGCCGCCGCCGTCGCCGCTCGGCGTCGAGTCGTCGCGCCGGAGCCTCTGCCTCCGCCGCCCTCCGACTCGGACGCGGACGTCGGCGAGTCCGAGTCCGAGGAGTGGTACCCGGTCTTTCGCATCGCCGCCGCGCGAATCGCCGCCTCGCGGTCGAGATCCGCCTCGCGGGCTTCGCGCTCGTGGCGCTGACGCCGGCGCGATTTCAGCCGTTCGGCCGCGGCGGCGGCGCGGTCGACGCCCGCCTGCTTCCGCTCCCTCGGCTTTTTCGACGACGTCGTGCTCCCTTCCGTGCTCTTCTTCCCGCCGGAGCTGTAGTTCGCGTCCACGCTGCCCTTGCTCGACGCGGGCGCGCGCGTGCCGGCGCCGGCGACGCCGCCGGCGGCGTCGTCGTCGGAAGAATTCAAGTCCGAGCCGTCGTCGTCGTCGCCACCGCCGCCGTCGCCGCCGCCGCCGCCGTCGCGTCGTCGCCGCTCCCTCTCGTTCGCCGCGGTCGCTCGCTCCCACGCCTCGTCCTGGCTCGCCTTGCTCCGCCGCTTCCCCATTATCGGCGACGGCGGCTCGATGACGTCGGACATGAACGAGTCCGCGTTCGTGGACATCGGCGCCGCGCCGTTTTGGGGACCTGTCGGGCTAAACGCGGTCCCTTGACCCATCGCGCCCCCTTGTTGACCCATGCCTGGACCCATGCCTGGACCCCCCATCCCCCCCATCCCCCCCATCGCGGCCGTGAACTGCATCTGCTGCTGCATCGCCGCCATCGCCGCCGCCGCGGCCATCGCCTGCTGCTGCTGCATCGCGTGCAGCGCCGCGGCGTTCGGATCCATCCCGGGCTGGCCGCCGTACGCCCCCGCCAGCCCGGGGTGGTACCCGGGGAATCCCAGCGGGCTGTACCCGCCGTACGGCGCCGGGTAATTGCTCGGCGGCGGCGGCGCGCCGTATGGGGACGACGGCGAGTACGGCGAGTGCGGCGGAGGGTATCCGTGGCCGTGACCGTGCGGGGAGTAGTCGTAGTCGTAGTCGCGAGGACGACGCGGCGACGGATGCGGCGGATGCCCCCCGCGTCCCCCCTGTCCGTCCCATCCCCCGTACGCGTCCTCGTGCGCTCTGCTGCGCCGCGAACGACCGTCGTCGCCGTCGCGGTGGAAGTCGTCGCCGCGGTCCGGGCCTATTCGCGGCGTCGTCGCCCCCGGCCGCGCGGCCTCGACGCGTCGCTGCATGTGCTTCCTTCGCGCGAGCGCGCGCATCTCCGGGTTATTCAGCGTCTCTCTCGTCTCCTCGTCCGGGTCTAAACCCTCGTAGCACGTCATCCCGTGCACGTTCGTGATGGTGTCGTCGGCGCCGAGCGAGAGCAGATAGTTCCCCAAGTCCTGGTACCCGTACGCGAAGCAATAGTGCAGCGCGGTGTGGCCTTGTTTCGTCTGCGCGTCGATGAGGTCCAGCCGCGGCGGATTCGTGGCGAAGTCCGTGTGTTTCAACACGAGCTTCGTCGCTTTCCGCTGATTATTCTGCGCCGCCATGTGCAGGAGCGTCAGTCCGTTGATATCCCTCGCCGCCGGGTCGACGCCGCTCTTGAACAGCTCCGCGAGGTCCTTCACGCGTCCGTGCCGCGCTTTCGAAAACGCCTCGACCAAGTCTTCGCCGCCGCCACGAGAAAACGTCCGCGACGTGAACTGCGCGCGCGGCGTCGGCTCCACGCCGCCCCCGCCGCTCGTCGTCGCGCCGTGGTGCGCGCGCGCGTCCAGGAGCGTCAGGTCCAGCGTGCCGCGCGCGCGGCCGGTGACGCGGCGCGTGCTGCCGCCGCCGCCGAGGTTATCCGGCCCGAAAGCGTCGTCCGCTCCTCTATTTTTTTTCCTATTTTTATCGCCGCCGCTGATGCGGTCGTACACCTCGTCGAACCCCGGGCCGACGTCCAACACCGAGTGCCCCTCGCGGTCGATCGACGCCGCGCCCGGCGGAGGCGCGGTATCCACGGGGACGAACGACAGCGCGGCGCCGAGCGCGCCGCGGTCGCGGTCTCGGGGCCCCGCGGCGCCGGCGGCGGCGGATCTCTCCGCCGACGGCGACGACGGATTCGGCGTGAACGTCAGCGGCGCCGCCTGCGTCGCGCCGCTCGCGAGCGGCGGCCGCGTCTTGATCGCGGCGACGCCGGGTCCCGGGCTCGGGCTCGGGCTGAACCCCGGGGCGTTCACCGGCGCCGGCGCCGGTCGGTGATGGTTCGCGTCGCCGGGACGTCCGGGTCGGATCACCGCGCCGCCGCCGCCGTTTTGGTTTTGGTTTTGGTTTTGGTTTTGGATTCGGTCGCGGTCTCCGTCCGGGTCTCCCCCGCGTCGCGCCGGGGAGACGAACACGTGGCCGTCCCTCGCCGCGCTCGCCGCGTCCTCGCGCATCGCCTCGCACGCCGCGACGTCGCGCGCGTGCGCCGCCAGCGCTTCCAGCGCCCTCGACCACGCCTCCGCGTCCGCGGGCGTCCCCGCCTGAAGGTCCAGCGTCCGCGCGTCGCATTCGAGCGAGAAGCACAGCTTCGGCGGCCCGACGCGCTTCGCGTGCCGCTCGAACGTCTTCGTCGCGTGGCCTCGCAGGACGCCGCGGACGTCGCGCAGCGGCAGCTTGGAGTCTAAGACGCTCGCCGCCGCGTCCTTGGGGTCGCCCCACTGGAGCTCGTCGTGCGGGTGCGACGCATTCGGCGTCGTCGTCACGCGGAAGAATCGAATCTTCGGACGCGCGGCCGCGTTGGACGGCAGCTTCGTGAGGAGCCCCCCCGCGCGCACCTTCCTGAGCGCCGCGTCCGGGATGTTCGGCGGCGGCGGCGCGTCGAATTCGTCGTCGCGCGGCGCGCCGAACGCCTCGCGCGGGCGCCCCGGCGGCGTGGCCGTGGCCGTCGCGCGCGGCGGCGGCGGCGGCGGCGCGGCGCGGGGCGTCGTCGTCGTCGTCGCGTTCGACGCGCTCGTCGTCGGGAACGGCGGAGGCTCGAACGTCGGCGGCGGGCCCCGGCGCGGCGGCGGCGGCGGGCGCGCCGCGGGGGAGTGAGCGAACCCCGGGGTGGACGCCTCGAGGTCGTCCGGGTCGACGCGGTACTTATCCGCCATGCCGGGTCGTCACGCGACGCGCGCGCGCGTCGTCGTCGTCGTCATCCCAATGCCGTTCGATGAAGATGTCACTCGCGGCGTCCGATAACTTATAATGAGATTTGACGACGAGCGACGACGACGTGGAGGCGCGCCACTCGTCCCCGCGCGCGTGCGACGACGCTTCGCGATGCCTCAGCGGCGGCTTCCGAGCGTTCGGAAGACGACGACGAGGAGGCGTGCGCGATGCGGCGCGCGCGCGTGGGTGTGGCGACCGCGGACGCGCGCGACCTCCCCCGCATTGATTGTCACGGCTAGTTTCTGTAAAAGCTGACAGCACTGCGCGCCCTCGCTCGCGCCTCGTCACGAGAAGTTCTCGCCGTCGGATCCCTCGTCGCGCGGCCACCGACGTCGCCGCCACTCGCGGGCGCGCCGACGCGTCTCGCATGCCCTGCGCGATCGTCGCGGCCCCGGCACCGAGTCCGCTCGCGAGCTCCGTCGCGCGGCGCCGCGGGCGCCGACGCCGGGGACCGCCGTCGCACGTCGCGTCCGCGAAGCCATCGTCGTCGTCGTCGTCGTCCTCGTCGACGGACCTCGCCGCCGCGAGCGCGTCCGTCTCCGTCCCCGCGGCGCCGCCGAAGCCGCCCGCGCTTCTCTCCGCGCCGTCCACGCCCGGGCTCGTCGCCGGGCTCGTCTTCGGCGGCCTGCCCCTCCTCGCCGCGGCGCTGCGTCGGAAGGAGGAGTCGGCGGAGGAGGCGGACGCCGATCGATCGAGTCGTCGCCCTCGACCCGCGAGCCCTCTCCCCGCTGCGACGACGGCGTCCGCGATGACGACGACGACGACGCCGCCGCCGTCCACGCCGCTCCCGAAGGGCGAGGGCGCGATCGGCTCCAAGCTCCCTGGACGCGCGCACGAGACGTGCGCGTACCTGGACTACAACGCGACGACGCCGATATACCCCGAGGTCGCCGCGGCGATGGAACCGTTCCTGTGGGAGCACTTCGGCAATCCGTCCAGCGGGCACGCGTTCGCGGCGCCGTGCCGCGACGCGATCGCGACCGCGCGAAACCGCGTCGCGACCGTCCTGGGTTGCGCTCCCGACGAGATCGTCTTCACGTCGTGCGGGTCCGAGAGCGACAACCACGCGATCGCGTCCGCGGTGGAACACGCGAGGCGGAGCGCGGGGGGGCGCGGCGGACGCGTCCCGCACGTCGTCACGACGGCGGTGGAGCACCCGGCGATATTAGGTGCGTTCTACACACTGGTCCCCATACGACCGCGTTGGCGTGGTGAACGCCGATCCTAAAGGACTTTTCCCGGCGTGTCCCTCCGCCCATCCCTCGCTTTCAATCCCCGCCCTCGACGCCTTTCGACTCCGACTGACGCCTATGAACTCCACCCCGACATCGATTTGTATGGAACGGCCCTTAGAATACCTCGTCTCCGAGGAAGCGAAGGGGACGCTCGCGTACGACGCCGTGCGCGTGAACGCGGAGGGCATCGTGGACCCCGGCGACGTCGCCGCCGCCGTGCGCGAGGAGACGTGCTTGGTGACCGTGATGCACGCGAACAACGAGGTGGGCGCGATTCAGCCAGTGGCGGCGTGCGCGGCGGCGGCGCGCGCGAAAAATCCACGCGTTCTCGTGCACGCGGACGCGGCGCAATCGCTGGGGAAGATACCCGTGAAGGTGGATCTGCTCGGGGTGGACATGTGTACGATCGTCGGGCACAAGATCGGCGCCCCCAAGGGCGTCGCCGCGCTGTACGTGAAGAAGACGGCGCCGTTCTCGAAGCTCTTTCACGGCGGCGGGCAAGAGTCCGGAAGACGGGCCGGGACGGAGAACGTGATGCACGTCGTCGGCCTCGGCGCCGCGTGCGCGCTCGTGACGAAGGAGGAGGACGCGCTGCCGTCGTACATGGCGACGCTCAGGGACGCGATGCAGAGGGCGCTCGTCGCGGAGCTCGGCGGGGACGACGGCGCGGGCGTTCGCGTGAACGGCCCGGCGAACGACGCGGATCGACTCCCGAACACGCTCTCCGTCGGCGTCAAAGGCGTCAGCGCGAGCGTTTTATTACAGACGTTGTCGTCCTCCGTCGCCGCGAGCGCGGGCGCGGCGTGCCACACCGGCGCCGCCGCGGCGTCGATATCGTCCGTGCTGCGGGCGATGGAGATCCCGGAGGCGTACGCGGTGGGGACGTTGCGACTGAGCGTCGGAAGACACACGACGACGTCGGACGTCGAGGTTGGCGTGAAGCGCATCGCGGACGCGGCGAGGGCGCAGATTTCCGAGATCGACGCGATGCCGGAGGGGGAGCGTCCGGCGTGGTGCGTGCGGAACGTTTTCAAGTGACGCGACGCGACGCGACGACGGACGCGCGAACCGAGTCGAGTCGAGTCAAGTCGAGTCGAACCGGACGGACGGACGGACGGACGGACGGACGGACGTCTCCGCTGCTAGTAGGGTCGCGTGTTTTATGATATCCCACGTCGACTTCGATCGATCCTAATCCTCGTCCGTCTCTCCGCGGAAGAAGCGAGAGCTCATATTCTCAAGGACGCGACGCGGACCTCCAGGTCGCCGTTCCGCCGCCGCGCGCGATGCCCTCTCGCCGGTGCCTTGCGCTTCGTCACGACCGGCTCCCAGTCGTCCTCGCTGCCTTCGTCGTCGTCGTCCTCGTCGTCGCCGCCGCCGCCGCCGTCTCTTTCCTCGCCGTCCCCCTCCGCCTCCGCGTCGTCGTCGGGGTGGAGTTCAAAGGCGTCAGGTGGAGTTGAAAGGCGCCGAGGGCGGGGATTGAAAGCGAGGGGTGGGCGGAGAGATGCGCCGGGCAAAGTCCTTAAGGATCGGCGTTCACCTCGCGAACGCGGTCGTATGGGGACCAGTGTATAGAACGCACCTCCTTCGCGGTGGCGTCGTCGTCGTCGTCGTCCTCCCCGCTCCTCAGCACGCCCCTGTAGTTCACCTCCTCCCTCAGCGCGATCGCCGCGGAGTCGACGTCGCCGCCGCCGAACAACCGCAGAATCTCCCGCGCGCGGCTCTTCTTCCCTCTCCCGCCCGAGCGCGCGACCGTCTCCGCCACCGCCGCCGCCGACGGCTCCCTCCCGCCGCCGCCGCCGCCGCCGCCGCCGCCGCCGCCGCCGCCGCCGCCCTCGCCGTCCCATCCCATCCACTCCCCGCGGCCGCTCCTACGGTCGAGCGCGATCGGCCCGCCGGGCTCCCGCTCGTCGTCCGTGCCGCGCGTCCGCACGCTGTTGTAGTGCTCGTTGCCCTGATACGCGAAGTGGAACCACCGCGACGCCGCCGCCGGGAAGTTGACCACCTCCCATCGCGGCTGGTTCGCCTGAGGGTCGTTCCATACAAAGCGAACGTCGGGGTGGAGTTCAAAGGCGTCAGTTGGAGTTGAAAGGCGTCGAGGGCGGGCGTTTAAAGCGAGGGATGGGCGGAGAGATGCGCCGGGAAAAGTCCTTAAGGATCGGCGTTCACCACGCCGACGCGGTCGTATGGGGACCAGTGTATAGAACGCACCTGATGCACGCAAAAGTTCGCCATGCACACGTGCGACGCCGCCTGCACCTCCATGTTCCCCGCCCACGTCCCGTCCTCGGCCATGCGCGCGATGTACGGGTCCCACTTCTCGTCGTCCTCGATGAACGGCTCGAAGTGCTCGCGGTTCGCGAGCATGTACTTCACGGTCGACGCGCGGAGGGAGGCGTGGCGGGACTCGCCGCCGTAGCGCTGGTCGGAGAGCGCGCGGAAGAAGCAGTTCCCGTCGGAGGAGACCTCGCGGACGCGCATGCCGACGTCCGCGAGCTGACGACGGAGCGTCTCGTCGTCGTCGCCGTCGTCGCCGCTGCGGCCCTGTCGGATCGAAGACGAGGATGACGACGGGAAGATGAGATGATGGATGATCGTCGTGGGTGGAGTTGAAAGGCGTCAGAAGCGGAGTTGAAAGGCGCCGTGGGCGGGGATTGAAAGCGTGGGACCCTGGGCGTAGAGACGCGCCGGGAAAAGTCCTTAAGGATCGGCGTTCACCACGCCAACGCGGTCGTATGGGGACCAGTGTCTTATAGAACATGATTGATGATGATGGATGAATGATGTTCGCATCACGACGCGAGATGCCGCCGCCGGGACCGCGCGCGGGAGAGCGAGGAACGACGGGGCGAACGACCGACGCGCACCCGCGAGTGGCTCGCCTTTTTCTTCGGGCCCAGCCGCGCCTGCGCGGCGCGGTGGGTCTTCCCCATGGCGACGCCGCGCCTCGAGCACTGACGCGCGGTCGTCTCGTGGACGGACGGCTGGATGGTTGGCGGACGCGACGAGCCACCGCAGCCGCACCGGACGATTTTTTCGCGCGCGCCGCGCCGCGCCGGAAGTGAAATTCTTTTCCACCACAATCCCTCGCACGTCGGGCGCGATGGCGGGGAGCAAACGCACGCGGGCGGACGCCGGGGCGGACGAGATCGAGGAGGCGGAGCTCGCGCTCGTCGCGCAGAAGGCGAAAGTCGCCGGCGGCGGCTCGAACGACGCGTCCACCGCGATCGCGATCTCGACGAAGGGCACGACGTCGTCGCGGCTGAGGGGCGTCAAGCGCACGTCCTCGCTGGACGCTCCGATCATGCTCCTGGAAGGGCACGCGGACGGCGTGAACGGCGTGAAGTTCTCCCCGGACGGTACCGTCCTCGCGTCGTGCGGCGCGGACAAGGTGGTGAACTTGTGGAAGGTCTCCGGCGACTGCGAGGTACGTCGCGCGTCGATCGATCCGATCCGTCGATCCGTCCGTCGATCCGACTCGTCCACGCCACGGTCGAATCAAACAAACCCTACTAGCGTTCAGTTCATTCGGCAGCCGCCTCACCGACGTCCCCCCCCCCCCACCCCTCCTCCGTCCCCCTCCACCGCTCGCAGAACTACATGATGATGCGCGGACACAAGAACACGGTGCTCGAGCTCCACTGGACCGCGGACGGCGACAACCTCGTGACGTGTTCGCCCGACAAGTCGGTTCGATGCTGGTAGGGTTTTTCTTTGCTCTCCCCTCCCTTTCATATTCCAAAACACTTTTCCCCGTCCCCGTCTCCGTCCCCGTCTCCGTCCCCGTCCCCACTTTCGTCCGTTCCGTCAGAAGTTGTTCTCTCGCGACATCGTCGCTGGTCTGGCTAGGTACTCTCTTTCTACTCTCTTTTCTTCGGGGAATTTCACTGGCCGCGCAAACCCAGCTGCTGCGCTTCTTGAACGTACTCGTTGGGATACTTCTTGCTACGGACGAAATGCAGAGCCCGTTGAACATTTTGAAATACCGTCGACTTCGTCGTCCCGTCGGGAAACGTGCACTGGAATCCCAACTCGCTGATGTTGGTGTCGCGCCTCACCCTGATCCAGTAAGGAAGCGACACGAGCTTCGCGCAGTAGCTCTTCTCGGGCGCGCTGATCCAGTTCTTGAAGTGCTCGCGATGCTCTGCCTCGCCGGGGAGCTCGAGGAGCGGCGGCATGTTGTTCTCGCACGTCTTGCAGTGCACGACGAACAACTCCTGATCGCGAATCTCCTCCTCGGTCCAGTCCGTCGTCGAGCCGATCATGCCGCTGGGGACGATGGCGCGGTACCTCTTGTGGTCGATGACGTACCCTTGCCGCTCGAAGACCGGAGCGATCCACTTCAGCCAATGCTGAATGGACGCTTCGCCACCCTCGTCGAGCCCGCCGAACGATACCGCGTCGTTGCCGCCTTCGCGGACTTTCTGGATGACGACGTTCACATCGCGCACGTTGCATCTGTTCAGCTTCGTGCGTTCGTCGTTACCGGTCTTCTCGCACGTCCTATGCGCGGGTCGGACCAAGCCAAGTGAACCCAGTTTCTCGTAGAGGGTTTGTCGGGCGAACAGCATCTTCGTGTGCTTTTGGACGGCTTCCTGGATTTCCTCGAACGAGAAGACGCGGATGAGGTACAGCTCGCGAACGATGTGGTCGTACGAAGCCCCAGAGGCTCTCCACTCGTCTGCCCGCTTCACCCAGTCGATGTCTTCTACGCACGCGACCTTGTGCGCGTAGGCGAGAACCAGCGCTCGCGGCTCAGTCAGCAGGAGATCCACGAGCCGGTTCCGGTGCGTGCGCACGGTGCTGCTGTGCAACGCGAGGTACCCGTTCTCCTCGAGGATATCAGAGTACATCTCGAGCACGTGCTGGTCTTTGCGAATGTGTTTCCTCCTGACCGGGAACCCGCCGTGGATTATTTCACCGGTCGTGCCGTCGCGCCAAAAATCGCGTCCTAACCACTCGCTGATGAACTCGTGCTCGCGGACGGTGAAGTCGTTCAAATGGTGCAGAACTCTAGTGTCATCGCAGGTGGTGTCGCCGACCACGAGCCCATCGATTGCCGCCGGCGTGGCGGTGAGCGCGGACATCATGAACTCGCGATCGAGCGGGTCGTCGACATACGACCGTGGTAACCGCTTCGAGCCCATCTGATGGTACTGCATCTCCGGGTACCAATCCCATACATGAGAACCACGTGAGGAATATTTTGTAGCACCGCCGACCCACGACTGCGGCGGTGACACGACTCTGTGTTTCTCCGACGGCGTTCCGTTTGAGCACTTGGTCGTGTGCACGTACACGCCCTCGGCGTCCCACCGCCCGCTGACGCGGTCGTCCGGGTCGCCACCGTCGTTCCAGTTAAGACCGGGCAAGTTCGCGCGCAGACGCCAAGGGAACTCGCGATTCGTGGACGCGAGCACGAAATTACCACTGCAATCCATGCCAGCGTCGCTGAACATCGCGCCTGTGAAGTACCCGATGTCCGCGAGCGTGTCGATCCAGGGGTGGTCGCGCAACAAATTCGCGATCGCGGGGATCACGAGCGCGAGCTGCGTCGCCGGGAAGCATCGCGGGAGCGGCCTCTTGTACCGCAGCGAGACCATCGCGATCACACGCCAAGGTATGGCGAGCACTTGAAGACGTTCGAGATGTCCTTCGCTGAGGTGGAAAAGTATCTGCAAAGGCTCCCGTGGCGGCATCGTGACCGCCCCTCCAGCCTCGGCGCGGACTCTCGCGTCGTCGCACTCCTTCTTGTGCTCCTGTTTCACGCGCTTCAAGTACGCGGCCTCGCTGGGCGGGTTCAGATCGAACTCTGCGCGCTCTTCGAGCGTCGCCTTGCGCACGGCTTCGAAATCGGCGTTCTCCTTCACGACCCTCGCCGCTTCGTCGACAGCGGCCAGCGCCAGGGCTTCTTCCGCTCTGCGTTTGACGTCCACGGGCGTGCGCTGCTCCTTCACCCTCTGGCCGTCGTCGTGGTTACGCCTCTCGACCGCGCGACAGATGATGCCGGCGTTGAACCTGGCGGCTTCTTCGTCCTCGACGGACTCGGACTCGGGCGCGGGCGCTGCACGACCTCGCGGCGCGGACGCGTCGGGGACGCGGCGAGCAGGAGTTGCACGACCTCGCGGCGCGGGCGTTGCACGACCTCGCGGAGCGGACGCTGCAAGACCTCCCGGCGCGGACGTGCCGGGGACGCGGCCGGCGCTCGCGGGGATAGCGCGCGATGCCCCTGTGGCGTGGTCGTCGAAGCCGAAGCGCTCGATGGGCTTCGTGGTGCGACTCGGTCGCGTCACCGGTTTCACTGCGGGCGCGTCGAGCCTCTGCGCCTCCGACGAGCGTTGACCCGGGCTCGGTGCGTCCTCGCGGCGCCTTTTCCCTCGCGCGGTCGTCGCGACGCCCGCGGAGTCCACAGGCGGGATATCGTCGACGTCCATGCCATAGGAGAGTGACATGCGATCATCGTCTTCCTCGTCCGGCGTCGCAGGCGGGAGGCAGTCCGGCATCGCAGGCGGAAACAGATCCTTCTCCGGGGGGCGCTTCACTTTCTTGAACCCCATCTGGAGCATGTCGGCGTTCGTATAGGAGAAGCTGCCCCGCGACGTCACATCCTGGTCCTGCGACTGGGGGTACTTCTCATCGAGACGCGCCGCACGGCTGTCGTCCTCGAGCGGCGTCACGCGCCTGATGTCGTCGAGACGCGGCGCACAGCTGTCACCGATTTCCGCGGCGAGGCAACAGCGCCTGTTGTGGCCGGACATGATCACCACGAACGGGACATGCAGAGCCGCCGCGTATTCTTCGGCGAGCTTCTCGTCGTCCAAATCGAAGACGAACGGGTCGTCTTCCAGTTCGTCGTCGGACGCCAGCGGCGGCTGTGCTTCGCCGTACATCGCGTGTCGTCGGGTAGGTGTGGGAACTCGAACAGGGTGCCAACTTGGTCGCCGCGCGCGCGTTCCCGCGCGTCCGCGTCGTCCGCGGACCACGGACAGGTCCTAATGGAAGCTGACGTCCGCGAGGTGCGCGTCTTCGTCGTGCACGTCGCCGCGACGCGCGCGCGGTCGTCCTTTGTCGCGGAGCGAGGATCTGAGAGAGGACGAACGCAGGAGGAAAAAATTTCTCAAGTTCCGGACTCGCGGAAGGCTCCGGACTGCGCCCGTCGCGAGCCCGCGCGAGCGGTTAAAAACGCCTAAAACGTGTCGCGGGACCGAAACACGTCGGGCAGAAATCAAAACACGCGCGAGCGAGGGCGATGTGGATGTTCCCGAGCGAGTCCGGAGTCGGCCGTGCGTCGTCGCGCCCGAACCATCGGCATCTCGCGAAAAGTGCGCTGCCGCGAGAGATGCGATTGCTCATTTTCCGCGAGCGAAGGAACGAACCGGACACGAGCGCGCGCGTGTCGAGCGAAACGCGCTCTGAAGCCGTGTGCGCACCTTCGGAGTCCCAGTCTTCGCTGCCTTGAGAATCTCTACTCAGCGCGTGCGGTGGGGTGGCGCGCGCGGAGTGCTGATGGACGCTCGCGTGAGACGGCTCAGAAAGCGTTTCCCTGTCGTGTCGGTCCGAAAATCACGAGATCGCGAGCGACAGCTGTCAGTCAGGTCGACCGAAACTTCCCTGTCTCCTTCCCTGAATCGTCGCACCGGTTGCGTCGCCCTCGGGATCGACTGGGCCCAGAACTTCGATCATCAGTCTGTTCCGTCTGCATCACTCAAATTACACCGTTCCACCTCTTATCTACCGCGTCGGGCTCCCCACGTCTTATATCGCTCGCGTTATGACTTGACAAACTACTCGGGCGTGTGCGTGTCTGATTGTTTTTTTGTGCGGCGGGTGACTCTAACCTGTGGGACGCGCACGTCGGCGTCAGGCGCGTTCTATACACTGGTCCCCATACGACCGCGTTGGCGTGGTGAACGCCGATCCTTAAGGACTTTTGGCGGCGTGTCTCTCCGCTCATCCCTCGCTTTCGATCCCCGCCCTCGGCGCCTTTCAACTCCAACTGATGCCTATGAACTCCACCCCGCCATCGCTTTGTATGGAACGACCCTCAGCGTCAAAAACATGCGCGGGCACCAGGCGTTCGTCAACTCGTGCGCGCCGTCCACCCGCGGCGACCCGCTCGTGATCTCCGGCAGCGACGACGGCACCGCGAAGCTGTGGGACCTGCGGCGGAAGCACGCGGTGCGGACGTTCCCGCACCGGTTCCAGGTCACGGCGGTGGCCTTCTCCAAGGATGCCAGCCAAGTCTACACCGGCGGCGTCGACAACGTGCTGAGAGCGTACGACGTTCGGAAAGAAGACGCGCCGTATCTGACGCTTCCGGGGCACACGGACACGATCACCGGGATCGCGACGAGCCCGGACGGGACGCACGTCCTCACGAACGCGATGGACTGCACGCTGAGGATGTGGGACGTCCAGCCGTACGCGTCGGGAGACAGGTGCGTCAAGTACTTCACGGGTCACTCGCACAACTTTGAAAAAACGCTTCTGCGGTGCTCGTGGAGCGCGGACGGGACGCGCGTCAGCGCGGGGAGCTCGTGCGCGAACGTGTTCGTGTGGGACGTCGACAGCAGGAGGGTGGTGTATAAGCTTCCGGGGCACGGCGGAACGGTCGGCGAGGTGGCGTTTCACCCGAAGGAGCCGGTGATCGCGTCGGGGTCCGCGGATCACAAAATTTACTTGGGCGAACTCGCGGACTGACAGAATGATTCATCGTTCACTCGTCGGCTCATTCGTCGCGTCCGAGAGATCGCGGGGGGCGCGACGCGCAGCAGCACATAGCCTTATCATAGCTTCACGTAAAGAATCATCGAATAAAGAATTACAAGAAGAAGTATCGTACACGCGATCGATCTATCGATCGCTCGTTCGTCAGTCGAAGTCGAAGAAGCTCTTGTTGGCGTCGAAGCTCCGTCCGCGCTTCCCTCCCGCGCCGCTCTCTTTCCTGCCGAACAAGTCGCCCTCGTCCATGGAGTCCACGCTCTCATCGTACGACAGCGAGTCGCGCGCTTCGCTGTACGCGTACCACCGTCCTCGAACGTTCTCCCCGAGCTTCAACCACGCGTCGCGTATGCGCGTCTGAGGGTCGTTCCATACAAAGCGATGTCGGGGTGGAGTTGAAAGGCGTCAGGTGGAGTTGAAAGGCGTCGAGGGCGGGTATTGAAAGCGAGGGGTGGGCGGAGAGATGCACCGGGAAAAGTCCTTAAGGATCGGCGTTCACCACGCCAACGCGGTCGTATGGGAACCAGTGTAAAGAACGCACCTGCATCTTGCCCGTCGTCGCCGCGCCCTCCATCGCGGTGGACGGGTCCATCCCCAGTCGCGCGCGCGCCTCCTCGCCTTTTCTGATCATCGAGTTGGCGACGTCGAACGGGTCGCCGACGCGGACGTTCCCGCCGTTCATGACGCCCACGTTCTGGCGCTCGCACCGTTGCATCGCGTACTCGAGGATGGGCAAGTTCCGTTGCTTCACCCAGTAGATGCAGTCCACCGGGCAGGACTCGATCGCGATGGTGATGTCCTCCTCGGTGTCCGCCCACTGCGATCGATCGTCGGGGTGGGGTAGGGTTATTAGGGTTAGGGGTAGGGGTAGGGTTAGGGGTAGGGGTAGGGTTCGTTCGTTCGTGCGCGGTCGAGATCTGGGACGGGGCGAGGCGAGGCGTCGAATCGAATCGCGCGTACCTGCTGATACGCGCGCGCGCGGCCCCAGTCGTCCTCCATCATGAACGTCTTGGGCGCGCTGTGGTTGCACTGCCGGCACCCGATGCACGCGCTCTCGTTCACGAACACCGCGCGCGCGTCCTTTCCCGTCTCGACCGGGTCCGAGCCGACGAATTTCGAGAGGGGCTGCCCGGTGTACGGCTTGAAGTCGCCGTCGTCGCCGGCGAGATTTTGCGCGCGGCGAAGCTCCGTCAGATCGCGATCGTACACCTCGCGCTGCTTCTCGTCCATGAGCGTGTCGTACGCCTCGTTCAGGATCACGCACACCTCCGTCCCGGCCTCGCCCGCGATGTCCGGGTGGCACCACTTCTGCAGCTGTCTGTACTGCGCCTTCACCTCCGTCTCGTCCGCGTCGAGGTCGATCTGCAGCAGCGAGTAATAGTCGCCCGGGATGGCAGCCTCGAGCGGCTCCGCGAGTCGCCCGTCCGCGCCAACCTCGAAGAACGATACCGCGCAGTTGTCCTCGTCGTCGCACTCGTCGACGGAGAGCTCGATCGCGGTCGTGCTCGTCGTCGCCTCCGTCGCGGGCGGCTCCGCGGACGCCGCGCGCGTTCGGAGACGCGCGAGACGATCGGCGCGCGAGGCGTCCGTTCCGACCGACGACCGCGATCCATCGATCGTCCGCCCGAGTTGAAAGGTCGTCGCGACGGATGTGGTGATCCAGCGCAGCGCGCGGCGGTCGCGCGCGCCGAGCGCGCCTCGGCGCGACGCGGAGGACGCCGCCGCCGCCGCCGCCGCCGCGCGGCGATGCGACGCGACGGGGACGGCGGTCGCGGACGCCATCGCGACGACCGGGGACGATGCCATCGCCGGCGGGAGCCTTCCGCGGGAGAGCGCGGGGCGCGTGCCGATATGGCGCGCGGAGGCGCGTGCCAAGTGTCACAAAATCTTCGCGTTCGAACGACTTTTCGCGCGCGTTCGGGGCTGAGAGCCACGACCGCGCGCGCGCGCCCGCTCGCCGACGATGCGAGCGCTCCTCGCGCACCTCGAATCACGGCTCGCGCCGTCGCCGCTCCTCCTCGCGGCGCGCGCGGCCTCGACGCGCCGCGCGCGCCCCGCGCGATCGCCGCCGCGGGGGCCGACGCGCGCGGAGCGCGGCGGCGAGCTCGACGACGACGCGTCCGCGCCTTCCCGCGCGCGCGAAGAACACGAAGCCCTGAGCCCCAAGTTCGAGCTCGAGTGCGAGAGAGCGTGGCACGAGCACGACGTCGCCGCGCTCAGAGCCGCGCTCGCGAGGGCGAGCGCGGAGCTCGCGGACGCGACGCGCGCGCACGACGAGGCGCTGACGCGCGAGAAGAGCTTCCACGTCGCCGTCGAGGCTGAGCTCGCGGCGAGATACCACGAGACTTACGTCGAGAACCACGAGGGTTTCCGCGTCGCGGTGAACGAGCTGCGCGATTACGTCGACGCGGTCGACGCGCGGACGCGTCGACGGGGCGAGGACGACCGCGCCGCGCTGGAGGAGGCGCGCGCGGCGCTCGCGGAGGCGAACGCGACGTGCGAGGCGCTGCGAGACGAGAAGGAGCGCGAAAAAAAAGCAGCGCTCCTTCTCTCAACCCCGGACGACGAGCAAACGTATCTCGCGCGGCGCGCGCTGCTCGACGCGCTCGTTCGCGTTAGAGACGGAGACGTCGCCGGCGCGAGAGACGAGGTCGAGTCCGCGGTGTCGATCGCGCGCGCGCTCGATTTCCGCGTGCGCTTCATGGAGGACGCTTCTTCAGAGGAGGAGCGCGAGACGGACGACGAGCTCGAGCCTCTCAGGCGCGTCCCATCTCACACTGGTCCCCATACGACCGCGTTCGCGTGGTGAACGCCGTTTCTTAAGGACGTTTGCCGTCGTCTCTCTCCGCTCACCCTTCGCTTTCAATCCGCGCCATCGACGCCTTTCAACTCCAACTGACGCCTATGAACTCCACCCCGCGCTTTGTATGGAATGGCCCTTACGTAGAACCGCGCGGTTCGTCTTCGCCGGCGGCGGGAAGGACGCGTCGACGGGCGAGCCCGCGCCGTTCTGGGTGAAGGTGGACGCGACGCTCGAGGGCGAGCCGTCCGACGCGAGGGTGGTGGCGTCGCGAGGCGGCGGCGGCGGCGCCGGCGGCGGCGTCTCTCGCGCGACGATGCGATGGGAGGCGCTCGACGACGACGCGCCGTGTCCCGCGACGACGCCGTATCTCACTTCCGGCGCGCTCGTCGTCTCGCCCGGCGACGACGCGTCGGGCTGGCTGCCTCCGGGCGAATGGAAGACGCTCGTCAACGCGTCGCCGAGCGAGTTCACGGTGGCGCCGACGGAGGTGCCGCGCGACGCGTGGAAGATCGCGCCCGCGGTCGCGTCGTCGAAGGACGACGAGGTCGAAGTCGACGTCAAAGTCGCCGTCGCCGCCGACGTCGCCGCCGACGCCGACGTCGACGCTCGTTCGCCTCCCTCGACGCTGAGGTGCGTTCTATACACTGGTCCCCATACGACCGCGTCGGCGTGGTGAACGCCGTTTCTTAAGGACTTTTGCCGTCGTCTCTCTCCGCCCACCCCTCGCAATCAATACCCGCCCTCGGCGCCTTTCAACTTCAACTGACGCCTTTCAACTCCACCCCGACGTTCGCTCGTATAGAACGGCCCTCACCCTCCCGAGCGATCTGCGTCCGGTCTCGATCGAGTTCGCCGCGGTTCGAGGGCTGCGCGACGACGATCCGTTCATGGCCGCGGCGATTCGGTTTCTGAAGAGAGGCGAGATCGACGAAGACGACGACGTCTTCTCGCGGCTCTCCCCGGAGGTCGGCCTAGGCGAGATCTCGTGGGTCGCGCCGCCGATGCGCGAGCCGGGGGAGGACTCCGAGACGGACCCCGAAGCGCGCGGGGACGGCGCGATCGCGGAGGCGGCGGCGGAGGAGGTGGGCGGCGGCGTGAAGAACCCTCGCTGAGGAGAATCGAACGGACGGACGACGAAGGACGAAGGACGAAGGACGAAACGGAACGAAACGGAAAGAAACGAAACGGAACGAAGCGAAACGAAAAAAAACCCATACGACCGCGTCGGCGTTGTGAACGCCGATCCTTAAGGACTTTCACTTCGTCGACGTTCATCGCACAACAAACACCCGTCACGTTCACCCTGCTAATATCCTATCCAGAGAAAGTAAGAAGAAGACGCGCAGAAGGAAGAGAAGACGCGTCGTCATCACATCACATCGTGACGACGGCTCACTTCTTCCCCTTCTTCTTGCTCTTCTTCCCGCCGCTCGCGCCCTCCCATCCTCCGCTCCTCTGCGAAAACCCGTCGCCGCCGCCGCCGCCGCCCGCCACGATTCCCGGATTCGTCCGCTTCAAGCGAATGAGCTCGTTCGCGAACGACGCCGCGCGCGCGGTGTCGCCCAAGTACAGCTGCACGTACTCCGTCACCTCCCCCGCGGACGGCAGCGACACGAGGAAGTCCACGAGCGTCGTGTCGTCGCTGCCGTTGAGCGCGAGCATCTCGTCCTTCACCCACGCCTTGAATTCCGCCCCCGTCGTCGGCGACGTGGACGCCGGCGCCGACGGAGGCGCGACGAGCGGCGCGACCGCGACGCCGGGGAGCTTCGACGCGGGGGTCTTGCCGGGGAACCCGCCGCCGCTCTGTTGGATCTGTTGTTGTTGGCTCGGGGTGGGGGGGGCGGGGTGCGACGCCGCCACGGGGAGGGAATCCCAAAATCCGCCGCCGCCGCCGCCGCCGCCCGCGGGCGCGGACGTCACCGAGTGCGGCGTCGCGCCGCCGCCCCACGCGCCGCCGCCGCCGCCGCCGCCCATCATATGCGCCGCGGTCGGCGCCGCCGACTGCCGCTGCGACTCCGCGCGCTGACGCGCGACGCGCAGCTCCTCCTCCTGAATCTCGAGCAGAGACTTCCCCCCGCCGCGGGCCCCGCCCCACGCCGAGCCCAACGCGGCGCCCCCCGCGGTTATGGGGTTCGCCATTCGCTGCGCCTCCATCGCCTCGCGTCGCCGCGCAGCCTTCTCCTCCTCCTCGCGCTGGATATCCTGCAGCGATTGGCCGCCCTGGACGGACGCGGTCGTCGCGACCGCGGCGGCCGCGCCGCCCCACGCGGGCTGCCTCGGCGGCGACGCGGGCACCGTCTCCGGCTGCCTCGCGGCGTTTGCGGCGGCGGCGGCGCGTTGTTGCTGCTGCTGGACGTGGTTCAAGTCCGGCGGCGCGCCCTTCGGCGGCGTCGCGCTGACCCACCCGCCGTCCGCCGGCGCGCCTCCCCACGCGGGCGCCGCGTCGCCGAAAGACCCGGGCCGCGGCGCGGAGGGCAGACCCCCACCGCCGCCGCCGCCGCCGCCGCCGCCGTTCATGCGTCGCTCGATCTCGTCCATGGACATCCCCCCGCCGGGCATCGTCGGCATCGGAGGCGGCGCCGCGCCGCCCGCGTTCGCGGTCGCGGACCCGAACAGGTTCGCCAGCAGCGCGGGCTGCTGCTGCTGCTGGTGATGTTGTCCGTCGTTCGCGGCGTTCCCGTTTCTCCCGCCGCCGACCGCCGCGCCCTCGATGTCCTCGAGCGAACGCATCCCGCCGCTCGGCATCGCCGGCGGCGGCGCGTTCGGCCACGCGGAGGAGGAGCCCGCGCCGCCGCGCGAGGGCGGGCTCCCGAAGAGCGTGCCGCCGCCTTGGCTCTGGCCTTGACGCTGTTGCTGTTCTCTCTGTTGTCGCTCTTGCATCGCGCGCTGTTGAGCGAATTGCTGCTGCTGCTGCTGTTGTTGCTGCTGCTGCTGTTGCTGCTGTTGCTGCTGCTGTTGTTGTTGCTGCTGCTGCTGCTGTTGCTGTTGCTGCTGCTGCTGCTGCTGCTGCTGCTGCTGCTGCTGCTGCTGCTGCTGCTGCTGCGCCATCTGCGCCATCTGCTGCTCTCTCTGCTCCGCCTGCATCTGCGCCGCGATCCGCGGGCCCGGGTAGCGCCACCCGCACTCGAGCATCTCCGCGAGCGGCACGAACGGCATCGTCGGCGGCGCGTCCGCCGGTCGCAGAGGCAAATCCAGCGGGAAGTAGCCGTTCTCGTGCCACTCCAGGAGCTCCGCGCGTTGAAACGGGCCCTGCGACGTCCCGCTCGGGTCGAGGTAGAACCACGGCGCGTCCGTGATCGGGCCCGTCGCCGGCGGCGCCTGGTGCTGCGACTGTTGCTGTTGCGACGGTTGCTGTTGCGACTGTTGTTGCGACTGTCGCCGGTGACCGCCGCCGCCGCCGCCGAAATTCGTGTTCTCGCTCTCCTCCTCCAGCGCGCCGATCAACCCGCTGTCCTTCGCGTCGTCGCTCACGAACATGCCCCCGCCCACGAGCCGATCGCGCATCTTCTGATCGAGCCACGCCGCGCTGTTCGCCTCCTCCGCGGTGAGCTTCGGCACGGCGCCGCCGCCGAGGTACCCGTCGCCCGCACCTATACAAGCGAACGTCGGGGTGGAGTTCAAAGGCGTCAGTTGGCGTTGAAAGGCGTCGAGGACGGGGATTGAAAGCGGGGGGTGGGCGGAGAGAGACGCCGGGCAAAGTCCTTAAGGATCGGCGTTCACCACGCCGACGGGGTCGTATGGGAACCAGTGTATAGAACGCGCCGGGAGGATCCGCCGCCGTCTCCGTCGCCCACTCCGGGACGTTCGCGCGGTCCGCCTCGCTGCCCAGGCCGACGACGCCGCCGACGCCGGGGTAGATGGCGTTGTCGTTTGAATCGTTCTTCGAGTTCTTCTTCGTCGCGGCGGCCGCGGCCGCGGCGGACGCGGGAGGGATCAGCGGCGCCGGGTGCGCCGCGCCCGCCGCCCCGGAGGACCAGTCGCGCGCGCGCGACCCTTTGCTGCCCTCCACGGTGAGCTCGTACATGACGTCGCCGGGTTTCACGACGCGCAGCGGCACGGACTCCGGGTCCACGTTCGGCGGCAGCGGCAGCCCCGCGCCGCCGCACGCCGCCTCGAGCGCGCGCATGCGTTCGATGAGGTCGGTCGCGTTGTACTTGTACCGCACGGGTCCGTGGCGTTCGATCGTCGCGGGCGCGGGTACGGAGGTCAGTCCGCCGCCGCCGGGTCCGGGTCCCCCCGGGGGAACGAGGAGCGACGTCGCGGGGGCCGCCGCGGCGTCGTCGTATCGCCCTCGCGCGCGCTTGTTGAAGCCCTCGAAAAACTCGGACGACGACGCGCCGGCGCCGGGGATCGAACCGCCGGCGCCGCCGCCGCCGCCGAAGCTGAGCCCGCGGCCGCGGCCCATGGAGAACCCGCGGCCCGCGGCTGGCCTGGAAGGTTCTTTCTTCCCGCCGCCGCCGTCGTTGCCGCTCCATCGAGGGCCGTTCAGCGCGCTGTGCATCCCGGGACCGTCCGTGGGGGACGTCCCCGGGGACGTCCTCGCGCCGCCGCCGCCGCCGCCTTGATTCCACCCGGCGCCCTGACCGCCGCGTCGGTTCCACTGCCCGCGGCCTTCTTTCGCGAAGTCGCCGCCGCCCATGCCGGGCGGCGGCGGGCCGCTCGCGGATTCTTTCCAGCCGCGCCTGCCGAGGTCGGGCCCGCCGCGCTCGTCCTCGCGCCACTTGGACGATCTCCCGCCGCCGCCGTGGTCGAAGCTCCGTCGCGAGTCTTTCCAGCCGCCGCCGCCGCCGCCGCCGTGCGGTTTTGGCGCGAGCGAGCTGCCGTCGCCGACGAGCGCGGAGTTGACCTGCGCGCGAACGGAACGGATCGCGCGAGCGAGGGAGTCAGAAGAGAGAGCGCGACGCGCGTCGCGGCGAGACGAAAAGAGGAGAAGGGAGGCGACGAAAACGAAAACAAACGTCGAGGGAAGGGAAGGGATCCGTCCATCCATCCGACCGATCCATCCGACCGCGGGACGTCGCTCGGACGGACGGACGGGGCGACGCGCGACGCGCGATCGCGCGCGAGGATCGTCGATCGCGTCGCGATCGAATCGAACCGGACGCTCACCTGCTGCGGCGCCTCTCCCGGCGCGGGGCCCTTGTTAAACCCTCCGAGCCACTCTGTCGAGACGCGGAGAGGTGGGAGGTGAGAGACGCCGGGAGAGAAAGTCCTTAAGGATCGGCGTTCACCACGCGAACGCGGTCGTATGGGGACCGGTGTGAGATAGAACGCGTGGGGATGATGAAGCGGAGGGGCGGTCAGCCGACGCGTCGCGAGCGACGTCGCGCGGCGCGAGGACGGAGGACGGGAAGACGCGCGGCGCGGAGACGAGGAAGGGCTCCACGACGGACGCGCGGAGGGAGCGGCTGACTCCGCACCTGACTCCGCGCCGCCGCCCGGGCGCAGGGACATCCCCGCGAGCGCGCTCGAAGCGTCGTTGCCTGTTTGTTGGGACGAAGGCGTGAATGAAGATGCGTGAGGTGACGACGAGTGCGTGCCGGCGAAACGTGAGCGCTGGCGACGGCGACGCGCGATGCGCGGAGGCGACGACGCGACGCGCGCCGGGAAGAGACGAAGAGGGCGACCGCGCGACGCGCGACGAGCGCGCACCGACGGCGTCGCCGGGGCCGGACGTCATCGCGCGCGTCTCCTCGCGCGATTATTCCGCGAGATCCTTCGTCGACCGCGCGCCTCGCGTGTCAACAATTTCCCGCGCGCGACGCGCGTCGACGGAAACGAGGCGACGCGTCGCGCGCGTTCGCTCTCGCGCGATTTCGACGCGAGGACGCGAGAGCTGAGAGCTCGCTGAGATCGATCCGACCGACGCGGACGCGGGTGTGTGCGCCGTGCGAACGACGCGCGCGCGATGGTATGGCGCGCGGGACGGGTGTCGGGATACTTCCAGTCGATGCTGAGTGTGCCAGGCCGGCGAGAGCGCGCGAAACACAGACTGGAAGCGACCGCGACCTGCCCGCGCCGCGGTCGGTACACCTTCGATCGGTCGAGTCGAGAGCTGCTTGAAACCGCCGCGAGCGAGGGGGCGGCTCGCGCGTCACAGTAGATCGACGCGCGCGGACGCACGTCGCGCGCCTTCACGTCGTCCACTCGTCGGTGCTCGTCCGTCGGCGCATTCGGACGCGACCGTCGGAGCCTGCCGCGCGAAGAGAGAGAGGGAGAGAGCGAACGTCACGCGCGTCGACGATCGCCATGGCCGCGACCGTGCCCGTGAATCCCAAGCCGTTCCTGAATCAGCTCACCGGGAAGGCGATCATAGTGAAGCTGAAGTGGGGGATGGAGTACAAAGGTTACCTCGTGAGCACGGACGCGTACATGAACTTGCAGCTCGCGAGCACGGAGGAGTACATCGACGGGAAGTTCGCGGGGAACCTCGGGGAGGTGCTCATCAGGTGCGTCGCGCGCGATCGCGCGTCCAACCCTTAAAATCAGATCGAAACGAGGCTCAGAGATCTTTTGGATCTGTTCATTCGCCCGCCGACCCGCCGACGACGACTAACTTCCTTCCCCCCGTATCGTATCATTCCCGCTCACCGCAGGTGCAACAACGTCCTGTATCTGCGAGGCGCGCCGGAGGACGAGGAGGGCGGCGGCGCGGAGGCGATGGAGTGATCATCGCGGTCGAGGAGAACGGACGACTGCGGCGGCGGCGGCGAGCGCTCAACTCTCGTGTGTGTATGTCTTTTAACGCACGCGCGCACGCGTCGATCACTAAAACTCTCCGTCGCGTCGCGTCAGTTAAACTTGCAGTTCGAGAAGTCCATCTCCGGGTGCGCCTCCATGAACTTCTTCATAACGTCCGCCTTGGCCTGCTCGTCGCTCGTGGGCTTCCCCATTTGCTTCTGCGCGTTATCGTACATCATCTTCTCCACCGTCGACCGCGTCTCGCCGTCGAGGTCGCTCAGGTTTGAATTCTCCGGCTGCACCTTCTTCGTGTCGATCGGCACCGCGTCCCCCTTCACGACGACGTTCCACCACTCCATGTCGCTCTTCTTCTGGATCGTCAGCTGCACCGTGGACTTGTCCCACATCGTCCAGAAGCAGTCGTCCGGGACCACCTCGCCGTGCCACTCGCCCTTCACCAGCGGCGGCTCGCCTCGGAGGCCGAAGGCGAGGTGATTCCGCGTCATCTCGCACGCGATCTGCTTCGACGTCGTCCCCGTCGGCACGCGCATCCGCACGTCCACCTCCGTGAGCGTCTGCGTCCACGTGTAGTGCTCCGCCTCGCCGCCGTTCCCGGCGTTCGGCGCCTGCGTCCCGGGCGCGAGCTTGTCGTAGTCGTCCTCCGCCTCGTCGTGCGTCTGATGCGTCGGCGGCTCGTCGTCAGCCTCGTTCTTTTCGTTTTCCTTCTCCGCGGAGGGATCCGCGTCCTTCGCCTTCGCGGCGCCGGGCGTCTCGATCGTCTCCACGTCGTCGTCGTCCAGCTCTTGGATCTTCGGCGTGGTGCCGTCCATCGCGGTCGCGTTCTTCGACTCCTGAAGCTTCTTCTCGAGCGCGAGCTCTCTGACGCGCTTCCTCCGCGCCTCGTCCTCGACGGCGCGCTTTTCATCCTCCTCCCTCTCGAGACGCGCGCGGATCTCCGCCGCGGCCGCCTCCTTCGCCGCCTTCTTCTCCGCCTGCTTCTGCGCGTCCGACTTGCTCGCCTCGACGATCTTCTCCTGGCGCTCGAACGCGCGCATCACCGCGGGGCGGCACTCGGACGGCTTGTTGAAGAAGTCCGTCTTTCGGCGAAGAAAGCCAAAGTAGAGGTCGAGCATGTGATCGACCGGGTTCGCGCCGTCCGCCTGCGCGGCGATCTGTGACGCGATCTGGAGCATCATCGGGTCGAACTTCTCCGCGGTGGAATCTTCCAGGGTCGCCATCCTGCGCGGAGGAATCCTTCGTTCGGGGAGTGTGCGCGGGGCGCGTGTGCGTGCGGCGTCGAGGCGGCGCGCGGCGTTGACTGACGACGACGACGAGAGATCGCGATCTCGCAAAATCTGTCGAAGGCCGTGGAAAATCGCGCTCCGGCGAAGAGGCGAAGTGCCGTTTTGCATCTATACTCCCATCGCCCTCTCTCGTCACGCGTCTCGTAAGCTCCGCAGAACGTCCACGTCCTCCAACCCGTGCGCCTCCGCGTGCTCCCTCAACTTCGTGAAGAACGCGTCCGCGCCCTTGACCGCCTCCTCCGCCATGCGCACGTCGTTCGGATCCTCCATCTTCACCTTGAGCGCGGCTCGCATCGCCTTCAAAGAGAGGAAGCGAAAGCGAAAGGGGCGGCGTCGAAAGGCGTCAGTCAGGGGCGGAGTTGAAAGGCGTCGAGGGCGGGGATTGAAAGCGAGGGACCCTGGGCGGAGAGATGCGAGGGGCAAAGTCCTTAAGGATTGGCGTTCACCACGCGAACGCGGCCGTATGGGGACCAGTGTACGATAGAACGCGCCTTCACGCTCGCGACCAGATTCATCACTCTCTCGCGTCCGAGCGATTCGTCCATCCCCGCGCACTCGTCGTTCGTTCGATGCCGCCGGTCCAACACCTTCGCCTGGTGCATCGGCACGTTCCCCTCGCGCTTCTGCTCGTCCATCGAGCGCCCCGCGTTGACGCCGCTGACGCGGTGGAGCAGCTCCTGGAACAGCGTCGACGGCGCGCACGACGACGACGGCTCGCCGCCGCCGCCGCCGCCGACGCCGAATCGATTCGACGACGCCGACGCGCCCGGCAGCGACGCGGCGGCGGCGTGGAGGTCGACGAAGAACGCCGCGAAGCGCGCGACGACGTCGCGGACGCGCACGACGTCGCACTGACGCCAGGTCGCGGGCTTCTCCCCGCGGAACATCATCTCCACCTCCATCTGTCGGCGAAGCAGCCACTCGAACGCGGGGCCGGACGCGGAGCTCGTTGGTGATTTTCCGTCACCAACATCGCGCGCCTTCGCGTCGGCGTCGCCGCTCGCGTGGAGGTCGTACGGGGTCGGCGACGCGCGGCCGTTCGACAGCCGTCGGTGCTTCGACGCGGCCTTCAGCTTCTCGTGCGCGGTCATCGTCGTCCCCGTGGGCGACGTCGACGGCGACGACGCCGGGCTCGGACTCGCGCCGCGAGAGCCTCCGACGTGCATCGCTTTCATCGGCGCCGCGAGCGCCTCGGGGGAGAGGTCCAGGGTTCCGCCGCTGAGCGAGCGTCGGTGGCTGCGGTTTTCGCTGCGCTGTTTCTTGAGCGCGCCGAGCGCGTTCTTGACCTGCGCGGGGGGAGGCTGCGCCGCGGACATCGCGGCGGCGGCGTGGGGTGAGGGGGTGGTAACGCGCGGCGCGGTGTCCGCATCTTCGACGTCTCGGATACCGCGCCCGTCGTCGGTCGGGGCGGGGCAACGACCTTTTTCATCTCGAACCGCGCGGTTCAAAAATGGCCGTTGACGCTCGCTCGCGATCGGTTGACCCGCGCCCGGGGGGGGGCACTGCACGACGCGCGCGCATCGCTCGCGCACGCCGCCGTCGCACATCGCGCGTCGTTAGTTTAGGGTCGTCCACGCGCGGCACCGACGCGTCGAGGGACTCGCGCGCGCGGGCGTCGACGCGAAAACTACGCGAGGCACCGCGAGGGCGTCGTCGCGTCCGAGAGAGGTGCGAAAAAAAAAAGGGCGGCACCTGCGAGATCGCGGTTCGTCGGAGAGGACGCGCGGAGAGACGCGATCGGCGCGGGCGTCATGGACCGCATCCTCCCCGCGCTGTCGTCGCCGCAGATGAAGTCGCGGATGACCGCGGTGGACGACCTCCAGGTGCGACGTCCGCCCTTCGCGTCGGACGCGACGACGCCCCCTTCGCGCCGTCGCATCCATCCCGGTCGTCGCGCACGACGCGCGCGTCGCCTCGTCTTTTTCAAAATGTCCCGTCCCCCCTCGCCGGTCGTCCTCGCCGGTCGTCCCCTCCGTCGTCCCCTCCCTCATCCCCGCGTCTCCCTCCCCGCGACTGACTCCACCGAACTCCACCAGACGTACCTGGAGACGAACGAGGTGGCGGACAGGGACGAGGCGGCGCAGATCTCCGCCGCCCTCGAGTCGCTGCTCAAAGACAACAACGCCAAAGTGTGCGAGGGCGCGTTGTGCGCGGCGCGAAACGCCGTGGAGGGCGCCCCGGAGCTGTTCGAACGCCACGTGCCGTCGTTCATCGGCGGCGTGTTCGACCGCCTGGGCGATCTCAAGGCGCCGGTGCGAGAGGCGGGGCAGAGGCTCCTCGTGACGCTCATGGCAAACGGCGTGAGGTGCGCCGCGCGTTTCGCGAGACTGCTTCCCGTACGACCGCGTCGGCGCGGTGAACGCCGATCCTTAAGGACTTTTGCCGTCGTCTATCTCCGCCCACAGCTCGCTCGCTTCCAATACCCGACCTCGACGCCTTTCAACTCCAACTGACGCCTTTCAACTCCACCCCGACAATCGCAGTGAGCCGGCGACGCTCGTCGGGGGGCGGTCGAGCGCGTGGAAGCACAAGAACTGGCGCGTGCGCGAGGGGCTGCTTCGGACGATCGAGAGCGCGTTCGACGACATCGCGAGCGAGGGCCACGACATGAACGGCCTCGACGCGAAGACGACGCTGCCGCAGTGCGTCGCGGCGCTGGAGGACAGAGAGGCGCCGGTGAGGGAGGCGGCGGCGGATGCCGTCTGCGCGATGGGCAACGCGACGGGCGGCGGCGACGTCGTCAGGTGCGTTCTACACACTGTTCCCCATACGACCGCGTTGGCGTGGTGAACGCCGATCCTTAAGGACTTTGCCCGGCGCATATCTCCGCCCACCCCTTCCTTTCAATCCCCGCCCGCGACGCCTTTCAACTTCAACTGACGCCTTTCAACTCCACCCCGACGTTCGCTCGTACGGAACGACCCTCAGGGCGCTGAACAAGTTTACCATCCGCCCCGCGCAGCTGAAAGACATTCAGACGCGGCTGGGCGTGGACGCGGGGCCGAGCGCGGCGGTTTCGGCGGCGGCGGCGGGGAGCAGCAGCCGTCCGAGCAGCCACAGCGGCGTCAGGTCCGGAGCGACGTCGTCGTCGTCGTCGCCGCCCGCGACGTCGCACGCGTCGCGCGGACACTACGGCGGGGACGACCGGCGCGGTCACGGCGCGCCGCCGCCGGCGTCGTCGCGCCCGGGAGCCGGGAGCTCGAGGCCGTCAACGACGGGCGGGATGCTTCGAAGGGCGAACAGCGGCGGCATCCCGCCCGCGGACGCGAGCGCGGCGCCGCCGCCGTACGGCGCGGCGACGGGGTCGGTCCCGAGGATCGCGGAGGGCGCGCCGCCGCGTCCCGTGCACGTGGACAGCGAGCGCGAGCTGTCGCAGGAGATGGATAAGATCGCGACGCGGTTGAACCCGGCGAAGGAGTGGACGGATCGCATCGCGGCGATGGTGCGGATCGAGGCGCTGTTGCTCGGCGGAGCGGCGGAGTGGGAAAACTTCCCCGCGATTCTCTCGCGGCTGCGCGAGCCGCTGACGCATCAGGCGGCGGACCGGCGCTCCGCGATCGTGCGCCAGGTGGCGCACCTGCTCGTCGTTCTCGCCGCGGAGCTCGGCGGCGAGTTCGAGAAGGAAGCGACGCACTACGTCCCGGAGCTGTTTAAGTGCGTCGTGATCACCGTGCAGATCATCGCCGAGAGCGGCGACCTCGGCGTGCGCGGCGTCCTGCACAACTGTCACGCGAAGCATCTGATCCCCAAAATATGCGACGCCGCGTCCAAGGATCGCAGCGCGAAGCTGCGGTCGATCGCGACCGGGTGGCTCTCGCTCGTCGTGAAGGAGTGGGACCTCGGCGAGCGGTCCAGGGACGTCGTCGAGGACGCGGTCCTGAACATGGTGGGCGACGGCAACGCGGAGGTGCGCGTCGGCGCGCGGCGGATGTTCCTCGACTACGCGCGGCGGTTCCCCGACGCCGCGTCGAGAGCGCACGCGAGGATGGACGCGAACACGCAGCGCTTGATCGCGCAGGAGAGCGCCGCGGGGTACGACGGGGACGAGTACGCGAAGACGGGCGTCCTGGATCATCGGCCGGGGCGGGTCGCCGGGAGAGTCCGGTCGACGAGCCGGCCGGCGACGACGGCGGCGACGGCGCGGGTTCGACCCGCGCCGTCGTCGTCGTCCTTGGGGTTTGCGGACGGGTACGGCGGCGCGGATTCGTACCTCTCCGCGTCGGACGTCATGGACGGGAAGACGCGGGGAAGCGCGGGGGGCGGGGGCGGCGGCGGGGGGGTCGGGAGGGACGAGCGTCGCCGGTCGACGGCGACGGGCGGGGCGAGGCATCCGTCGTCGTCCTCGGCCGCCGCCGCCGCCGCGGAGAAGAAGTCGAGCGCGCAGCAGCAGCAGCAGCAGCAGCAGCAGCGCGACCGCGACGGGGACGCGTACGACGGGTCGAGGTACGCCTCCGACGGGCATCTGCGACCCGCGGCGGGACGCGAACGCGAACCGAGCTCAGGTGCGTTCTATACACTGGTTCCCATACGACCGCGTCGGCGTGGTGAACGCCGATCCTTAAGGACTTTGCCCGGCGTCTCTCTGCGCCCACCCCACGCTTTCAATCCCCGCCCTCGACGCCTTTCAACTCCACCTGACGCCTATGAACTCCACCCCGACGTTCGCTTGTATGGAACGGCCCTCAGTGCTCGACGTGCTCCAATCCGCTCGCGCGCTGTCGCCGCGCGCGGCGTCCTCCTCGATCTCCTCCGGCGGCGGCTTCGGCGCGTCGTCGTCGATCGCGGGACCCTCGTCGTCGTCGTCGTCGGCCGCGGTCGCGTGGGAGTCCAAGGTTGCGGTCTTCGACGCGCTCGCGCGCGCGATTCGCGTCGGCGGCGTCAAGGCGGCGGCGGACGCGACGACCCACGTCGACAAACTGTCGAACCTTTTCGTCCGACACTTGTCCGACCCGCACCACCGCGTCGCGCTCAGCGCGCTCGAGGCGTTCGTCGAGGTGGTCCCCGCGTGCGGCGGCGCGCTCGAGCCGTACCTCGAGCGATTGTGCCCGTCGCTGTTCCCGCGATTGGTCGACGCCAAGGAGAGCGTGCGAGGCGTCGCGTCGGCGGCGCTCGCGGCGGTGGGCGACGCGCACTCCGCGGACGCGCTCCTCCCCGCGCTTCTGACGTCGCTCGAGTCCGCGAAAGCGCCGCGCGCCAAGACGGGCGTCCTGGAGTTCGCGCTGTACGTCCTCAGCGGCCAAGGCGGCGGGACGGACCCGACCGGGATCGGGAAGTCGCCCGCGAGCGCAGGGAGCGGCGCGCTGAGCGAGGTGCGTTCTATACACTGGTCCCCATACGACCCCGTTCGCGTGGTGAACGCCATTCCTTAAGGACTTTGCCCGGCGCGTCTCTCCGCCCATCCCTTGCGTTCAATCCCCGCCCTCGACGCCTTTCAACTCCGCTTCTGACGCCTTTCAACTCCACCCCGACGTTCGCTTGTATGGAACGACCCTTAGTGGGTCGCGCGCGTGGCGCCGTTGACTTCGGACCGCCACGCGCCGTTGCGCGCCGCCGCCGCCGCGGGGCTCGCCGCGGTGCACGCGAGGGCGGACGCTCGAGTGTTGCTGAGGCACCTCGCGTCGCTGTCGAGCGCGGACGCCGCGGCGGTGTGCCGCGCGGTGTCGCCGCACGCGCCGAGCGTCGACTCGGAATTTCACGCGTACGTCTCCGGCGGCGGCGCGGAGTCTGCGCATCGATCGAGGCGCGCGTCTTCGGGCGCGGCGAGGCGGCGGTCGTCCTCCGGTCGCTACGGCGCGCCGTCCTCGGACTCCGACGACGACGTCGACGCGCCGCCGGGCCCCGCGCGGCGCACGCCGACGCGGCGCGACAGCGCCGCGGGCCCCGCGGATGACGTCGCGTCGCGAGCGCTTCGAGCGTCCATGGAACGCCTCGGGTTATCATCCCCGACGCGCGCGCGCGACGATCTGGACGGCGCCGCGGGCCTCCGCGCTCACGCGGCGTCGCCCGGGGCGGATTGGGGACCCGCGTCCGCGGCGAAGACGACGCGCGCGGACGACGCGCTCGTCGGCGCGGGGTCCGCCGACGCCGACTACGCGTTGGCCGAGGCGCTCAGCCTGAGCGCTCGCGATCCGTCGCGCGCGCTCCCTGGGATCCGCGCGGCGCTGCGCGACGGCGCGTCCCCCGGCGCGAACGCCGCGGGGCAGGTGCTCGCGATCGCGTTCGAAGCGCTGGCGCCCGGCGCGAGGGAAGGGACGTCGTCGCAGACGCGCTCGTGCGCGCTGTTCGCGTTGCGCGACCTCGCCGAGGCGTCGCCGCGCGCGTTCGCGCCGCACGCGGCTGTCGCGGTGCCGCGGATCGTGGACCACCTTCGCGGCGACGACGCGCAGACCGCGATGGACGCCGCGGACGCGCTCGACGGCGTGTGCGCCGCGTGCGCGCCCGCGGACGCGCTGAAATTCCTCGCGCCGCACCTCGGCGACGGCGGCGCCGCGCCCGTGCGATCGCTCTGCGCCGTCGTGTCGCGGACGACGCCGGACGAGCTCATGCGACGCACGCCGGACGTCATCCCGGGTCTCGTGGAGGCGTTCAACTCCCCGAGCGCGGACGTGAGGAAGGCTGTCGTCGACGCGCTCGTCGCGGCGTACGACGGGTTGGGGGACTGGCTGCTCCCGCAGCTGGGCGCGTTGACGCCGGCGCAGCAAAAGCTGGTGACGATTTACATCAACAGAGCGATGGAGAAAAACGGCGGCGCGGGGGCGAAGAGAGTCGGCGCGGACGGGCGCGTGCCGCTCGCGCCGCGGATGAATTGATACGAGTACATCTATCATTAGCGGGGTGGGGTGGGGTCTTAACCTTATTATTTATCGATGCGACGTGATGAGTGTTGACGTTCATTCAGATTACGAGCGTCTCGACGAGTGACGAGTGACGTTCAGATTACAAGCGTCTCGTTTCGCGTCGTTCGCGTTTATCATTCAGTTCTCTCTCGGGTCCCTCCCGTCGTAGCGCTCCGGTCCCCCTTCCGCGTCTGTCTGTCTGTCTTCTGTCGCGCCGCCGCGGGCCCCTTCTCACCGCTGAATCACGACCGAGGACGCGAGCCCGCCGTCGCCGATCTTCATCGCGCCGTCCGTCAACCGCTTCGGAGGGAACCCCGCGAGTTGTAACGTGTACTCGCCGCTCGCGCACGCCGGCGCCGCCGCCGCGATGTACGCCCGTATGTCCGACACCGTGTGCGATAGGTTAAACCTCGCCACCTTGCGGCTGCCGTCGCGGAGACGGAGCTGGATCGACGTCGACGGCGCGGACTCGTCGATGGACCACTCGCTCGGGGCGATCTCCGACGCCGGCTGCGGCGGCGGCGGCGGCGGCGCCGCCGCGGACGACGACGACCCCCCCAACGTCCTCCCCGACCCCGAAAACGCGACGTACTTCGGCTCCGGCGGCGGCTCGTAGTCCGTCTCCTTCTTCACGAGGTTGATGTTGATCGGCGTCGCGCGATCCGTGGGCTCGAGCTCCCGGGGGCACTCGCCTCTTCCGACGGCTTGCATGAACGCCGTGTTCGCGGGGTCGTCGTAGTTTCGCAGAGGCCCGTCGTCGACGGTGAATCCGTTGGCCCAGAACGTGATCGTGTGCACCTGCGGCGCCGGCGCGCCCGTCATCGGCTCGGGCGTCGCCGCCGCGCCCGCGACGGGGCCCCCATCGCTCGGGGCGTCCGAGTTGAGCGATCGAGACGCGCCCGTGAACGCGCCGCCGCGGACGCTCTTCTTTCCGTCGCCGCCGGGTCCGCCGCGCGCCAGGTCCTCCTCTCGGCCGTCGACCGCGCCCGCCGCGCGCGCGCCGTCGAGCATCGCCCTGAGCTTGTCCTCCCTCGACTGCGGCTTCTTCGGGTCTTGCACGACCGACCCGCTCTGCGCGCCGCCGGTGTACCACTCCTGCGGTTTCTCGCCGTCGTCGTCGTCGTCGCCGCCGCCGCCGCCGACGTCGCCGAAGCCTCGGACGTTGGAGGGCGCGCCGCTCGATCGCGCGCGTCTCGCCGCGGGCGCGGACGCGGACGCGGACGCGACGGTCGCGGGCGTCGGCGCCGCCGCCGCGGGCGCGGGCGCGGGCGCGGACGCGGGCTCGTCGCCGGCTTCTGCGGAGGGAGGGAGGGAGGGGGGCGGTCGTCAGGACGGATCCGAGGCGCCGGTTCGAGGTGTCGCCCCGCGCGTCGGTCGTCGCGACGACCGCGCGCGAATCGAGTCGAATCGGAGGGTTCCTCGCGCGCACCGTAGAACGCGCCGACCGCGGCGTCGACGTCGCCGCCGCACGATTCCAGGTGGAACGCGGCCTTCGCGGCGTCCGCGCAGCCGGTCACCGCGCAGAACGCGGCGATCTTCTCATCCTCGGACGACATCGCCGGATCAGATCGTCGTTCTGTTTTGTTAGCTGACGACGACGATGAGATCTGGCGGGACCGCGCGGAGCGGGGAGGGAGGGACCCGACGCGACGCCGACGCGCGGGCGGACGACGCGCGCGGTGCGACGCGCGACGGGAGACGAGCGAGCGCCGACGGGGCTCGCGCGCGAGCGTCGTCGCGGAGTGAGAGACGAACTCCGAGATCGTCGAGGGCACGCGAGCATCAGCCCGTGACGCGTTGACGCGACGAGTCAGCGCGCCCGCGCCCGAGTGCACTTTTTCGCGCGCGCGACGACGACGATGTCGGCGTGCGCGGCCCGCGCCGCCGGCGCGACCGCGACCTCGCGCGCGTCGCCGTCGCCGTCGCCGTCGACGTCCTCGCGTCGCCTCCTCGCGTCCTCCGCGTCTCGAGCTCGCGATTTAGGGATACCGCGACCGCGCGCCGCGGGAGCGGCAGCGGCGGGTGCGTTCTATACACTGGTCCCCATACGACCGCGTTGGCGAGGTGGACGCCGATCCTTAAGGACTTTGCCCGTCGCATCTCTTCGCGCGCACGACGTGGGAGGAGGACGTCGTCGTCTCGTCGCCGTCGCCGCCGCGTCGTCGTCCACGATCGCCGGCATCGACCTCGGCACGACCAACTCCGCGATCGCGATCGTCGTCGACGGCGAGCCCGTCGTCGTCCCGGACCCCGCCACGGGCGCGAACACGATCCCGTCCGTGGTGTCGTACCTCGCGAGCGGCGACGTGCTCGTGGGGAGAGACGCGCTGCGGCGGCAAAACGCGGACCCGAAGAACACGTTCGGCAGCGTGAAGAGATTCATCGGCAAGCGCTTCGACGACGCGCTCGCGAAGGAGGACGCGCGGCGGGTGCCGTACGACGTCGTCGCCGCGAAGGCGGCAACACGAGGAGGAGGAGGAGGAGGAGGAGGAGGAGGAGGAGGAGGAGGGAGCGACGCCGCCGCCGCCGGCGGCGGCGACGTCGTAGGGCTCAGATGCCCGGCGTTGGGTCCGGACGCGGTTCTGACGCCCGAGGAGGTCTCTTCTCGCGTCCTCCGCCGCCTCCTCGACTCAGCGGAAGCCTTCGCGGGCGGTGCGAAGATCACGCGCGTGGTGATCACCGTCCCCGCGTACTTCGACGACGCGCAGTGCGACGCGACGATCGCCGCGGGCGAGCTCGCGGGGCTCGAGAAGGTGAAGTTGTTGAGAGAGCCAATCGCGGCGGCGTTGGCGTACGGCGTGGGCGCGTTCCCCAGCCAGACCTCGTCCCATACGACCGCGTTGGCGAGGTGGACGCCGATCCTTAAGGACTTTGCCCGTCGCATCTCTTCGCGCGCACGACGTCGTTCCTCCGCGCACGTACTCGATCCACCAATCAAGATATGCCATCACTGACACGTTTACGCACACCCTCGACCGATGATCGCAGACGTCGACGACGACGAGACGGTTTTCGTCTTCGACTTGGGCGGCGGCACTTTCGACGTGTCCGTCCTCGACGTCGGCGGCGGCACCGTCGAGGTCCTCGCGACCGGCGGCGACGCGCACCTCGGCGGCGACGACTTGGACGTCGCAATCGCGCGGTGGCTCTCGAAGGAGGCGAGGGCGCTTGGCGCGGGCGTGGATCCGAGGGGCGCGACGCTGGCGGCGCGTCGCGCGCGGGAGAAACTCTCGGCGGCGATGTCGGTGGACGTCCCCATGCCCGGCGGGAAGAAGAAGACGCTCACGCGGCCGCTGCTCGAGAAGGTGTGCGCGGGGGTGCTGCGCGAGCTGCGGCTGCCCGTGGAGATCGCCGCGGACGCCGCGGGGGTGAACCTGGAGGCGCTGCAGTCGAACGCGTCGAAGAAGAAAAACGGCGGCGGCGGTCGAAGAGCCGGGCGGCCGTTCGATCACATCTTGCTCGTCGGCGGCGCGACGAAAACGCCCGCGGTGCGACGGTTCGTGGAGAACACGTTCGGGAGGAGAGTGAAGCCGGGGTTGGTGAACCCGGACGAGGTCGTCGCGCTGGGCGCCGCCGTGCACGCGGGCGCGCTGGAGGGCGTCGTCGCGGAGGTGGAGACGTTGGGACCGATGCAGGCGAGTTTGATTCGAGCGTTCGCGCGGCGGATGCGGAAAGAGGCGGCGGCGGCGGCGAGGGCGGAGGGCGAAGGCGGCGGCGGCGCGGGGGACGAGTGGGACGAGGACGCGATGGCCGCGGCCGCGGAGGCTGCGGGGTTGGACGTCGTCGACGACGAGGACGACGACGACGACGACTGGGGCCCGGACGACCTCGACGACTTGGGACCCTTCGAGGAGGAGGAGGAGGATGCGGAGGACGCGGCGGCGGCGACGGCGGCGCGGTCGTCGTGAACGAGTTCCCTCGTCTCCTCGATTCGATTATATCGATAATTTCGGTATCGTCGCGATCGTACGGTGCTAAAGGTACGAGTATTGCGATGGTACCGCGCCGCGCGCTCGTCTCATCGCGAGTACATCAGCTTCTCGTGCACTCGCCCCACTCTCGCGACCCACTCCTGGCTCCGCGGCCGCAATTTAATCAACCGCGGGCGCGCGTCCACGAACGCGGGGTCGATCTCCTCCTCCTCCTCCTCCTCCTCCCCATCCCCATCCTCCCCCGCCTCCCCCGCCTCCTCTTCCTCGTCCTCCTCGTCGCTCACCTTGACCTCCACCTGCCCCGCCTTGCGCGCGCCAGACGTCATCGACACGTACACGTCCAAACGGTGCGCCGGCGCCAGATGCCTCAGTCGCTCCGCCCACTCCACGACGCACGCCGCCTCCGCGAACGACGTCTTCAGCCCCAAGCGCTTCGCCGCGCGCGCCGGGTCGTCGTCGACGCGGTACAGGTCGAAGTGATGCACCGGCGGCCGCGACGTCTTCGCGAGCTTCTTTGGATTTTTCGCGTCGCGCTCGCAGTGCGCGTCGTACACCTGCTGCAGGAGGTACGTCGGGGACGGGACCTCGAGTCGCGCGTCCTCCGCGACCGCGCGGACGTACGCGCGCGAGAAGACGCTCTTCCCCGCGCCGACGTCGCCGTGCAGGCAGATGACGTCGCCCGCGCGCGCGCTCGCGGCGAGCATCCGCGCCACCTTCTCCGTCGCGCGCTGCGACGCGCAGCGCAGGTTGCAGCCGCCGACGTCTTCTTTTTCGTCCGGGACGCGCTCGTATCCCATCGTCTCCGTGGCGTCCGCGGTGGACGCCGCGTAGGACGCGCGGAGGCAGAGCGGCCCGCGCGCGGCGGCGGCGCGCGATGGTGTCGCGCGGTGGCGCGGCGGCGCGGGGAGGCGGACGGCGAACGACGTCATCGGCCGCGACAGCGCTCGCAGCATGCGCCGACGAATTGTGAATCTCGCGCTGGATGGCCTGGCGCTGGCGGCGAGCGCGTCATATCAAGGGTGCATGGTACAACGTCAACTCGTTTTTCGTTCGCACAACTACATCGCGACACAGCGCCTCGCGCGCATGTTACGCGATAATATTGACGGTAAGCGACCCAATATTATGCAATAAATCGATCTATATCATTGTCAAGAGAAACTTTCTCCGTGATTCTGCCGCGCGATATCACCTTCCGCCGCCGGCGCGCGCGTCGTCGACAGATGACCCGATGACCCATCTTTCGCGTTTTTCGAACGGAAACGCGACAGCACGTTTTTGGCAAAAAGTGACCACTGGCCTTTTCAAGCGCCGATTACATCGTGTTCTTGACAGTAAGCGACGTCATATTCTTACTTATATTGATGATATACATCACGAAGATCACTTCTTCCCACTATGATAAAGTCATTCACGACCTTCCGACGACGCCATGGTCGCACAAACACGCGGACCCTGACGTCTGCCGAAAAATATTTCCCTGCGGAAGGGAGAAATTATTTCACCTGAAAAATGCGAACGGGTCCGAGAGGTCTCGGTTTTTTTGCCCCATCCGCGGGTTGGCGAGGAGCGCCGTGCGGCATCGAGATTCATCGCTGGGCTACCCGCGCTCGCGCAGCATCACCCTGTGCCATATATCATGCATCACCGCCCTCGATGACGCCAGAAGTGCTACGTGTCCCCCGCGCGAGGCGCTGTGTCGCGATGTAGATGTGTCAACGAAATCGACCTGACGTTGTACCTTATGCACCCTTAATACGTCATCAACGATTTTCGGCGCCGCTCCGAAACGCCTGTTGGTATTCCGTGACCGCGCGCGGGGACGGCGCGACGGCTCGCCTTCGACTCCGCCGCGCGACAAGACAAGACCCGCGCGAATCACCGCGCGAGAAGTTTACACGACGTCGACGCGAGAGGCGATGTCAGGTCTCGCACTTCCCAAGCGCGCAGCCGCGACGTCAACCTCCATCCGAGCGCCACCACGACGACGACGACGACGACGACGATGCTGTCCCTCAACATCCCGCTCCCGCCCGCGGACGAACCCCTCGACGTGCGTCGCGCCTCTCGTCCGTCTTCATCGCGCGCGCGTCGTCGTCGTCGTCGTCGTCGTCGATCGCGCCGTCTTCGCGCGCCTCTCCCGCGGCCTTGTACGCGCGGCCCCGCGCTGATCTAGCTGACGCGTTTCGAACCCTCCGTCTCGTCACGCGTCTCGTCTCGCAGGCGTTTGGTCTTCCGACGTCTCCAGCCTTGGATCTCTCGTCGCCGCCGTTCGTCGACGTCGACGGTGACGTCGAGGGCGTCGCGCGCGATTTTTTCGGCGAGACAACGACGCTCCCGAGCGGCGCCGCGCTCCTCGCGCGGCGGTCGCGCGCGAAGGAAAGCGGCTCGCTCGCGCGCGACGAGGCGCCGTGGCGCTTGGTCGAATCGCAATGTCACGTCGCCGCGGCGTCCGCGGCGGCGGCGGCGGCGGCGGCGGCGAAGCCAGCGAAACAAACGGCCGCTTCGCGCGCGTTACCTAGAATGGCGATCCACAAAGCCGCGTCGAGGTTACTGCTCGTGGACCCGGTGATCCCGGAGTCGACCCCGGAGACGACGCCGACGACGACGACGACGACGGCGACGACGACGACGACGACGACGACGCGCGCGAAGACCGTGCGGAGAAAGACGACGCCGGTCAGCGTCCTCGCCGTCGCGTCCGCGTCCGCGACCGACGACGACGACGCGGACGACCGCGCGTGGTGGGCCGAGGACAAAGACGACAAAGACGCGACGCGCGAAGAGACGTGCGACGCCGACGCGGACGCGACCGCGACGCCGTGGTGGAAGAAAGTCGCGTCGAACGACAGCATCCTCCCGCTGTCGATCGACGCGACTTTGCCGCCGCTCGCGTCGCCTCCGGCGCCGGCGCTCCCGCCGAAACGCGTCGACGCCGCGACGCGCGCGATGTCCGCGGCGCGGCGACTCTCCGCCGCGCTCGACGCCGAGCGCGTTCGCTTCGAGACGCGGACGCGCGCGTGCCGAGACCGCGCGCGGGACATCTCCGCGCGTTTCGAACGCTCGTTTCTCGCGCCGAAAGGAACCGCGCTCGATCGCGAGAGACAGCGCGAGGGGGCGATGCGCGACCTCGGCGCGAACGTCGCGCTGATCGAGCCCGTCGTCTCGGCCGCGCTCGACGAGCGCGCGTCGCGCGCGTCGGGTTCGGACGCGACGGCGACCGCCGCCGTCGCCGCCGCCGTCGCGAGGGCGTCGGGTGCGTTCTATACACTGGTCCCCATACGACCGCGTCGGCGCGGTGAACGCCGATCCTTAAGGACGTTTCCCGTCGCATCTCTACGCACAGGGTCCCTCGCTTTCAATCCCCGCCCTCAGCGCCTTTCAACTTCAACTGACGCCTTTCAACTTCACCCCGACGTTCGCTCGTATGGAACGACCCTCAGCCCCGCTGCCGCCGCGGTACTGGCCGGGCGTCGTTCGAAAGCCGCGGCCGCGCGCGGACGGGAAGCCTCTGCGCGGGCGACGGCCGTCCCCGGCGACGATCAAGAAGCGCGCCGCCGACGCGAAGCCGCGCGCCGTCGCGCGCGTCAAGGCGGCGGCGACGACGACGGCGGTGTCGCGCGACGCTTCGGACGACGCGTCGGACGACGACGACGACGACGACGACGACGCCGTCGACGACGACGCGTCGATAAAAGGCGGGTTCAAGTTCAACTCGCAGTCGAAGCGGACGCAGTCGCTCAGGGACTGGCTCGTCGCGCACTTCGACTCGCCGTATCCGGAGGAGCGCGACAAGGAGAGGATGGCCGCCGCGAGCGGGATGACGAGAGCGCAGGTCGGGAACTGGTTCATCAACGCGCGCGTGAGGATTTGGCGGCCGCTCGTGATGCAGCTCGGGGAGGAGGTGAGACTGCTTCCCATACGACCCCGTTCGCGTGGTGAACGCCGTTCCTTAAGGACTTTTCCCGTCGTCACTCTTCACCCGCGTTTCCTTTTCAACGCTTGACCGGTAAGACGTTCGACTGACCGATCGCTTCACCAGCTCGAGCGAGAGGAGGAGCGAGCGGACGTCGCGGCGGCGCCCTCCGGGAAGAAGCGAGCCCCGGGCGGGACCGGGGGGAGAAACAACAGAAAGTGACGGACGAGCCGTCCGTCGCGTCCCGCGGGGGACGCGCGACGCGCGAGTGGCTCGTTCGTCCAAGCCGCGCGCGAGCGCGCGACGCCGTATTTCCTTTAAACATTCCACGCATTATTCCGTCGCCGTTCTCTACCGCGCGAAGCTCCGAGCGGCCCGCCGCTCTCCCCCCCCTCACCACCTCGTCACCCACCCTCCCCGACACCCACCCCATCGACCTGATACCGCATCAGGTCGTCGATGAATCAAAATCTACGGTCGTCGATGAAGCGTAATATCAAAAGTTCGCGTCCGCGTCCGCGTCGCCCGCGCCTCCGGCGCGGCCGCTCGTCCGTCATAGCGCGCCGAGCGCGCCGAGGTCGCGCTCGCGCAGCCTCTTCCCCCCGTCCGGGCCTTCCTCCCACGCGAGTTCCTTGAGCAACACGATGACGACGGACATGTTATCGCACCCGATGCCGCTCCCCTTCGTGTCCGGGGCCATGCACTCGTCCGCGAGCGACTCGCAAATCTTCGACAGCGGCTCGTCGTGCCGCAACCGCGCGCGGATGAAGTCCACGCACTGCTGCGACGTGAGGACGTCCCAGATCCCGTCGCACGCGATGACCACGAACTCGTCCCCGGCTGAGATTTTCTCCGAGTGAATCTCCGGATACGCCGTGACGATCTGATCCCGCGCGCTGAGCTCCTTACTCCGCTTGTACTCCAAGTCGCCGATCGCCCGCGACAGCGCGAGCGACCCGTTCACGCGCCCTTCTTGCACGAACCCGCCGGCTTTCACTATCCTCGCGCGCTCGTCATCGTCCATCGGCTTGTGGTCCCGCGACAGCGCGACGGCTTTCCCGCGGCGGCACAGCACCGCCCTCGAGTCCCCCGCGTTGGCCACGGTGAGCACGTCGTCGCGCACGACCGCGACGACGCACGTCGTCCCCGCCTGCGGGCCGTCCCAGTGCTGCGCGCCTTCGTCGTCGTCGCCGATGTCGCCGACGTCGTCGCCGTTGGCGCGCGCGCGCGCGAGGAGCGCCTGACGCATCTTACTCGATAAGCCGCCGCCGCCGCCGCCGCCGCCGCCGCCGCCGCCGCCGTCGCGGTCGCCGCCGTTGCCCGCGAGCTCCTGGAGTTCGTCCTTGCCGCTGATGTCGATCATGTTGACGTCCATCGCGAGGAACGAGTCGATGAGCGCCTGGGAGACGTTCGATTTGTACTGATCGCTCCGCGCGAAGACCTCGTGGAGGTGACGGCTGACGTAGATGGCGACCTGATGGATCGATCGCGGAGGCGGCGGGCCGGGACGGTAAGGTGGGAAAACGGGGTCAGCACTGGGGGGGGCGGGTCAGCGCGCGCTCGCGCGGGCGGCGCGAACGGCGCGTCGTTTGAGAGCGCCTGCGTCGCGTCGCGATCGATCGCGAAGGCGCGCGCGCGCGAGTCGGGGGAGCGCGGCGGCGAGGCGACGGAGGGCGGGCTCGGTCGGGGAACGACGATAATTCGAGCGGATGGTGGATCCGCGTCAGATCTTCTTCGCCCGCGATCGATCGAGCCGCCGCGCGCGCGCACCTCTTTCCCGCCGTGGCCGTCGTACACGCCGAAGAACGCGGTGTTGTGATCCATGCCCAACACCGTCGCGTGCGCGTCCTGCGTGACGAGCGAGAGGAAGGGGGCGGGGATCGCGCGGTCAGCGTTCGCGCCGACGCCGGACGCGGGGTTTTGATGACGCGACGTCGGCTGCCTTTATCGCGCGAACGCGAACGTTCTCGAAAATGCGTTCGCGGCCGCGGCGTGCGCGAGATCGCGTCTCTCTCGCACCTCCATGTTCGTCCGCCACCCCTGCATCGCGGTCGTGCCGTACTTAAACCTCGCATCCTCCCCGTCCGTGCTCTCCTTCTCCGTGATCGGCTGAGAGAGGTACGCTCCCATCGCGGGTCAATCCGGATCCGCGCGCCTCTTCTCGCCGCCGCGCGAACGAACGATCTTTTACCACAGACGACGACCGAAGCGATTCGCGCGCGGGATGGACGATCGCGACCGCGACCGCGACGACGCGTGCGATTCCTTCGAGCGAAAGCGCTCGGGAGAAGAAACCCGGGCGATGACGCGACGCGTGCGAGCGCGCGCGCGGGCGAGTGCGGCGCGCGATCCCCACCCGCGTCCTCGTCATCCATCGCGCAGGCCACGTTTTTCGTGTACGAACAGATCTAAAACAGCAGAGCTGACAAGATGAGAGTGCGATCGAAGCAATCGTTTTTCACCCAACCCACAGTTTCAACATTTGATCGCTCTACTTTTCAACTGATCGAGAACATTTTACCTATTTTTTTGGCCCTGCGTCTCTGCTTCTGTACGTCTGAGGACTGAGGTCGATCTCATCTGGCGCCCCTCATTCCGCCCGCGCTGCCGGCGCGATGGCGGCGGCGGACGAGGATGAGTCCGTCGCTTCGGCGGACATGCCGACGGCGCAGTCGAGCCTAGACCCGGGCGCGAACGCGGTTCGCGAGGCGGCGAGGAAGCGCAAGCGCGACGACGACGACGGAGACGACGACGTCGGCGGCGGCGGCGAGAAAAAAAGTGCCGAAGACGCCGCGACGATGCGACCGCCGCCGCCGCGGACGTCGTGCGTGCACCAGGTCGCGATCCCGGAGTGCTGGGACGGCGACCGCGACGCTCTGAACAACCCGACGTACGACGGCGCGCGCGCCAAGGCGTACCCGTTCGTCCTCGACGCGTTCCAGGAAACCTCCATCGCGGTCCTCGAGAGAAACGAGAGCGTGATGGTCGCCGCGCACACGTCCGCGGGGAAGACCGTCGTCGCGGAATACGCCATCGCGATGGCGTTCCGGGACAAGCAGAGGGTTATATACACCTCCCCGATCAAGGCGCTGTCGAACCAGAAGTTCCGAGAGCTCGCGGAGGAGTTTGGCGGCGACGCCGGCGCGGAGGTGGGTCTCATGACGGGCGACGTGTGCATCAACAAAAACGCGACGTGCATCGTGATGACGACGGAAGTCCTGCGCGGGATGCTGTACCGCGGGAGCGAGATCGTGCGAGAGGTCAAGTGGATCATCTTCGACGAGGTGCACTACATGCGGGATAAAGAGCGAGGCGTCGTGTGGGAGGAGAGCATCATTCACGCGCCGGAGGGAAGCAAGATGGTCTTTCTCTCCGCCACGCTGCCCAACTCGTTTCAGTTCGCGCAGTGGATCACTCGACTGCACGACCACCCGTGCCACGTCGTGTACACGGACCACAGGCCCACGCCGCTGCAGCACTACGCGTTCCCGAAGGGCGGGTCCGGCTTGCATCTGATCGTGGACGACCGGGGGAACTTCCGGGATGAAAACTACCGAGCGTTGTCGAACGCGATCGACGACGTCGAGGCGAAGCGCAAGGCGGGCGGCAAGGGCGGCGGGAGAGGCGGCGGCGGGCGCGGCGGCGGGCGCGGCGGAGGTGGGCGCGGGGGTGGCGGGCGGGGAGGAGGAAGAGGCGCCGGCGCCGGGGGCGACGACGCGGGCGGTGAGGACATCTCCAAGGTCATGACGATGATAAAAAAAAAAGACATGTATCCGGTGATTTGCTTTTCCTTCTCGAGGCGAGAGTGCGAGGAGCACCCGAAAGCGCTGAAGAACGTCGACTTCACGAACGACGAGGAGAAGGCGCACATACGGACGATATTCAACCACGCGCTGACGCAGTGCATGGCGGAGGAGGACCGCGATTTAGACGCGGTGACGAAGATTTTGCCTCTGCTCGAGAAGGGCGTCGGCATCCATCACAGCGGGCTGCTGCCCATCGTGAAGGAGCTCGTCGAGATTCTCTTCGGCGAGTCGCTCGTGAAGTGTCTCTTCGCCACGGAGACGTTCGCGATGGGGCTGAACATGCCCGCGAAGACGGTCGTGTTCACGTCCACGGAGAAGTTCGACGGCACGGAGATGCGTCTGCTCGCGCCCGGAGAGTACACGCAGATGAGCGGCCGCGCGGGGAGGAGAGGCAAGGACGACCGCGGGACGTGCATCATCATGGTGGACAAGAAGCTCGAGAAGGAGCAGCTCCGCGGGGTGTGTCTCGGGACGCCGCAGCCGCTGAATTCGGAGTTCAAGCTGACGTATTACTCCATCTTGAACCTCCTGAAGCGCGCGGAAGGGGTCGTGAACGCGGAGTACGTCATCGAGCGTTCGTTTCATCAATTTCAACACGCGGAGGCGGTGCCGAGACATAAAGCGCGCTTAGTCGAGATCGAAGAGGAGATGACAGCGATGACGCACGAGCATGAGGCCGGGGTGAAGGCGTACCACGACCTTCGAAGAGAGATCTCCGCGTGCGAAGCCGAGATGCGCGCGCGGATCGTATCCCCGGAGAACGCGATGCGGTTTTTGAAACCGGGGAGGATGATTCGCGTGAAGCACGACGGGCTCGACTTCGGCTGGGGCGTCGTCGTTCACGTCGCCGCGGACGCCGCGGGGAACGACCACGTCGTGGACACGCTGCTGCAGTGCGCTCCGGGCGCGAGCGAGGGAAAGCTCGCGCCGGCGAGCCGCGGCGGGCCCCCGAGTCGCGCGATCGACCCGGACGCGACGTGCGAGGTGCTTCCGGTGTCTCTGGCTGAGTGCGTGCACGAGCTCAGCGCGATTCGCGTCACGCTGCCGGACGACCTGAGGTTACGAAAAAACCGCGAGAGCGTCGGGCTCGCGCTGAACGAGCTGCATCAGCGGTACGCCGACGACGCGTTCCCCAGGATAGACCCGATCGCGGACATGGGGATCGACGACGACGCGTTCGCGGCGACGGCGGCGCGGTGCGAGGCGCTCGAGAAGAAGCTCGCGAAAACGACGACGTTCAAGGCGTTACAAAAAGAGAAGAAGGGTGACGAGGGCGGCGAGGAGACGAAGCGCGTCGCGCTGTACGAGAAGCGTGCGAAGCTCGAAGAGGAAGCGGCGACGTTGCGCTCGAAGGTTAGGTCGCTGAGCGCCGTCGGCGAGTTCCGCAAGGAGCTCAAGTCGCGCGCCAAGGTTTTGAAACGGCTCGGGCACGTCGACGACGCGCTCGTCGTGAAGCTCAAAGGCCGCGCCGCGTGCGAGATCGACACCGCGGATGAGCTCCTCGTCACGGAGCTCATGTTCAACGGCTGCTTCACGAGGCTGGACGCGTCCCAGCTCGTCGCGTTGTGCTCGATGTTCATGCCCGTGGAGAAGGTGAAGCACTACACGACGCCGGAGGCGCTGACGCCCGCGATCGAGGAGCTGACGACCGCGGCGAGGGAGATCGCGACGCTGCAGAAGGAGTGCAAGCTCGACATCGACGTGGACGAGTTCGTGGACTCGTTCAAGCCCGTGCTGTGCGAGGTGGTGTTCGACTGGAGCAAGGGCGCGCGGTTCGACGACGTCATGAAAAAGACGGATTTATTCGAGGGCACGGTGATCCGAGCGCTGCGAAGATTGGACGAGCTCATGATGGAGCTGCATCGCGCGGCGTGCGCGGTCGGGGACGAGGCGCTCGCGAAGAAGTTCGAGGAAGGCGCGAAGAGTTTACGGCACGGCGTCGTGTTCGCCACGAGCCTGTACCTGTGATGGGGGGACGCGATGCGCTGCGATGTGATGATGTGCCGCGTTTCGTTTCAATATTTCACAGAAGTCCGCACTGGTCCCCATACGACCGCGTCGGCATGGTGAACGCCGATCCTTAAGGACTTTTGCCGTCGTCTCTCTCCGCCCACCCCTGGGTTTCAATCCCCGCCCTCGACGCCTTTCAACTCCAACTGACGCCTTTCAACTCCACCCCGACGTCGCTTCGTGTGGGCGACGACACTCATCAGATGTTCACCTCCCCTCCGCCGCCCGCGTCGCGTCTCCCCCGCGTACCGCGTGTCGTCCCCACTCTATATGTTCCTACTCCATCGCGCGCCGCGAGCTAATACAATACGTCGCGCGCGATGCGATCGACCACGCACGTCATCGCATAGCTTCCGCATCGATCACTCCGCGGGCGCGGCGTCGCCCTCGCCCTCCTCCGCCGCCGGCGGGTTCTCGAGCTCTTCGATCTTCGTCTGCGCCGCGGCGAGCTCCGTCTGCGTCTTTTCTAGCTCCGCCGCGAGCGCGTTCTTCTCCTCCATGAGGGCTTCGTACTCCGCGGGGGTGGGGCCGCCGAGGTTCGACTTCAGGAAGCTGTCGTTTTCGAGTTTGAACGCGCGCGCGCGGGGCGGGGCGGGGGCGGGAGGACGTCGGTCAGCCGAGTCGCGCGTTAATCCATTTCGGGCGAAGAAGGACGACCGGCACGTTTCGGACGAGGCGAGGGACGCGCGCGACGCGGGACGGGACGGGCGGGGACGCGCTCGATGGCCGTCGCGGGCTTGTCCGGCTCCTCGTACAGGGACACGAGAACCTTCGTGAGGGAGTCGATGACGCCCGCGGACTCGAGGTACTTTCTGAACGCTTCCTTCTTTTGCTCGGTCGCCTGTTCGAGGACGGGGCGATGAGCGGGGGGGGGGACGGGCGGTGAGATGATTTATTGAGACGATGGCGAGAGGCGAGCTCGCGCGGGACGCGGTCGACCGCCGGCGACGACGCGCGAGCGACCGAGCGACGCGCGGAAGCCGCGCGCGCGCGCACCATGATGCGCGAACGCGCGGACGGTGGGTGGTGATCCGACGGTGCGTGCGGGGACGCGCGCGCGATCAATGCCGCGCGGCGCCGCGGAGACCGCGACCGTAGCAGCAGGAGCCGTTGACGAAAATCGCGCGGGACGCTGACTCCCCCTCTCCACCTCCGACAATTCGCGGGCGGGGCGCACCTCACTCCCGTCGCGCGCGGCGTTCGCGGCGCGATGTCCGACGCGCACGCCGCCCCGGCGCCCGACGCGGCCGCCGCGAACCCCGAACCCGCCGAGGAGGAGGACGACGACTTCGCGCACGACGGCGTGCGAATGACGCGCGACGTCATCGTGAAGAGCCTGTCGCGCGCGGATCGCCAGAGGGAGGACTTCGACGCGCACCTGCGCCGACTGACGCATCTGCGGCTGGACGGCAAGAACATCGGGCGCGTGGACGCGCTCGCGACGGTCCCGGGCGTCAGGGTGCTGTACCTGTACGATAACGTCATCTCGCGGCTCGCGGGGCTCGACCCGCTCGCGCCGTCGCTGACGCATCTCTACCTGCAAAACAACAACCTCCCGCGCGTCGAAGGGCTCGCGAAGCTCGCGAAGCTTCAGAAGCTCTACCTCGACGGGAACAGGATCACGTACGTGGACGGCCTCGGCGGATGCGCCGAGCTCGAGGAGCTGCACCTGAGCGCGCAGCGGTTGGATCCGGAGGAGGAGCTCGAGTTCGACGCGCAGACGATGGCGAGCCTCGCGCGGTCTCTGCGCGTGCTCGTCGCGTCGAGGACGCGCGTGCGCGACCCGAGGGTGCGCACTATCTATCGTACACCGGTGGTCCCCACGCGACCCCGTCGGCGTGGTGCACGCCGTTCCTCGAGGACGGACTTTATCCCCCGGCGTTCGTCACTCTCCGCCCACCCCTCGGTTTCAATCCCGACGCACCGCGACGCCTTTCAACTCCACCCCTGACGCCTTTCGACGCCGCCTTTCAACTCCGCCCCGAAGCCGCTCCGCGCGCTCGCGTCGCTTCGCGTCCTGGACCTCTCGCACTGCCAGATCGAGGCGACGCGCGACCTCGAGTCCGTGCTGCTGTCCGCGAAGAAGCTCACGTCGCTGGACGCGCGCGGGAACCCGGGGCTGTCGAAGGGTCCGAAGCATCGACGCGACGCGAAGCTGACGCTGTTGGGGCAGTCGTTGCGTTTGCTCAACGGACGCGAGATCACTCCGACGGAGCGAGAGTTTCTCGTGCGGATGCAGACGGTTCGCGTGCAGAAGCGCGCGGCCGCGGCGCAGCGCACGCAGCAGCAGCGCCAGCACCTGAAGACGATCGCGAGCCTCGGCGAGGGCACCGTCGACCACGGGTTCGACGGCGACGCGTACTCGCCCACGAGGGGGTTCTCGCCGACGAAGTCGCAGGGCGCCGGGATCTTCTCCCCGAAGGATTTCCCGTCGTCGCCGAACGCGAGCTCGAACGATCTGATTCTGGAGTCGACGTCGTCGCGGCGCGTCAGCGTCGCGAGCGATCGATCCCCCGGGGGAGAGAAAGAGGAAAAGGACGTTGGTGGAGGAGGAGAAGGCGCCGCGGCGCGCGAGGGGGAGGACGACGACGACGTCCAGATTGGCGCGGCGGATGCGGAGGAGGAGGAGGAGGAGACGGAAGAGAAGACCGCGGCGGGCGAGGGCGAGGGCGAGGAGGACGCCGCGGCGACGGCGGCGAACGACGCGGAGGACGAAGAGGAGGAAGAAGATCCCGGGCCCAGTGGGATCGATAACGGCGTGCAGAGGAAGCTCGATCTCGACGACGACGGGGAGGAGGAGGTGGAGGAGGAGGAGGAGGAGGCCGAGGCGGTCGGCGCGGCGGCGGCGGCGGCGGACGCGGCGGAGCCGGAGGGGACGCCTCCCGCGGAGGTGGCGTCGCCCGCGCCGGACCCGGACCCGGAGACGCCCGCGGCGGCGGCGGCGGAGGAGGAGGAGGACGAGTGAGCGCGTGTCCTCGCGTGTTAATCACACCCTACGTAGCAGCTCCTTCGCGACGCCCAGAAAAATTCATCCACGCGCAGACGAAGAGCTTGATCTGCTGATGATCTCTAGATCGCCGTCCGGCGGAGACGTGGCTGCGCGCTCGACGCGATCGTCCACCACCGCGGCACTCCGCGACGCGCATCGCACGCGCATCAGCACCCGCCGCGACGTTCCCGCCGCGCGCGCAAACGCGAACGACCGCGACGTTCACGGGCCCGCGCGCGCGCCGGCGAAGCGCGCGACAGCGCGCGCGCGGATAGGCGGAGGAAGACCTCCGCGGATATCATCACGATGAGCGCTTCCGTCGGCGCGCGGTGCGCTCTCGTCGCGTCCGCTCGCGTCGCGTCCGCGTCCGCGTCCGCGTCGGCGCGCTCGCGCTCAGCGCGCCTCGGCCGACGACCGTCCGCCTCCGTCTCCTCCTCCTCCTCCTCCCGCGTCGTCGTCGTCGTCCGCGCGGAGTCGTCCGAGACCGAGCGCGCCGCGGACCTGGACAAAGAAGTCAGCAAGCGAGCGAAGAAGATCGCGAGCACGTTCGCGCCGCGGTCGTCCACCCCCGCGGGGAAGAAGAACCCCGCGTTCAAGGGATCGACGCTGTACACCATCTTCGAGGTCCAGGCGTACGTCTCGCTCGTCGTCGGGTCGCTGCTCTCGTACAACGTCCTCCTTCCGTCGGGTGCGTTCTATACAAAAGTTGTTCACCCATCGCCCGGTTTCAACATTTGATCGCGTCCCCTTTCAACTGACCGGTGAACGAACGACCCTCAGACGAGCCCAACATCGCGCGACTGATGGGGATGTGGTCCGTGTGGATGTTCGCGGTGCCGTCGCTGCGCGCGCGCGAGTGCGACGCGAGGGAGAAGGACGCGCTCAACTTTCTCTTCGTCGCGGTGCCGGTGATCAACGTGCTCATCCCCGTGGTGTGGAAGTCGTTCGCGGCTGTGTTCACCGCGGATTGTCTGCTGATGGCGTACGTGTACTACGACAAGGGCGCGGGGATCTTCAACGACGGGAGCGGCGGCGAGGACGCGCCGGGCCCCGCGACCGAGGGCGCGAGCGAGGGCGTCGAGGAGGCGTGATTAGACTCGAGCGGGCGGCGACGATGGTCGACGGTGTAACGACTGATACGTAATGAGGTCACGTTCATCTAGTTACGCGCTAAAACAACTTATCAACATTCTACTTCTTTCATCGGAGTTTGTAGACGCGGCGGTCTCATCGCGTCTCATCGCTCTCCGCGTCGGCCGACGTCGCCCCGACCTTCTCCCCGCGTCGTAACTTCGCGGTTCGGAACGCCGTCCGCGCGCACGACCGGAACGTCCTCCCTCTCACGACGTCCACCTCGCCGTCTTCCAGCGGGTCGTCGCCGTAGACGTTTTCGTAGCACTCCGGGGAGACGCATCGCATGGCGCAGTTTTCCATGTCGATCGCGCTCGCGCCCGGGGCGCACAGCGAGGCGTCCTCTCGCACTTCGACGTCGCACCGCGCGCGTCTGTGCTTGATCTCGCGGTCGATGCTCTGGTTGCGTTTCTTCCCGGGGCTCTTCGCCTGTCAGAGGGAGGAGGGAGGGGGAGAGCGTGAGACGCGATGACGGACGGACGGACGGACGGACGGACGCGCGAGGGGAGACTTCTTCCTTGGGACGGACGCGACGGACGCGCGCGAGAGCGAGGCGCCGCCGCGGCGTCGGCGTCGTCGAGCGCGCGCACCTCCGCGCCGCCCGCGAGCGTTCCCAGCAGAAGAAGGAGCGCGAGGAGCGCGGTGACGAGGACCGAGCTCCGCGCGCCGCCGCGCCCGGCCATCGCGCGCGCGCGCGAATAACCAACCGTTCCAGACGCGGCGCGGCGCGGACGAGGCTCGGCTCGCGCTGACTCGATTTTTTTCTTCGAGGGTCCGGTCCGTCGAGGGCATCGCTCCCTTCGCGCGCGCGCGTCACTTCTCCTCGCGCGAGCGCGCGAATCGAGCGCGCGCGCGTTCCGGCAGACCCTCGCGCGCGTCCCTCGCGCGTCGCGGGCTCGCCGCGCGACCGCAACGCGCGGCGCGTCCGGTCCCTCCTCGCGCGAGATCCGACGAGGAATAAAATAGCGTCTCCCGCGCGGTACGAACACGACGAACTCCGACGCACGCGCGCGTCGCCGGCACACACGCCCGCGCACGCAATGCGCGTCGTCAACGTCGAGGGCGTCGACATCGGCGTCGACCCCGCGGCGCGACGGATCACGATCCCCGGCGGCGACGACGGGCATCACCACCCCGCGCATCCCGTGAACGCGGTCGCGTTCTTAGCCGCGGGGATGTGGCTCAGGCACCTGCAGCGCGTCGTGCGCAGGGAAGAGCGCGCGGAGCTCGGGGAGGAGGACGCGCGAGGAGAAGACGCGGACGGCTTGCGAGATCTCGCCCGCGCGGTCGCGGTCGCGAACGCGAACGCGAACGCGAACGCGCGCGCGCCGCACGACGCGGAGGACGACGCGCGCGACGATCCCGCGGACGCGGAAGGCGTCGCGACGACGGCGACGAGGGACGCGCTCGAGTCGCACCCGCTGGCCGACCCGACGGACGACCCTTCGCGAGGCGCGTCGACGACGACGACGTCGACGACGACGTCGACGACGACGACGATAACGACGACGACTCCCGACGCCACCGCGCCGGTCGCCGGCGGCGGTCGCGTCTGCCGCTTCTGCTTCGTCGGCGACGACGACGACGACGACGACGGCGGCGGCGGCGGCGGCGACGGCGACGTCCTCGTCTCCCCGTGCCGGTGCACCGGCACGCAAGAGTGGGTCCACGTCGGATGCCTGCGCCAGTGGCAGCGCGTCTCCATGCGTTCGTCCGGCGCGCGCGAGAAGCGTTGCCGCGTCTGCCACGCGACGTTCAAGCTCCCGCGCCCTCCGATGCGCGAGGCGCTCGCGCAGTGGTTCAGCTCGCGAGCGACGGACCGCCTGTCGCAGTACAAGCGCGTGTGGTGGCAGATGCTGTCGAACAGCGTCCTCGCGCAGGAGGGGACGCCGCACCTCTCGAGCGCGAACCAGCTGCTCAGGCTGGTGATCGCGAGCGAGCTGCGAATCTGGGGCGGGCGCGAGGTACGAGGCGGGAACAGAGCGCTGCGGACGCTGCGACGCGTCGCGCGCGACTGCACCAACTTTCACTCCATCGTGCTCGTCGCGTGGCTGCTGAGCCTCGGCGCGCTGAGCGCCGGGGACGCGCTGAACCACCCGGGCGGGCCGCTGGACGTGATCGACCAGGAGCTGCGCGCGCGACAAGGGGCGGGAGCCGGCCGCGGCGGCCGCGGCGAAAGAGGCTTCGGCTGGCGAGGGAAGCTGTTCGGCGCGGCGAAGCTCGTCGTCGGGAAGCCGCTCGGGTTCGCGCTGCGACTGGTCGTCCCGAGCGCGGGGGCGTTCATGCGTCTGGCGGAGCCCGTGCACGGGGTCATCACGTGGGTGGAGCGGTACCCGCAGTACCGCGTGGTTTGAGAGGGGGCCTCGATGACGCGACGTATTACTGTGTCCCGCGCGCGCGGGGGCGACGAAGGATCAGATTTTGGAAAAGTACGGCGACGTCGCGCGGTTTGAGAGAGAGGGGGCGGGGTGGGGGGGGGGGAGGCGTCTATAGGACGCACGCGCCGCGCGAAAGACGAGCGGAGTTTACGATACGATCGACGAAAACGTTGCTAGACTAACTATCGATCGGAGGCCCGACCCACCCCGCGCGGTGATGATGCGACAGCTCGAGCATCTTCATGCCCTCCAGCACCTCGACGTTCCAGTGCGCCTCGCGGTGGACGTCGTCGCTCAGATCTCGCACCTTGACCGCGGTCAGCGCGTGCGCCGCCCTCGTGCGCGCCGCGTCGCGCGAATGCCGCGGGGACACCGTCGCGACGACGGAGACGTACGCGCCGACGCGGAGTCCTCCTCCGGACGCGACGTCGCACGTCGACGGGACGACCACCTCCGCGGGCGGGCCCGTGGAGTCGTCGAGCGTGAACGCGGTGCCGTCCTCGGCGCGATGGACGATCACGCCCTGCGCCCACACGCGCTGGAATGTCGGGCTGTGCGCGATGTTCGTGAACTTATACGTCGCCTCGCCGTTCTTCCCGGGCGTCGGCTGCTTCCTGCGTGAGGAGGGGGGCGGAGGTCAGGGGGCGGGGAGGACGAGAGGAGGAGGAGGAGGAGGAGGAGGAGGAAGATTTTAAGATTCGTCGAGGGCGCGGCGACGAGGACGAGGACGACGACGCGCGCGCGTCGCACCCCGCGGTCTTGAGCATCAGGAGGAAGATCTTCGGCGCGAAGAACTCGTCCGGGACGAGGTCGTCGCCGTCGCCGTCTTCCGCCGCCATCGTCCGCGCGCGCGCGGCGCCGCGAACTGCCGCGCGGCGAGGAGCTGACAGCTGGAAGGGCCTTCACGAACACAACTTTTTATCTCTTGGCCTCTTCGCGCGTTCGCCATTTCGTCCACTCGCGGAGCCACGACGAGCGCGGGCATGGCCGGGTCCACCGCGACGAAGCGCGCGAACGCGCAGCTCGACAAGTCATACAAGCGCGCGACCGGGGAGATCGACGACCGCAAGGGCGCGAAGGTCAAGCCCGGGGACATCATCACCGCGGTGTTCCTCCTCATCGCGGCGAAATCCTTCAACGACCAGTGCGAGGCGACGCACGGGATCTCGCCGTACAAGTCCGCGAAGAAAGCCATCGGGGACGGGGTGTGGGCGATACGAAACGCGCTGTCGAGGTTGATCGGAGGCAAGGGCGGCGGCGGAGGAAGAGGGCGGGGGGATAACCGCACCACCGCGGGGAGGAAGCAGTTCAAGGGGAAAGGCCGAAAGGTCGGGAAGAAGTAAAGCTAAAGTTCGATCGATGCGATGAGAACGATGGACGACGGCGCGCGGGTGGCCCTCAGCTCGCGCTCGCATCGGTGATTGATGTTCTTTTACGTAGTAGTCTCGAGCTTCGATTAAAAGCCCCCGTCGTCTAAAAGCGTTCGCCGTCTGTTTAAGATCGTACAAGAATTTGTTGTTCCAGCTCGACGCAACGCGCCGCGTCGGCCCCCGTCCATTCCCCCTCTCAACACCCCCACACCACCCCCACCGTTTTTTTTTCATTCGTCCGCGTCAAGCCTCGCGCGACTGACTTCACCTCGACCTTCTTACGCGGGGGACGTCTTGAAGGGCACCACGATGTCCTTGTTGTCATCCTTGAGGTAAAGCTTCGCCCGCGCCTTGAGCATGATCTCCTCGAACTCGTCGCCGTCGATGTTCTCCTTCTCCAAGAGCACCTCCGCGACGGCGTGGAGGCAGTCGATGTTCTCCTGCACGAGATCCTTCGCGCGGCGGTACGCGGTCTCCACGAGAATCTTCACCTCGTCGTCCACGATGTTCGCGGTCGTCTGCGAGTAGTCCGCGGCGCGGCCGGCGTCGTTCCCGAGGAAGGACTGCCCGCCGCCAGTCTTGAGCGCGATCTGGCCGATCTTCTCGGAGAAGCCCATCTGCTCCACCATCATGCGCGCCGTGTTGGACACCTGCTGGAAGTCGCCCGACGCGCCGGTGGTGACGTTCTCCGCGCCAAAGATGAGCTCCTCCGCGATGCGGCCGCCCATCGCGACCGCCATCTGGTTCTCGAGGTACGTCCTGCTGTACAAGCCGGACTCCAGGCGCTCCTCGCTCGGGGCGAAGAAGGTGAGGCCGCCGGCGTTGCCGCGGGGGACGATGGAGATCTTCGTCACGGGGTCGTACTCGGGCATGAGCGCGCCGACGATGGCGTGGCCAGCCTCGTGGTACGCCACGAGGCGTTTCTTCTTCTCGGACATGACCGCGCCCTCCTTGGCGGCGCCGGCGACGATGCGCTCGAGCGCGTCGGCGATCTCTTCCTTGGAGATTTCGGTGAGGTCGCGACGCGCCGCGAGGATGGCGGCTTCGTTGAGAAGGTTCTGCAGCGCCGCGCCGGAGAAGCCCGGGGTGCGCCTGGCAACCTTGTCGTAGTCGACGTCCTTGCCGATCGTCTTCCCGCGCGCGTGCACCTTGAGGATGCGAATGCGCCCGGCGACGTCCGGAAGGTCGACGGTGACCTGACGATCGAAGCGGCCCGGGCGGAGCAGCGCCGAGTCGAGAACGTCCGGTCGGTTCGTAGCCGCGAGGACGATGACGCCGGTGTTCCCCTCGAAGCCGTCCATCTCCGTGAGAAGCTGGTTGATCGTCTGCTCGCGCTCGTCGTTGCCGCCGCCCATGCCCGCGCCACGCTGGCGACCGACGGCGTCGATCTCGTCGATGAAGACGATGCACGGCGCCTTCGACTTGGCCTTTTCGAACAAGTCGCGGACGCGCGACGCGCCGACGCCGACGAAGAGCTCGACAAACTCGGACGCCGCGCACGAGAAGAACGGCACGCCAGCCTCGCCGGCGACCGCCTTGGCGAGGAGGGTCTTACCCGTGCCCGGGGGACCGACGAGGAGGCAGCCCTTGGGGATCTTCGCGCCGAGCGCGGTGTACTTGTCCGGGTTCTTGAGGAAGTCGACAACCTCCTGGAGCTCGAGCTTCGCGCCGTCGACGCCGGCGACGTCGACGAACGTCACGCCCGTCTCCGGAACTTCCTGGAACTTGGACTTGGACTTGCCGAAGTCCATCGGCCCGCCGCCGCCCATGCCTCCGAAGCCGCCGCCGCCGCCGCCCTCGCCGCCCTGCGCGCGGCGGAACAAAAAGAATAACCCGCCGAACGCGAGGAGCGGGAAGAGGAGGTTACCCGCGAGGCTCGCGAAGTTGCCCTGCTGCTCGCCCTCGGAGACGGAGATGTCCACGCCGTTCTTGGCGAGGATGTCCACGAGCTCCGGGTCGTTCGGGAGCGTCACCGCGGCGCGGCGGCCGTCCACCGCGGTGAGCTGGAGAGACGATCCATCCTTGGCGAATCGCACGCGCTCCACCTTGCCCTTCTGCACGGCGTTGATGAACTCGGAGTACCGCCACGTGTTCCCCTCGGGGAGCGCGTTCGGGTCCGCGACGGCGGTGGACGGCGCGGTCTGCGAGTCCGCGTCGGAGAACGCGGACTTGGCGGACTGCTGGAACTGCGCGAGCGCGGACGTCGGCGCCTCCGCCGTCGCGGGGGGCGCGAAGTCGTCAGCCATCGCGACGAGGCTCGTCGCGCCGGACGCGGCGAGGAACGCCATGAAGGACGCGGCGGTCGTCGCGAGGGTCTTATCCTGCGGGGAGGGCGAGGCGGAGGCGCGGGGGAACGCGTCAGCGTGGGCGGTCGGCGGCGAGAACGAGATCGGGATCGAGATCTCGCGCGTGGATAAGAAGCGGGTGACGTTGTGTTTTTTTCGCGCGACCTCGCGGGCGCGATCGCGCGACGGCGACGCGCGGACGCGACCGCGCGTCGAGACGCGCGCGATCGCGCGACGGCGACGCGCGAGCGCGGATCGAGCGCGTCGAGCGCGCGCGCACCTCGAACGCGGCGGAAGACTCGGTCTTCGTCGTCGCGCGCGCGCGGACCGGGGTCGCTCCGGCGCGCTTCGTCGCGCGCGTCGACTTCGCCATGCAGGCCCGCTGGCGGAAAGCCGTCGCGGTCGACGCGTTGAGCGCGCTCGCGGCGTTCATTGTGATGAGCTCGATGTCTTGACGGTGTCGACTGCTGCGTGAATGCGCGAGAGATGCGATTCGCGTCTGTCGATGCTTGCCGAGGCGTGTGAAGGCGGCGTTGACGCGCGCTTCCGGTGTGACGACGACGCTCCGCGACGCTATCATCCCGGCACGTCGTGAGCTCGCGCGTCCAGGAAGGCGAGATCGTCGACGTGTCGCGCCGTGCGCGCGCGCGCGTCGACGGTTCAATCGACGAGTTAAACTACCGCGACGACGTCGACCGGGCCGGTTCACCCTCGTCGCAGCGCGGGGCCGATCAACGCTTTTACGAATCCCTATCAGCGGTGCCGTTCAAACCGCACGCCTCTTTCGCGGTCCTTTCAACCTCTTTCATCATCAAACAGCTTGCTTGCGGCCACTCGAGCGCGCAGTTGGAGCGGGCGCGCGGGAGGCTGCGATCGGGCGCGGCGGATACGCGCGCGGGGCGGGGCAGATGGCGCCGGGGGCCCCGGACGATCCGTACGCGCTGTTTTCCGATGACCTCCTCGGGATGGCCGCCGGCGTCGGCGGCGCGGAGGAGGAGGACGACCTTCGGAACCGCGTCTTGAACGGCGCGGACGACGACGCGGGCGACGGCGCGCGCGCGCGGCAAGTTCATCATCATCTTCACGGAGGCCACCAGCAACAACCTCAACAACCGCACCCGCCGCGGTCGCGGTACCCCGATCCGGCGCCGCTCGGCGGCGGCGGCAACGGACGCGGTCGCGGCGGCAATGGCGGCGGCAGGTACGACGAGAGCGAGTTCTTCCACGACGCGCTCCACGGCGGCGCGACGTTCGGGGATCACCTCGACGGCGCGCTCGGCGTCGACGCCGGCCCGATCGACGAGCTCGACGGCGACGACGAGATCGAGCAGCAGGAGTGGCCCTCCCCGGCGGAGCTCCTCGCGGACACGAAAGCGATGCTCGCGACCGCGGACGATCTGATCAAGCGCGACGGGAAGAACCCGCCGCCGGAGGCGATGCGACGCCTCGACGCGCGCCTCCGCGCCATCGTCGCGTCGCAAAAGACGACGCCGCGCGACGACCAAAAGCGCCAGACGCTGTTGCGACGCTTCGCCGACATGCTGCGGCGCAAGTTCCCGGGCGTGACGCTGCGACCGTTCGGGTCGTTCGTCTCCGTGTTCCACACCGCGAGCTCGGACATCGACATCTCTCTCGAGGTGGCGCCGAGCAGCAAGTGGTACGACCCGAAGGAGATGGGACCGGCGGCGGCGGCGGCAGCGCCGGGCGCGCGCGGCGCGGGGCGCAACCGGAGGCTGCAGCAGCCGCGCGGGTACAAGAGCCGGAAGGTGCAGCTGCTGCACAAGGTGGCGAGCGAGCTGCGGTATCAGGCGTTCTCGGAGGTGAACCTCATCGCGCACACGAGGGTGCCGCTGATTAAGTTTAAGGACCCGCAGACGGGGGTGAACTGCGACGTGTGCGTGGGCAACGACGGCGTGTACAAGGTTCGTTTGGGTTTTTTTTTTTTTTTTCTCTTCTCTTCTCTTCTCTCGTCTCTCTTCGCTTTCGAACGCGCGTCGCGCGATGTGTTTCGACCGGCGCGACGCCGATCGATCGACCACTGACCACTGACGACGCGCGCGCGCTCCTCTCCTATCTTTTTTTCTTCTCGCAGTCCGCGTGCTTGGGCGCGATGGCGAACCTGGACAGCCGGTACCGCGACTTGGTGTTCCTCGTGAAGATGTGGGCGAAAAATTTCGACTGCAACGACGCCACCGCCGGGAGCTTCAACAGCTTCGCGCTGTCTCTCATGAGCTTGTTCCACCTCCAGACGCGCTCGCCTCCGATATTACCCCCCGCGATGCGCTTGACGCTGCAGAACGACGCCGCCGCGGACGCGGACCTCGCGGCGGAGAACGAGCGCGCGGCGAACCTGGAACCCATACGCAAGTTCCCAGTGTCGAAGATCCGGCAGCAGTCAGGTGCGAATAATGCATTTCACCCATCGCCCGGTTTCAACATTTGATCGCGTCCCCTTTCAACTGACCACTGAACTTTTTTTGTATGGAATGGCCCTCAGACGCGCTGCGAGATATCGGCCCCGTGGAGCAAAGAGCGCGACGGTGGGAAAATTGCGGCGCGGCGAACGACGCGACGCTCGCGGAGCTCCTCGTGACGTTCTTCACGCACTTCCGCGCGGTCGAGCCGCTGTGGCGCCACGGCCTCGTCGCGTCCGCGTACGCGGGGCGTTGGGTCGCGGGCAGCGCGTGGGCGCCGGGGCGGTACTGCCTCGGCGTCGAGGACCCGTTCGCGGCGGGGGATAACGTCGCGCGCGCGGTGCAGCGGCGGTCGCTGCCCAAGGTGCTGGCGGCGATTCGCGACGGCACGCTCGCGATGGCGAGGGTCGCGTGGGCGGAGACGGATGAAGATTTAGAGCGCGCGTTGTTTAACCTGCTCGGTCCCGGCGCGTCGCCGGAGCGCGAGATGACGAACGCGGGATGGCCGACGTTGGGAGGGAGCGGAGGCGGCGACGCGCTCGCGCCGCCCACGCTGGGCGGCGGCCCGGGACCTGGGCCTGGACCTGGGCATGGGCACGGGCCCCCGCCGCCGCCCGGGCCGCCCCCCGGCGGCGGCGGCGGCGCGATGGGGCTCTTCGGCGGGGGCGGCGGCGGCAGCGGGCTCGGCGGCCCGCCCGGGATCATGCCCGGCGACGGCATCATGCCCGGGATGATGCATCAGCTCGTGAGCCGCCAGCGCGCGACGGACATGGCGAACGCGCGGTCGGTGAACATGATGATGGGCGATGGCGGCGGCGGCGGCGGCGGCGGCGGGATAGACGCGTCGATGTTTGGCGGCGTCCTCGGCGGCGCGTTCGCGGCGCAGCAGCGTCAGCAGCAGCAGCAGCAGGCGCATCACCAGATGCAGATGCAGCAGCAGATGCAGCAGAGGGCTGCTGCGCCGCCGGGGTTCGGCGTCGGCGGCGGCGGCGTCATGGGCCCCGGCCCCGGGCTCGCGCTCGGAGGGTTCGCGCCGCGGGGCCCGAGCGACGGCTCGGGGGGGAACCCGAACGGGTTCGGGCTCCTGAACCTGAGCAGCGGGGACGTGCGGCCTCCTCCCGGCGGCGGGATGCAATTCGCCGGCATGCCGTCGCTGTTCGGAGGCGCGAATCCGAACAGCGGCGGGACCAACCAGGATTCCGTCGACGAGTTATTCGCGCGGATGAACGTCGCGTCGCCGCCGCGCGACCCCCCGCGCGACCACCCGCGCGGCGCGACAGTGAATCCGTTCGATCGCGTGGACCTGAACGCGCCGCGCGATGCGAACGCGCCGCCGCGACCGCCGCTCGTCTTTGACAGCTACGACAACGGCGGCGGCGGCGGCGGGAACGAGTACGACGCGCCCGCGCCCCACGGCGGCGGCGGGCGATCCCAGGGCGGCGGCGGCTCGAACGCCGGCTCCGCGGGAGGAGGAGGAGGAGGAGGAGGAGGAGACGCTAAAGCTGGCGGCGGCGGCGGCGGAAGACGCGGGCGCAACCGCGGCGGCGGTGGCAAGGGCGGATCGCGCGGCGGCGGCGGCGGATCGCGCGGTGGCGGCGGCGGCGGCGGCGGCAGCGGCGGCGGCGGCGGCGGCGCTCCCTCCGGCGCGCCCAAGGCGCTGCCGAAGCCGCGCGTGGCCCCGCCCGCGTCTTAAACTTAGTGACACGCACCGAGTACGTTAGGCCTAACGCAGTCACACCTTAAGGTTAGGCATCTTTTAACGCCGGACACACACGCACACATGTTTGAACTGAGAGAGCGTCTTCAAATCGACTGAGGTTAAGGCGACGACGCGACGGAACCGACTCAACTCGATCTCGCGAGACGGTTTATTTTCACGTAGTCTATTTTCGCGACGTTTCGCCTCACCCACCCCCCGCCCCCTCCGCGACGGACACGAACGGGTGCTCGTCGTACGCCTCCCCCGGCAACCGGTGATGCGGCACGTCCATCCACAACGTCGCGTTCCTCGCGATCGCGCGCGTCCTCCGCACGAGCCACGTGTGCTCGCTCGTGCCCTCGAAGAACCGCGGCGGCGGCGGCGTCGCCTTCGATACGTACTCCACGTAAAACCTCGAGACGTGCCTTATGGTCGTTCCATACAAAGCGATGTCGGGGTGGAGTTGAAAGGCGTCAGACGGAGTTGAAAGGCGCCGAGGGCGGGGATTGAAAGCGAGGGGTGGGCGGAGAGAGACGACGGGAAAAGTCCTTAAGGAACGGCGTTCACCACGCGAACGGGGTCGTATGGGAACCAGTGTATAGAACGCGCCTCAACATCGCCGCGAGGTACTCGTCGTCGCGCTCCACGCGGAACACGCGCACGCCGCGCGTCGCGGACTGCATCGCGAGCAGACCCGCGGTCGCGCCGGTCGCGAGCATCTCCAGAAGCAGCTGCGGCACGTGATACGCGGGCGGCGCGTCGTACGGCTCGCGGTCGATCACGACGTACTTCCCCGGCCGGGTTCGATGCCGCGCGAACGGGCTCGAATTTTTCACCTCCAGCACGAGCCGCTCCGTCGGCACGTCGCCGCTCGCGTCGTTCCCGATCGCGTCGTTCCCGATCGGCAGCGTGAGCATCCCGTCCGGCGACGCGCCCATCGGCGGGAGCGGCCCGACGTTCCACGCCGACGGGACGTCCGATCGATCGACGACGCACAGGCCGACTTCTTCGGCGACGGCGCTCGGGAAGTGAAGCATCAGACTCGCGACCGTGCCCGCCTCCTGCGCGCTGCCCCACGCCATGCGGACGCCGCCCTCGCCGCGCGTCGCCGCGCGGCGCGAGCGCGCGGCGCGTTGGAGCGACCACGGCGTGGCGGCGGCGCGTGCTCCCCCCGCGTCTCGGCCGCCGCCAGAACCGCCGTTCCGAGGCTTCCCGCCGCGACCCCCCTTCCTCTTCCCTCGCCCTCGCCCTCTCCCTCCGCCGCCGCCGCTCGCGCTCGCGTCGTCGGTCGACGTTTCGTCTTCCAGCGGCGCCGCGGGTCCGGCGGCGGCGACCTCCTCGTTGTACGCGCGGACGACCTCCTCGTTGACCGCCGTCTCCGTCTCCGGCGGCGCCGACGACGGAAACTCCACGCGTTCCGTCCGCAGCCTGTGGTACGCCCCGACCGCGGGCCCGTGGCTCGCGTTCCGCGCGTTCATCCCGACCGCCGCGCACGTCCCTTCCTCGCAGAACCCGAGCGCCGCCTTCAGGAGCGCGGTCGTGAGCCGGCCGTCGTGCAGGGCGTCCCACAGCTCCGTCCCCTGGCGCACGAATCGATACGTCCGCTCGCCGCCGATGAGGACGCGGTCCACGGGCGGGAGCGCGACGAAGCGCGGGTGACGGCGGAGCTGGTCGTCGTGCGGCGCGAGCCAGTACAGGTTCGGCGTCTTTCCCCACGCGCCGACGTGCTTCATCTGGACGCAGCCGTCGGAGGCGTCGTCGGAGGCGTCGGCGTCGGAGGCGTCCATCGGGGTCGTCGACGTGGACGACGACGCGACGCGCGCGACGAAACGCTCCGGCTTCGGCCGGTGGCTCTCCGGCAGCGACAGCGGCGCCTCCCCGGGCTCGCGGCCTTTGCCGTACACCGCGACGCTCCGCGGGAGCATCGCGGCGGCGACGAGGGAGGGACGCGCGCGCGGACGAGTGTCGTGGTCGCGGGATCACCGACGAGTGAGTTTTTCTCACGAGTATTGCATCGCGAAAACGTGGTCATCACAGCACTTATTCACTGATACGACGAGTCCTGACTCTGATACGTGTACCCGCCCGCGTCCGTCCCTTGCGACGGCCTCCCATCGCCAAAGTACGACCCCGCGTCCCGCCCGTGACCCTGCGACGGCGCCCCGTGCGCGCTCTGCGAGTCCCCCGCGAAGTTCGGGTACGCGTAGTCGCCGACGCCGACGCTCCCTTGCGAGAACCCGTCGCCGTCGAAACGCAAACCGTCCGGGTCGCCCTGGGACGACCCCGGACCCGTCCCCATCCCGCCGAAATGTCCGTGGCCGCTCCGCGCGCCGAAGTTGTGCCCCGGAGGACCCGGTCCCGCCGCGGGGATCGCGTACTGCCGCGAGTGCGACGCCGGCGCGGCGTACTTCCTCGGGTTCGACGCCGCGCCGCCGCGGTCCCGGAACCCCCCGCGGCCGCCGTCGCGGGACGGCCACCCGTCGCCGTCGTACGCGCCGGGCGCGGACGAGTGCGCCTCCATCGGTCGGAAGTCCGGGTTCGCCCCCGGGGGCGCGATGTAACTTCGCCCCGGGCGGTGCGACTTCGGCTTGCTCAGCGTCATCGCGCACTCTTTCAGCGCGTTGAGCGGACCCTCCACGAGGCACTCGCAATCGCGGAAGTGCTGCAGCAAGTCGTGGAACAGCGGCTGACGCGACAACACCTTCGGGTTGCCGAGGATGACCAGCCCCGACCGCGCGCGCGTCATCGCGACGTTGAGCCGCCGCGGGTCGTTCAAAAACCCGATCCCGGCCTTCTCGTTCGACCGCACGCACGACAGGATGATGAAATCCTTCTCGCGGCCCTGAAACGAGTCCACCGACGCGACTTGAATCTCGTTGTACAGCTGCTGTCGCAGCACCCCCGCGCGCGTCATGTGCTGCACGACGTACGCGCGCTGCCCTTCGTACGGCGTGACGACGCCGAGCGCCTCCGGGGCGACGCCCGCGCGCAGGAAGTGCGTCACGATCTTCTCCACGGAGACAGCCTCGGTGCGGTTGAGATACGACGTCCCGGACGCGGAGATCTCCTCCGCGCCCGTCATAGACCAGAACATCATCGGCGTCGACGGCTTCGGCCACGGAAAGTTGACGTGCGTCATCAATCGCTCCGCGGCGGCGACGCCGTTCTGCAGCGCGCCCTCGTAGAAGGTGTTCGACGGGAACTCGGACAAGCACGGGTGCATGCGGTACTGGACTTGCAGACGGATCGGCTGCACGCCGAGGAGGATGAGGCGCTCGAAGAGCGACTGCCCGAGCCCGGCGCGCGCGGCTTTTTTACACGCCACCACCGGGCCGAGCTGGCAGTGATCGCCGACCATGACGACCTGCTTCGCGCCCATGATGAGCGGGATCAGACACTCCGGCTCCGTCGCCTGCGTGCTCTCGTCCATCAGCACCTGACGGAAGCGGAAGTTCGCGAGACGCGGGTCACCCGCGCCGACGGCGGTGGTGCACACGACGTCCGCGCTCTGTAAAATTTCGCGCTCAGTCGCGCGCTTCAACGCGCGGTACTTCCTCTCGTCGTTCGACGACAGCTCCCCGAGCTCGTCCTTCAGCTGCTGTAGCTTCGCGAGCTCCGCGTGCTCGGGGGAGTCCAGATGTGCGACCTGGTAGTGCAGCGTGAGGTGCTCCACCGGGGACAGCACCGCCTCTCTGGACTTGGCGGCGACGCGTACCACTTTCAGGGTCGTTCCATACGAGCGAATGTCGGGGTGGAGTTGAAAGGCGTCAGTCGGAGTTGAAAGGCAACGCGGGCGGGGATTGAAAGCGAGGTGTGGGCGGTGAGAGATGCGCCGGCAAAAGTCCTTAAGAAACGGCGTTCACCACGCGAACGCGGTCGTATGGGGACCAGTGTATAGAACGCACCTTTCAACCCCGTCTGCTCGATCTTCTCCGCGAGTTGATCCACCGCGACGTTCGACGGCGCGCAGACGATCACCTGGCCTTGGTTCTGCTGCGCGAGGTGATACACGATCGTCGCGGACGTCACCGTCTTCCCCGTCCCGGGCGGGCCTTGGATGAGCGACAGCGGTCGCCGTAACACGCTCGCGACGGCGTTGACTTGCGAGTGGTTCAACTCGGGTAAATTCGGCGCCGACATCCGCTGCGGGAGCGTCGTTCTCAGCTCCTGCGGGTCGACGTCGTGCCCGAGGAGGAGGTGGTAGATGTACCCGGAGACGGAGGTTTCGTCGAGCGCGAACGCTTTCATCGCAGCCTGCATGCGATCGAACGACGTGCTCTTCCAGAGGAAATCCACGCTGAAGCCGGTGGAGTGTTCCACGGGCGCCTTGCCGCCGCCGCTTCGGAGCTCCAGCCCCACCTCTTCGTTCGCGGTGAACTTCAACACCGACCCGACGCCAACCCACGTGGTTCGCGTCCCGTCCGCGTTTGTACCCACGTGCCTCAGCTGCAGCTCGTCGCCGACCATCAGACGCGCCACCTCTTCGTCCGACGGAAACGTAAAGTACGCGACGCGTCGTTTGTTCAGTCCCACGTCCCACCGCACGACGAGCCCGTCCTTCGACTGCGACTCTTTCTGCTGCTTATCGTAGTCCGCCTCCATCTTCAACAGCGGCCCGAACACGTTCTGGTACTGATACGCGTCCGCGTACCGCAGCGCGACCGGCTGCGCCTCGTCGTCCTCCCCCGGCCCGCGCATGACGTCCTCCAGCGTGGCGTCGGGCGACGTCTTCCAGAGCTCCTCCAGCTTGCTCGCCTGAGGGTAATTCGAGGGTCCACACGAGCGATGATATCGGGGTGGAGTTGAAAGGCGTCAGAAGCGGAGTTGAAAGGCGTCGAGGTGTGTCGGGATTGAAAGCGAGGGACTCTGGGCGGAGAGATGCGCCGGGAGAGAAGTCCTTAAGGATCGGCGTTCACCACGCCGACGCGGTCGTATGGGAACCAGTGTAAGGAATACGCGCCTGAGACGCGGTGAGCTGCCGCGCCCTGAGCGCGTCTTGCTCGCTCGGCGTCTTCACGAGCCACGGGAGAAACGTCTTGTCCGCGATCAGAGGCTGCCACTGCGTCAGGTCGAGGTTCATGTCTTTGAGCGCGGCGAGCTGCGCGTTGGCCCCCGCGCCGGATGCGCCGGATCCGCCCACTCCCGGCGCGTTCATCGCGGGATCTCTCGCGAGCAACACCACCACCTCCTCGTCCTTGCACGGCACGAACCCCAGCGTGAAGACGTTCCTTTGCCCGGTGAGATAGCACTCTAAGATCATCTCCCCGAGCGGGGAGTCGCGGTGGAGGCACACCTCCTTGTTCCTCGACCGCACGAGGTGGTACACGAGGCACGACGCCGGGAGCGTGTTGTGTCGCGAGTTGCAGAACCATTTGCCGGTCGCGACGCACTTGGCGACGCACGCGGGGTCTTGGATGCCGCAGTACGCGCACGCCCACTCCGCGACGGGCGCGTCGTCGTCGTCGTCGTCGTCCGAGGACGCGGGGGACGCCGCGGATGCGGCGGCGTCGCGAGGCGTCGAGTCGCGCATTCCGAGCGCGCCGAAATCGGCCGCCAGGCGATCGTCGGCGTCGACGCGCGCGTCGGCGTCGGCGTCGATCGCGGCGCCCGCGGCGGCGCCGTCGCCGGTGAAGTCCGGGTACGAGTACCCGTCGTCGCCGTCGGCGTCCACGACCCCGCCGTAGTCCTCGAACTGCGACATCGCGCGCGAGGTGAGGGGGTCACGCGCGCTCGACGCGGCGACAGATCTGCGGGATCGTTCGGGCGGCCTGCCGACTTCGTCGACGCGCGACGCGCTCCGGGATTTTGAGCGATTTTTTCGTGCTTTCGTACTACTGTACGTACGCGCCGGCGCCGCGTATAACTGTTTGCCTATGCGACGACCTCGACGAGGCGGTGAAGGCGGGAGATTTTTTTAGCGCCTTCTCAAACAAGTCGCATTTTCTTCAAGCTTCCTTCTCCGGCGTCGCTCCGGCGAGTTACACCCCGACGCGCGCGGGTTCCGAACGCTTCACGCGGAAAGCCACTCCCGCGACACACGCGCGCGCGACTCGCGCCTCATGAGCGAACGCGAATGCTAAGTCTTTGGCGGCGACGAGAAGTCATCGAGCGAGTCACTAGTACAATGATGGCTGGAGCGCACTACGCGTCCGCCGCGCCCGCGGGCGTCGCGCGCGCGTCCTCGGTCGCGTCGTCCTCTCCCGCGACGACGGCGCGCGCGCTGCGCCGCCTCGCGCAGGGCGCGACCGCGCGCCGCGCGCCGCCGTGCCGCCCCGCGCCGATCGACGCGCTCGCGTTCAGCGCGCGGGCGACCGGAGGGTTCGGAGGCGCGCGCTTCGGCCACGCGGGCGGCCGCGACGCGCTTCCGCAAGGGAGGAAATTGATGCAGTCCTCGGCGATGGCGCAGCCGAGGGAGCTCGTGGACGACGACGGCGTCGACGACACGGGCGGACCGACGCGGATACAGCGGTTCAACGGGAACGAGCTCGACATCACGGTCTCGAACAACGGGTACTCGAGACGCGCGTACTTCTCCGGTGCGTCCCCGACCCTCCTCGTCCTCGCACTTCGCTCGTTCGCGCGCTCGACGCGACGCGAGAGATCTCCCGCCGCGATCGATCGTCGATCGTCGATCGTCGATCGTCGCGCGCGTCAGCCCGCGCGCCGACCCGATCTTCTCCCGCGACCCGACCCGACCCGCGCGAATGAATCCTCCTTCCCTCCCAGGCTACGACATGGACGTCGCGGACGATTCGAAGACGGAGAAGAAGACGAGCGATCTCGAGGGCGACAAGCCGGACAACCTCGCCGGTTTGATCGACGAGGTGCAAACGGTGGAGACCGTCGAGGAGGCGAAAAGAGTGCTCGGCGTGTTGATGAGCAACCTGGGCAGCGCGGACAGGCCGATCTACCACGCCGTGGACACCGAGGTGGCGGACATCGACGTCGCGGACCAGACCCCGGTCGGTCACGGCGTCGTGACGTGCTTCTCCGTGTTTTGCGGTCCGGACGTGGACTTCGCGCCGGGCGCGGGGGGCGGCGGCGGCGGCGGCGACGCGGCGGCGGCGGACGGGAAAGAGAACGACTCGGGCAACGGCAACGGCGACGGCGGCGGGGGAACGTCGACCGGCGCGAAGAGGAAGAGTCTCCTGTGGGTGGACACCCTCAAGCTCGGGGACGAGGGCTGGGCGATATTCAAGCCGTATTTCGAATCCCCGGACGCGAAAAAGGTGTGGCACAACTACAGCTTCGATCGTCACGTCATCGAGAACCACGGGGGAATCAAACTCGCGGGATTCGCCGCGGACACGATGCACATGGCGCGTCTGTGGAATTCGAACCGCAAGCTCGAGGGCGGGTACTCCCTCGAGGCGTTGACGTCCGACCCGAAGGTGATGTCCGAGGCGGGGGAGATGTTCAGCGAAGCCGGCGAGGAGTTGATCCGCTCGAAGAGAGGGATGAAGAAGATCTTCGGCAAGCCGAAGATTAAAAAGGACGGCACCCCCGGGAAGACGATCGAGCTCCCGCCGATCGACCAGATTCAAAACGATCCAGAACAGCGAGAGACGTGGATCGAGTACTCCGCGCTGGACGCGCAGGCGACGTGGTTTTTGCGCGAGAGCCTGGAGGCGAAGCTCCGGGGGATCTCCTGCGACGCGTGCCCGCGTCTGAGCGACAAGCCGACGTTTCACGAGTGCGCGAACCTGTGGGAATTTTACACGACGTACCTCAGAGAGTTTGGCGAGGTTCTCACGGACATGGAATCCGCGGGGATGTTCGTGGATAAGAAGCACTTGGAGGGCGCGGAGAAGCAAGCGCTCGCGGACAAGAAAGTCGCGGAGGATTACTTCCGGAGGTGGGCGATGAAGATGTGCCCCGCTGCGGAGCACATGAACGTCGGAAGCGGCATCCAGGTTCGTCAGCTGCTCTTCGCCGGCGCGCGGAACAAGAGGCCGGACAAACCCGGCGTCGAGAAAGAGCGCGAGTTCGCGATGGTCTCCCCGGAGTGGACGGCGTGGGACGAGGGCGGAAGAGAGGGCAAAGCCCCGAAGAAGGGCGCGAAGTTTACGCTGCACGGGGTCACGAAGCGCGACCTGGCGGTGCCGGTGTACACCGCCACCGGCCTCCCCGCGGTGTCGTCCGTCGTGCTCAGGTCGCTCGCGGGGAGGCCCGGCGCGGCGAGGGAGATCGTGGACACCTGGGACGCCCTAACGGACGCGGAGAAGACCAACGACGCCCTCAAGAAGAGTTGCGGCGCCGCGTACGACGCGTTCGGCGGCGGTTACGACGGCGCCGAGGCGTGCGCCGCCGTGGACGCGCTCAACGACGTCGCCGCGATCGACACGCTCCTCTCGAACTTCATCATACCGCTGCAGAGCGATAACCTCCGCGGGAAAACCGGCAGGGTGCACACGGCGCTCAACATCAACACGGAGACGGGGCGCCTGTCCGCGCGCAGGCCGAGCCTTCAGAACCAGCCCGCGCTCGAGAAGGACCGGTACGGGATTCGAAAGGCGTTCACGTGCCGCCCGGGAAACATCCTCGTCGTCGCGGACTACGGCCAGCTCGAGCTCCGTCTGCTCGCGCACATGGCGGGGTGCGCGTCGATGCGCGAGGCGTTCGAGGCTGGGGGCGACTTTCACTCGCGGACCGCGATGGGGATGTATAAGGAGATTCGAGAGGCGATGGACGAGGGGAAGTGTCTTCTGGAGTACGGAAGCGAGGGGTACGACGAGGACGAGGCGAACCGCCCGGCGCTGGTGAAGGACATGTTCGCGTCGGAGAGGAGGAAGGCGAAAGTGTTGAACTTCTCCATCGCGTACGGGAAAACCGCGCACGGGCTCGCGAAAGATTTCGGCGTCTCCACGAAGGAGGCGGAGGACACGGTGAACTTGTGGTACAGCGACCGACCGGAGGTGAGGGCGTGGCAGGAGGTCCAACACGCGAACGCGACCAAGTTGGGGAAGGTGAGCACCCTGCTCGGGCGGCACCGGAACCTCCCGGAGGCGTCGTCCAGGGACGAGATGCGACGGCAGCACGCGTTGCGAGCGTCCATCAACACGCCGATCCAAGGAGGCGCCGCGGACATCGCGATGCTCGCGATGATGCAGATCCACCGATGCCCGCGTTTGAAAGAGATCGGGTACGAGCTTCTGATGCAGATCCACGACGAGGTCATCTTAGAAGGGCCGGAGGAGCACAAAGATGAGGCGCTCGCGCTCGTGAAAAGACACATGGAGAACCCGTTCAACGACCACGAGAACTTGTGCGACGTGGACCTGAACGTGGACGGGAACTACGCGAAGACGTGGTTCGAAGCGAAGTGATGCGCGAAGCGAATTTCGCGCGGCGGGGGCGGGCGGCGGGTGGTGAATGTTTCGCTCTTTCGGAGACGACGGACGACGCGGCGGAGACGTCGGAAGACGCGGCGGAGAGTGCCGCGTCGCGGAAAAAGGCGCGAAGCGCGCGGGCTCATCGCGGTTGGTTTTAACATGTTTCACACGCGCCGTATACGTCAGCTCGGAGCATCAAATTATTTACATCCTCTCACGTGCGACTATCATACACTATCATCCTCTCACATACCATACACTATCATACACTATCGCGGCTCGCCTCCACGCGCGCCGCGTCCCTCCCCTGCTAGTCGTGTTTTCCTAATAACCTTATGCGAAGGTATAAAAGAGATGATGGTCGCGCACACCCCGCTGAGCTCGGCGAGCTCCAACGCCCGTCTCGCCTGAAACGCTTTAATCATCTCCAACCGCTGCTGAATATCGACAACCGAGGGCGCGAACGCCGCGTCAAAATGCGAGAACATCGCGTTCGCCGTCTCGCGCGCGTCGCGGGCGAACGCCGCCGCGATCCCCGCGTCGCCCTGACCGCGCGCGCCCTCGGCCGCGTTCGCTCCCGCGCTCGTCGCGTTTTCAGGCGCGTCGTCGAAACGCTCCATTTCCTCCATTTCCTCGTCTTCGTCCTCCTCCTCCTCGTCTTCGTCGTCCTCCGGCTCGTTCCGCTCGAAATCGTCGAGGGCGTTTCTCGCGGGGTCGTCGCGATCGCGCGTCGCGCCGTCGCCGTCGCCGTCGTCCGCGTCGCCCCCGCGCGCGGGGCTCACGTCGTCCGGGGGGACGTTCACGACCTCCCACGGCGATTTCGCCCACAGCGCCTCTTCCCTCCCCCCGTCGTGTACTTCGTGCTCGTCGAGCGCGAGCGCCTCGATGGACGCGACGTCGCGCTTGCGGCGAAGGCGACGACGAACGCACGTTTCGGCTTGATCTCCGCCGAGGCGCTCTTCGTCGTCGTCCGCGGCGGCGTCCGCGGCGTCCGCGGCGGCGGCGCGATGGTCCGCGCGCGCGCGTTCGGATTCGGGTACTTCGTCGACCACCAACGGGGGCGTCTCTGCCTCCTCCAGTTCCGGTTCGACGCGCGGCTTTTTCGCGACGACGTCCGCGTCCTTCGCGTCGGGGCGTGTCTCCGCTCGTCGCTTCCTCGGCGCCTGCTTCGTCCGCGGGGCCTTCCCGAGTTTCCACCTGACGCCGCAAGCGTTGCACAGCGTCTTCGGTCCGTCCGGGCCGTGCCTCCACATCGGCGTCTTTCGCGTTCGGCAGGTGCGGCACACCTTGGATTGCGCCCTCCGCTCGTTGCTTCCTCCGCGCCGGCGTCGGTCGCGGGGCAGCAGTCCCGGCGTCGGTTCCGGTTCTTGGTGTTCCGGTTCCGGTTCCCGATCTGGTTCCTGATCTGATTCCCGATCCGGCGTCGTGAATCGGATGTGTTGTTTAAACGTTCGCGCGGGCTCTTGCGGCGGCGCTCGCGCGCGGGGAGGCATCGTGACGCGTTCCTCCTCTTCTTTTTCCTCTCCGTCCTCGTCGTCGTCTTCTTCGTACGCTCCGCGTTCGCGCTCGCGCCCGTCGTCGTCCGCGTCCGCGTTCGCGACGTCGTCTTCGAACGCCCCCCCCCCCCGCGTCCTCTTCCGCGTCCGCGTCAATCTCGATCGGATCGCGCGCGGTCCCGCTCGGCGCGGCGGTCTCGGCCGCGGTCTGCCACGACGACATCAGCTCCTCATCGTCTTCGACGTCGCGGATATCGCGGCGAGGAGGGGCTTGGACGGCGCTCGCCCCCTCCACGCCGAGGGTGCCGGCGTCGACGTCGGCGACGACGACGCCGGACGCGCGCGTCGTCGCCTCGGTGACGGTGTCCGGCGGACAGCGATTCGCGGCGACCGCTGCGGTCACCTCGACGTCTCGGACGACAATCTCGACCACGTCATCGATCGCGGGGCTGCTACGCCTCGGCACCGGACTCGAGGCGCGCGCCGGCTTCGTCTTGGTCTTCGCGGGAGCCGCCGGCTTCAAATTTACCCCCCTCCGGAGCAGAGAGTGCGCCGTCTTGTCTGGGAAATCTTCGTCGGTCCATCGGTAGGGATCGTGACCTTCGTCGCCTTCGCCGACGACGACGCGCTCGACGAGACCGCGCGCGGCGTCTTGGGCGTAGAGTTGCGCGCGATCGGCGACGGCGTCGTCGTTCTCGGACCCCATCTCGCTGGATATCGCGCGCCTGACTGCGGTTTTCCACACATCGCGGTCTATCGCGGCGCGATCGTCGCGGCGCGATGCCGACGTCGACGCCGTGCGGTCGAGGTGTTCGTCCGCGACTGCGCCGTCGATTCGTTCGTCGTCGTGCGCCCGTCGCGCGCGACAGCACCTCAAGGTGGCCTTCTCCCGCGGCATTCTCGCAAGTCTCCTCGTGCGGGGGTGCACACATTTGTTAGGAAAAAGCGCATCTTTAGGCGATCTTTTGGTAAAAGTTTCGCTCCGGTCCGAAAAAAGCGGCCGGTGCACCGGCACGAGACGAGACACTACCAGTGGAACTCGGGAGCGCGACCGCGGCGCGCTCAACCGTCGCTCGCTCCGCAGAGCCATCAGCGCGCGCGGGCGATGTTCGGCCCCGTCGGCGCGCGCGGGCGCGGGCGCGGCGGGCGCGGCGCCGCCGAGCGCAAGCCGCGAGCGTGGCAGATCGAGCAAACGCGAGGCAGCGACGACGACGACGACGACGAAGACCGCGGCGGCGGCGACGCGCGCGCGGTGCCGACGACGAGATCGCGCTCGCGCTCGCGCTCGCGCTCGCCGTCGCCGTCGCCGTCGCCGCCGCCCCCCGCGAGACAGCCGTCGCCGCCGCGACGGAAGCGATCCGACGTCTTCAAGAACCTGAACCCGCGCGCGCGCCTTCGCGTCGAGATCGACGGCGTCGACGTCGGCGCGCTCGTCTTGGAGCTCTTCGCCTCGGACGCGCCGCGGACGTGCGAAAACTTCCTTCGCCTGTGCGAGGGCCGCGATCGATCGACGCGAGCCGACTCGAACGCGGCGCTGGACTACGTCGGAAGCGTTTTCCACAGGATCATCCCGGGCTTCATGGCGCAGGGCGGGGACTTCGAGCGCGGCGACGGCACCGGCGGCGAGAGCGTGTTCGGACCGACGTTCGCGGACGAGTCGTTCTCGCGTCGGCACGACGCGAGAGGCGCGCTCGCCATGGCCAACTCGGGGAGACACACGAACGCGTCGCAGTTTTACGTCACGTTCGCGCCCGCGCCGCGCTTGGACGGAAAGCACGTCGTGTTCGGCAGGGTTACGAGCGGGTTTCACGTCCTGGACGCGCTCGAGCGCGTCGGGAGTAAGGCGCGTTCTATACACTGGTCCCCATACGACCCCGTCGGCGCGGTGAACGCCGATCCTTAAGGACTTTTCTCCCCGGCGCATCTCTCCGCCCACCCCACGGTTTCAATCCCCGCCCTCGGCGCCTTTCAACTTCAACTGACGCCTTTCAACTCCACCCCGACATTCGCTCGTATGGAACGACTCTAAGAGCGGGGAGCCGCGCGGAAGAGCGGTGGTCGTCGCCGCCGGCGCGATCGCGGACGACGACGAGGACGACGACGACGCGCCGCCGCCGCCGCCGCCGCCCGTCGCGGACCCGCCGCGCCCGCCCGTCGCGAAGTCCCGCCTCTCGAGCGTGACGTTCGCGGACGGCACCACCGCAAGCGATGGCGCGCGGCGGCGCGACGAAGACGGGTCCCGACGGGAACCGAGCCCGAAGCGCATTCGCGGCGGCGGCGGCGCGGCGGCGTCGGCGGCGGCGTTGCGAGCGACGATCGACGCGCTCGCGGCGCGAACGCGCGCGCTCGAGGCGGACGTCGACGCGTGCGAGCTCGGCGGCGTCGGCGGCGGCGTCCGCGCGGTGGAGCGGCTGCTTTACGAGGCGCAGGTGGTGGAGGTGGCGCTCACGGACGTGGTCGTCGCCGTCGACGAGGGGGGCGTCGACGCGGAGGACGACGACGCCGAGTTGATGGACGTGCGAAGAGCCGCGCGCGCGCTCGCGGCGCGCGTGACGAGGGTGTCCACGACCGCGAGCGAGATCGCGTACGGGTCCGGGTCCGAGGACGAACTCGCCGGCGACGCGATCGAATAGCGCGACTGAGTAGCTCGTCGCGACGACGACGACGACGACGATCGAACTATAAGATAGCTAGCTTGGCCCCGCGCGTCGTCGCGTCATAGGGACCCTAATAAACTCTGACCCTCAATCGTTCGTTCGCGGCCGCGCGGGGGACGCGCGCCGGCGAAACGTGAACAACGCGACGCGTCCTTCCAACCCTCGCACCGCCTCCGTCATCGTCCCCTCGTCCGTCCCCGCGCGCACGACCAGCCCGTCCCCGCGCGCGAACGCTTCCCCGCCCGCCGCGCGCCACGCCTCCGCCTCCGGGTGCTCCTCTCGCGTCACGTGCCCCCCTTGATGCGTCTCGAGCGCCGACGCCTCGCCCGCGAAGACGTCGAGCGCGCGCGCCTCCGCGACGAGCCCGCGCTCTCCCGCGCGCTCACACAGCTCCGCGGCGAGCTCGCCGCGTCGGACCGCCAGCGCGACGTGCGCGGCCGCGCGAGGCGCGGTCGAGAGCCGTCGCGCGATGCACGCGGCGAGCGGCGCGGCGTGCGACGCGTCGTAGAGCAAGTCGCTTCCGAGGACGCAGTCGAAGACGTCGTCGTCGGCGAGTCTCGGGAGAGACGACAGCCACGCGTCGTCGCCGCCGACGCGCTTGTGCACGAAGTTCGTCGAAGAAGCGGTCGTCGAAGCGGCGCCGTCGTCGTCGGCGTCCAAGCGCGCCATGTCGTCCCTCCAGTCGAGAAACGCGACGCGCACGGTTTTTTTTTCGGATGTTTTTTCAGACGTCTCCGTCTGAGCCTCCTCGGCGGCGGCTTCGAACGCCGCGGCGCTGCGCTCGAGCGCCTTCAGCGCGCCCGGCGCGCCCTCGGTCAGCACCACCTCCCTCGCGCCGCACGCGGCGGCGGCGAGGCCGCACAGCCCGCACCCGGCGCCGAGCTCGAGCACGCGCCTCCCGCGCGCGTCGACCAGCCCGCCGTCTGCGTCTTCTTCTCCCTCCTCCTCGACGCCGTCGCCGCTCGACGCGTCGACCGCGTGCGCGAGCACCCTCGCCGCGCCCCATATCCGCCACGCGAGCCCGGCGTCGTTCCACGACGACTCGTGGACGTCCACGTCGACGCCCGCGCGTCGCAACCGCACGCGCTCCACCCCCGGCGCGCGCGTCGCCGCCGCGCCGCCCACCTGCGACCCGCCGACGGCGAGCAGCTCGATCGTCGCGCCGCCGTCGTCTCCGCCGTCGCATCGCGCGCTCGCGGCGACCGCGTCGCCGACGAGCTCCGCGAGCGCGTCGTCGCCGTCTCGTATCGCGCGGTTGAGCGCGCACAGGAGGACGGGCTCCGCGCCGTGCGCGCGCGCGAAGACCGCCGCGCGCGCGTCCGAGGCGACGCGTCGGCACAGGAGGATGAGATTCGCGCGGCGGCGAGCGGACGCGGCGGCGTCGTCGGCGTCCGCGCCGCCGCGATGCGACGCGGACGAAGAGACGGTCAGGTCGTCCACGAGCGCCTCGAGCTTGCGGAGCGAGTCGCCGCCCGCGCGCTCGTCGTCGTCGACGAGGACCTCGCACACGACGGCGTCGTCGGCGGTCATCGCGGCGGCGCGCGCGCGCGCGAACGGAATGAATGCGCGGGAACGGGCGACGAACGCGCGGCTCACGTTCGTTCGACAAGACAAGACGTGATGCGACTGGAAGAGCAATAGACCGAACCCACGAAAGCGCGCACTTCGCGGACGCGCGGCGACAGCGCGCGCGACGTCGCCGACGCGAGACGCGATAAGATGGGAGCGACGACGACATCGGACTCCTTACTCTCCGCGGCCGTCGCCGTGGCCGGCGCGTGTTGCGCCGGCGTCGGCGTGGTGACGGCGCTGCGAATCTACCGAGACGCGAGACGACGGACGAAGAGACGGAGCGATCCCGCGACGTGGGCCGCGCGCGTGGACCTCGCGGCGGCGTACCACCTCTGCGACCAGATGGACATGAACGAGGGGATATGCAACCACCTCACGGTCATGGTCCCGGGGACGAACGACCGGTTCCTGTGCGTGCCGTACGGTCTCCTGTGGAGCGAAGTCACCGCGTCGAACCTTCTGCTCGTGAACGGAAACGGAGACGTCCTCGAGGGCACGGGCGAGATCGACTCCACGGCGTTTCACATTCACAAGGCGATCCACAAGAGAGGCGTCGTCGCGGTGCTGCACACGCACCAGCCGTACGCGACGGCGCTGTGCTGCACGGACGCTCAGGACGGCGGGTTCAAGCTCGAGATGTGCCATCAAAACTCGCTTCGGTTCTGGAACGAGATCGCGTACGACGACGAGTTCAACGGTCTCGTCTTAGACGACGACGAGGGCGAACGCCTCGTGAAGGTCATGAACGGCAGGAGGATTTTGATGCATCAGTCGCACGGCATCATCGTCTGCGGCGCGTCCGTCGCGGAGGCGTTCGACGATCTGTACTACCTGGAACGCGCGGCGAGGCAGCAGATTCTCGCGCAGTCGACGGGGAAAAAACTGAAACTCGTCGGCGATGACGTCGCGATGGGGTTCAAGAACGACTGCGAGGACGACGGCGCGAAGTCGAAGTGGGCGAACTTGCACTACGACGCCCTGAAGCGGGGGCTGATGCGAGGGCCGGGTCGCATCTTTTGCAGCGCGGACTATATTTTTCCCAACGCCGCCGTGGAATTAATTTTTTTGGTTTGGTTCTCGCGTGCAGCTTACCTATTCGTTGATGAGCTGAAGGAGCACATAATTCGAGCATAGGTTTGTATTGAGAAGGGGGGCGCCCAAACGACCCCCGAGCGAGCGCGCGGAAGCGCTCACATGACGACGCACGACTCCGCGACGGTGCGCGCGCGCGTCCGCCGTTCCCCGCCGTCCTCTCGCTTCCTCTTCGCCCCCGCGCCGCCGCCGCCGCCGCCGCCGCCGCCGGCGGCGGCGACGCCCGCGGCCTCCTCCGCGAGCGCGCGCGCCTCCGCGGCGGCGAGCGCCGCGGTCGCCGCCGCCGCGGTCGCCCTGTCCATCGCCTGCCGCGCCCTGTACTCCTCCAACGTCAGCATCTCCGCGCCGAGGCCGATCGCTCGCAGCTTCTCTCGCGCCGCCGCCGCGCCGCCGTCGGACTTCGACGTCACCACGCGACACACCCCGCGCCCGATGAAGACCACCTGCAGCGGCACGGCGAGACCCGCGGCGGCGAACCGCTGCGCGATCGTCCCGACGGACGTCCGCGGCGCGACGTCGGTGAGGAACAAGACGCCGCTTCGGTCCGGCGGCGGCGGGTCCGGGCCGATGAGTTGCATGCGCGAGAGATCTGAGGGTCGTTCCATACGAGCGAACGTCGGGGTGGAGTTGAAAGGCGTCAGTTGGAGTTGAAAGGCGTCGTGGACGGGGATTGAAAGCGAGGGACCCTGGGCGGAGAGAGACGCCGGGAGAGAAAGTCCTTGAGGAACGGCGTTCACCACGCGAACGCGGTCGTATGGGGACCAGTGTATAGAACGCGCCTGAGCGTTGCGTCGGCACCGCGCCATCCGCGGCGGCGAACGGGACGTTCCCGAGGAGCCCGACGGACGTTCGCGAGAGCGGCGGTCTCGCGGCGACCGCCTCCGCCTCCGCCTCCGCGTCGCCGTCGCCGTGGAAGATGGAAATCCATCCGTCCCCGTCCGCGTCCACGAGCGCCCGGCCGTGGACGGTCATCGTGAGGAAACACACCCCGGTCATGAACGCGTCGTATCCAGCCTCGTGCGCGAACGCCATGCACCCGCCGCCGCCGTCCGTCGCGTCGTCGTCGTCGACGACGTCGCCGCTCGCGTTCGCGTGGAGCGCGGCGTCGTACCGCGTGAACGACTCGGGGAACGCGATCCAATCCAGGACGCTCTCGCCGGACCGTCGGAACGGCGCGCACGCGCCCGCGGCGTCCGCCCGCGCGTTTTTGGTTTTGGTTTTGGTTTTGGCTTTGGTTTCGTTTTTCTTCCCGCCGCCGACCGCCTTCGCCTTCCCCTTGCCGTTTTCGTTTCCGTTTCCGTTTTTCGTTTTAATGTCTATAACCGTCGTCGCTTGTGCGTTATTATTATTCCCGGAGGATAACATCTTCGGCACGGACGCGCGCGTGAGGCGCTCGTACAGCGGACCCAACCCCGTGTCCACGCTCGCGCCGCTCTCCCCCGCCACCGCTGCGATCACCGGCGCGAACCCGGCGGCGATGAGCTTCGTGTCGTACAGCGCGCCCGCGAGCGCGCTCGCGAGCGACGCCTTGAATCCGCGATACGTGCCGTCGAGACCCCCGGGCTCCGCCGCGAGGAACTTGTCCATCGTGAACACGACGTCGAGCATCGCGTTGTGGCCGACGGCGGGAGCGCCGCTCCTCGCCAACGTCCGAAGCGCGAGCGTAAATCCCTCTGACAGCGCCTCCTCGCGCTTCTTCGCCGCCTCGTAGGCTTCCTTCTCGCGTCGCACCTCGCTCGGCGTCGCGCGCTTGAGAGATATCCGCGCGACACCGTCGGGGAAATCCCTCCGCGTCATCGCGATGAACCCCGGCGGATCGTCGCTTCCGAAGACGTCCTTCTCCAACGTCTGATGAGGGTAATCGCCCGTACGAAGCGATTTCGGGGTGGAGTTCAGGGGCGCGTCAGACTTGGGAGTTCAAAGGCGGCACGGTGTGTCGGGATTGAAAGCGAGGGACCCTGGGCGGAGAGAGACGCGCCGCGCGCGGGAAGAAAGGTCCTCGAGGATCGGCGTTCACCACGCGAACGCGGTCGTACGGGAAGCAGCGCGAGACCAGACGGAACGCGCCTGATACGTCAGCGCGCGCAAAAACGCGTTCGTCGGCTCCAACACCAGCTCGCCGTGCGCGTCGTCGCTCTCGTCGGTCAGCTTCAACCACGCGGTGACGACCGCGATGAGCGCGGCCACGACCCCGCGGTCGCGGTCGTTGCTCGGCACGATCGGCGGGCGGTCCCTATTTCGATCGCGGCGCGCCTCCGCCCTCGCGCGCTCCGAAGCCGGCACGTACGGGACGCCTTCGCGGATGCACTTGTTGAAGTCGAAGCCGTTGTTCGCGAGGAACGACAGCGACGACGCTTGGCATCCGAACGCGCTCGCGTCCGGGAGGGCTCGGTGATCGGGGAAGAGCCAGAAGTTGAACGGCCGCGCGGTCCACCGCCTCGAGCGCGGGTCGAAGTGGAAGGTGCAGACGCCGTACTGCAAGACCGCGAACGCTCGGACGCACGCGTGGACTTTGCGGAAGCGCTCCTCGGGGGTGTCGAGCAGGTCGAAGACGGTGTGCGCGCCCGCGTTGAGGCCGGTGAACTCGCAGTCGAAGCTGCGGTGCGTTGGTCGCGCGAGGTGGGGAACAGAGGGACGGTGAGCGGCGGGGACGCGGGGACGCGGGGACGCGGGGACGCGGGGACGCGGCGGCGGGCGGCTGCGCGCGTGGGAAAAAAACAACACGATGCGATCTGAGTCACCCCGTGCGCGAATCGACGGGGGGAGCGGCGCGCGCGCGCGCGCGCACCTCCAGAACGCGAAGTGCGGGTCCGCGACCGCGGCTTCGAGCGCGTCGATCGCAGCCTCGAACGTGTCCCGGGTCACGTCCATGGCGCGTGCGGCGCGCGCGGGGGCGAGTCGCGCCGATCAGCGACGAACCGTCGACTACCACTAACAAAACTTTTTGGCACCCGCCGCGCCGCGCCGGCCGAGTGCCCGGGACAGCCGGCGAGATCTCCACGCCAGAACCCCGCGCCCCGCGCTGAAGGCGAGGCGACGGAGCGCGCGCGCGCGCGTCCGCGGTGGTCCAGAACGACGCGATGGCGCCGCCGCCGCCGCGGCCGGCGTCGGAGGACGAGTTCAAGGCGCGCCTCTCCCCCGCCACCGCCCGCGCGGACGGACGGATCCCCGTCGCGCGCGTTCAAAACATCCATCCATCGCGTCCTTCGCGCTTCTCGGCTCCATCACGCGACGTCCTCCGTCCGATCCGATCCTATCCGACGCCTCCCGCCTCCCCCCTGTGTGGGCCCTCCGTCCCGTCTTCAGGCGGACGACTTCTCCGTGAGCGAGTACGTCGCGTCGCTCGTGCGCCCGCTCCTCCCGACGACGGAGACGCCGCTCGAGCGCGTCACCGTGGACGACGTCTACCCCGTCGCGGGCGCGATGCTCGACCGACTCGAGCTCGCGCGCGAGAAGCTCGTCAACCTCGAGCGCGTGCACGCGATGCGCGCGGCGTCGCTGAGCGCCAGGGCGCGAAAGGAAGAGAAAGCGCTCGAGCGCGCCGCGGACGGGCTCAAGAGCGGCGTCGGCGCGCTGTCCACCGCGCTCGACGCGATCGAGACGCGCGTGTCGCACGTCGCGTCGAGGACGGGGCGCGTCGGCGAGCGCCTTCGCGTCGCGGACGCGCAGCGATTGGCGACGACGGACGCGGTGTCGCTCGCGACGCACCTCGCGGCGTTCAACGCGTGCGAGTCGTTCGAAGATCTGCGCCTTCACGTCGACCCGCTGTTTTACGACCAAACGCGCTCGCCCGAGGCGGCGCGGCTCGCGCAGCGGCTGCTGCGCGTGGCGACGGAGGCGGCGGAGAGCGAACGCGCGCGTCGGAAAAAAACCGCGCTCGCGGAAGCCGCGCGCGTGCATCGCCGGCGGCCCCCGGGGACGGGGCCCAGGCCCGGCGGCGCGGGCGCGTCGTCGTCGTCGATCGTGGACGAGGTGGACGCGAAATCGCGCCGACGCGAGCGCGGCGAGGACGCGGGCGGTGGACCGAAACCGCTCGCGCTCGCGCGCGCCATCGACAACCTGGAGCGGTACTGCGACCAGCTGGAGAACGACGTCTTGCTCGCGTTCGCCGAGGCGGAGGACGAGGGCGATCTGCGCGCGATGAAGCGCGCGGCGAAGACGCTCTCGCGGTTCAACCAGGGCTCGTCGCTCATCTCGCGGTTCATCGCGACGCGGCCGATGTTCATGTCCGTGGACGCGGTGAACGAGATCGAGGCGCGTTCTCCTTCACACTGGTTCCCATACGACCGCGTCGGCGTGGTGAACGCCGATCCTTAAGGACTTTTGCCGTCGTCTCTCTCCGCCCAGGGTCCCTCGCTTTCAATCCCGACACGCCTCGACGCCATTCAACTTCAACTGACGCCTTTGAACTCCACCCCGACGTTCGCTCGTATGGACAATTACCCTCAGGCGCTGAGGGCGGCGGCGCCGGATTACGCCAACGCGTGGGTCGACGGCGGGTACGTCACGGAGAAGGACGCCGACGCGGCGGCGACGCGCGCGATCCTCGCGCTGGAGGACTTCTACGAGCGCGTCCGCGCGGAGGTGGCGGAGGAGGTGCACCGCGCGATCGAGATCTTCCCCAAGCCGGTCACCGCGTTGACGCCTCTCGTGCGGCGAGTGATGGAGCAGCGGGCGCGGGGCGCGTTGGACGCGCTGTTGCCGCCGGCGCCGGCGCCGCCGCGCGCGCCGTCGCGCGCGGGCGGCGGCGCGATGCACGCGGGGTCGCCGACGAGGTTGAACCGCGAGACGCGGCGGGCGCTCGAGGCGGAGCTGATGGCGAGGAGCGGGAGCGGGAGCGACGCCGCCGCGGTCTCGGGGACGGGGACGGGGACGGGGACGGGGACGGGGACGGGGACGGGCGGCGGCGCGGCGGCGGAGACGCCGAGTCGGAAGACGCCGCGCGCGGCGAGCGGCGTCGGCGTCGGCGTCGGAGAGAAGGCTGGCGAGGTGGCTGAGACGCCGGCGCCGGGCGCGGCGGAGGCGCGCGACGACGCGGCGGCGACTTCGACTTCGAACGCGACGACGACAGCCGCCGCCGCCGCCGCCGCCGCCGCGAGGATCGACCCTCCGTCCGCGATGATGCCCCCGCCCCCGCCCCCCAGCGCGTCGCCGCCGCCGAAGCGCGCGCGCGAGGGCGTCCCCCCCGGCCCCGGACACTTCGCGCTCCTGGCGCACCTCCGCGTGCTCTGCGGCGCCGTCAAGGCGACGCGCGCGCTCGGTCTCGCCGTGACGGACCTCGTCGAAGGCGTCGTCGACGGCTCGGAGGCGGCGCACGGGCTCTTCAGCGAGCGACGCGACGAATACGCGGAGTTGGAGCGGTCGTGCGTGGGAGGGCTCGCGTCCGCGGCGGCCGCGGAGGGCGCGACGCCGGACGACGCCGGGGGCAAGATCCCCGGTATGGACCGCCTCGTGCGCTGGCACGCGGAGGCGACGGAGCGCTGCGCGGTGGTGCTCGCGCCCGCGCCGCCGCCGCCGCCGCCGCCGCGGAGGAGCAAAAAGACGGGGAAAATACTCGTGACGTCCCCGATGAAGCGCGCGGCCGACCGCGCGCGATTGCGGACGAGCCGGCTGGGGGGCGGCGCGTCGCCGAGGTCAACAGACGGCGCGTCCGACCGCGCGCGGTCGTCGGACGAATCCGAGTCGGACGCCGACGACGCGGACGACGACTCGGACTCGGACGACGCGCCGCCCGTCTCTTACGTCAAAAAACTCGGGCTGGATAACCTCGACGCGAAGGACTTCATCCGTCACGGGTTCGTCCTCCCCGGGTACCTCCCCGACGGCACGCGCAAGCCGGACGCGCCGTGGGCGGACTGGGACGGTCTCGACGCCGAGTTCTCGAACGCACCGGACCCGGGCGTTTCGGGAAACGCGCCGGGGCTCAGGGACGCGGCGGCGACGGCGCGCGCCATCGCGTCCGCGACGTCCGTCGCGTCTATCGCCACCGCGGAGAAGTCTGTGACGTCCGCGGCGATCCGCGAGGCGTCGCGCCTCGCCGTGAGCGCGATCGACGCCGCCGTGGAGACGTGCGAGCGGCAGTCCGGGCGGATGACTGGGAAGACGTCGCCGACGGACGTCGCCGTCGGAAGCGTCGGCGTCGTCCTCCGAGCCGTCGGCGCGACGAGGGAAGCGGTGAACGCGATGCGCGAGCACGTGCTGCGCGCGCGCGACGCGCTCCTCGCGCGCGTGGAACCGCCGTACACGAGCGCGAGGAGCGCGAACTCGAGGGAAGGCGGCAAAGGCGGAAACGGCGGCGGGATCGAGGCGTGCTCGTCCGCGGCGGCGGCGGCGGCGGTGCGCGACGCGTGCGAGACGTTCGCCGAGGCGTTTGAAACGTTTGAACGCGACGCCGGCGAAAAGGTTGTCGCCGCGTTGCAACGCGGCCTGAAGTCGCTGTTCTACGTCCTCGAGCAGAAGGTCCTCGCGTCGACGCAGCGACGCGCGGAGTTCTTGCCGTGCGAGGACGAGCTCGGGATGCCCGGCGGCCCGAAATTCCCCGGGCAGGAGCCGTCGGACGCGTGCGTCGCCGTCGTCTCGACGTTGAAAAAAGTCCGCGCGATTCTCCTCTCGCACGTCGCGCACGACGGCGTAGACGCGGACGCGACCGACCCGAACGTCCGGCAGTTCGTCAACGAGCTCGCGCGCAAGCTGCGCGCGTCCGTGACCGCGCACGCGCAGCGGTTCACGTACAGCATGACGGGCGCGATGCAGATCAAGAGGGACTTGGGCGAGTACGAGGCGTTCGTGATCGACGCCGGGTGCGACTCGAGGGCGCAGCTGTCGGAGTGGCGTCGGACGTTGGAACTCAGCGGCGCGCTCGTCATTCCCCCGGACGCGCTCCCCGGGATGTTGGCGGAGGTCACGAGGGAGGCGACGGAGGACGCGAAGGCGGCGGAGGCGGAGGAGGCGGCGGCGTGGGCGGCGAAGAACGGCGGGCGCGGGGAGGAGGAGGAGGACGCGAGAATTCCGCCGGAATTCCGCCGGAATTTCGACGGAGACGGAGGCGGAGACTTCCGCGGCGCGCGGCCGGCGCCGGAGCCGAGGCCGGAGCCCGGGTGGCTCGTCAAGGCGCACGTGGATCGGGTCGTCGGGGAGTTCATACGCGTCGCGCAACGGAGGGCGGATTATCATCCGTCGATGTTGTCGCTCGCGCGTCAGAAAGCCGCATCAGAGGCGACCGGCGCGGGAACGTAGAAAGACTGGAAGAGACGGAATCGAAATTGAAAAGTCCCTCCGGTCGCGCTCTTCCAGTCTTTCCCGCGCGCCCCGCCGCCGCGTCTCTTCGCTCGCTCGTCATGCCGCCGTCGCGCGCGCGCGAGGTCGACGCGCTCGACGCCGTCGCCGAGTTCGCGAGCGCGCTCGTGGGTCGCTCCCCGGCGCCGCCCGCGAAGAAGATCAAGACGTTCACGCGCCGCGAGCGCAGAGGCGCGCCGCCGCCGTCGCCGAGGGCTTCTTCCCCGCCCCGCGAGGTCCCCGCCGCGCTCGCGCCGTCGCCGAGCCCGTCGAGGGACGACGATCGCGAAGAAGAAGATCTCGAACGAGACGTCGACGTCGACGTCGCGCCTCCCCCCGCGCGGACGAGGGAGGCGCGCGCGCGGCGGTCGTCGCCCGCGGCGGAGGCGGAGGCGGAGGCGGAGGCGCCCGCGCCGCCGCCGCTCTCGTTCGAGAACGACGCGCTCCCTAGCTTCCCTTCCCCGGCGCCGCTGCCCGGCGCGCGCGACGACGACGACGACGACGACGACGACGACGCGCTCGCGCCGTCGACGGTCGACAACGCGGCGATCCTGCGCAGCCCCGCGGGGAAGGCGGGCGCGGCGGTCATCGAAGACGTCGAAGCGCGCGGGCGCGCGCTGCTCGGCGCGCTCGCGGAGAGCGCTTCTTCCACTCCGCGCTGGAGGTGTTCGCGACGCGCGTCGACGAGTGCGAAGCCGCGGTGACGGAATGGCTGATCGAGAAGACGACGCGGCTGGAGCGAGACACCGCGGACGATCTCATCTACGGCGCGAAGCTGGAGAAAGCGGAGGCGTGCGTGCTGGGGTTCACCGCGCGGATGTCGGACGCGCGTTTCGGCGGCGACGCGGCGGCGGCGGCGGCGGCGGAGGAGGAGGAGGAGGAGACGAATGATAAAGCGCTCCCCGCCGTCGCCGCCGTCTTCGTTCGCCCGAGCGAAGCCCTCGGACGCTGAGACGACGCGGCGCGCGTCGAGACGACGAAGAAGACGGACGCGTGTCGAACGCGGCGCGCACGACGACGCGGCGAACAGAACGACTTTGCGTTATTGAAAGAATCGTACGATAAAACGATGAAGACCTAGCGTCGATCGATCGAACTACACTTCTATCCGCGAGCTCCGTTTCAAGAACTCGTACGTCGTCACCATCGTCGTCCCCCAGATCGCGACGGACGTCATCCTCGGCCGCACGCCGCGCAGAAACCCCCGCGCGCCGTGCTCCCTGTACAGCTCCTTCGCCGTGGAAGTAAACGAGTGCGCCTCCCCCCCCGGCTGTCCGCTCAGCACCTGTAACCGCGTCTTCACGACGTCCAGCGGCGTCGTGAAGAACCCGCTCGTCATCCCCGCGCACACCCCGCTCGCTATCTGCACCCCCATCGCGACGGCGTCGGACGGCTCGGAATTCACGACCGCGGTAACGCCCGACGTCGACGCAAAATCACTTCCATCGTCGCCCCGACCGCCGCCGCCGCCGCCGCCGCCGCCGTACGCCTCCGGGACCAACCCCCACCCGATCCTCTGATACGTCCCGTACGCTCCCCACCACAGCGCGCTTCCCGGCACGAGCGTCACGATCGACGCGCCGAATCCACGGTATAGCCCCCGGACGCCTTCCGTTTTCACGATCGAGCTGATCGCGTGCCAGCCGTTCCGGTACCCCGTTAACGTCGTGGAGCCTGGAGTTGAAAGGCGTCAGGTGGAGTTGAAAGGCATCGAGGGCGGGGATTGAAAGCGAGGGATGGGCGGAGAGAGACGCCGGGAAAAGTCCTTAAGGATCGGCGTTCACCACGCCGACGCCGTCGTATGGGGACCAGTGTGACATAGAACGCACCCCCGTCCGCGGAGCGCACGACGACGCCCCTCGTCATCTGCCGCTGCGATATGATATCGATGGGCACGCCCAACACCTGCGAGCACATCGACGCGGTCGCGCCGCCGGCCGCGTCCGCGACCCCGTGCGCGATCGGGGGCAGATCGAACGTCTCGCACAGCCCCCTCGCGCGCGCTTTGACCACCTCGAGCGTGCTGAGGTAGACCATTCGTATGGGCAGCGTGCCGACGACGATGGTGCCGAAGCCTTGGTACAGACCGAAGAACCCTCTCTGTCGCACGACGTCTTTCACGATGCTGAGCCCGCCTTTGATGCTGCCGCTGCCGTCCACCATCTGCCGCGTCTTGATCACGCTGAGCGGGTACAGCGCGCAGGTGACGCACGAGAACATCCCCGCGCCGACGACGAAGAATTTCTTCTTATCGAGTCCCTCCCAGGTCACCTCGCGCGGGACGCCGCCGTTACCGGCGCCGCCGCTCGATCGCGGCGTCGACGGCGACGGGGCCGACATCGCGGGTCACTCACGAGATCGCGGGTCGCGGGCGAAGATCAGATCGCGCTCGGCATCGCGCGCTCGAACGCCGCGGGACCCGCGCCTGGCCGACTGCTGTGGGGAAGATGTCGCGACGCGTTCTATCCTCCGCGCGGCGCGCCGGATCGCCATTTTCGCGTTTGACCGTTCCTGCCTTGTGGTTTCAAACCACTGACCGATCGAGACAGCCGGTCAAACTGACCCGCACGTCTCCCAACTGACCGACGACGGGAGCGGACGCGCCGCTGATTTGAAATGCGCCCGCAGTCAACAACAGCGAAGCACATCATCATCGCGAGGTCGGCACGAGCTCCGCGCGCGCGGCCGCCGGCGTCCGCGGCGGACTTCGCGCGACCGCCCGCCCGCGCGCCGCGCGACCGACCGACATGAAGCTCAAGGTGAAGCCCACGGCGGGCGCGCCGAGGCACGGCGACGTCTGCGCGGTCGTCGCGTGGAACTCCGCCAGCGAGCTGTACAGCGCGGGCGACGACAAGCAGATCTTACGGTTCGACGTCAACGGCGACGCGCGAGGGAAGGTGTGCGACCTGGACGCGTACGTCGTCGACATGGCGTGGCACCCGGGCGGCGCGAAGTCCTCCGGGAGCGGCGGCGAGACGCGCGTCGCGGGAGGAGGAGGCGGCGTTGGAGGCGGCGGCCCGGGAGACGCGCATTCGTTCGCGCTCGGCTGCTCGGACGGCGTCGTCAAGATGATGACGCGAGGCGGGATGGTGGAGAGAGCGTTCGAGGCGCACCGCGGCGCGGTCACGAGCGTCTGCTGGAACGACGACGGCACCGCGCTGTTGACCACCGGCGAGGACGGCGCGGCGAAGGTGTGGAGCAGGAACGGCGCGCTGCGCGTCGCGCTGGAGCAGAGAGACGCCGCGATCTATTGCGCGTCGTGGTCGCGCGACGGCGACGCCGTCGCGTTCGGCTGCGGCAAGGAGCTCCTCGTGAAGCCTCTCAACCCGGGCGCGAAGACGTTGAGATGGAAAGCGCACGACGGCGTCGTGCTCTCCTGCGACTGGTGCGCCCTCACGCGCGTCATCGTCAGCGGCGGCGAGGACTGCCGCTATAAAACCTGGGACGAGCACGGGTTGCTGCTGTTTCAGTCGTCGCGACTCGACCACGTCGTCGCGTCGGTGCGGTGGAACCCCGCGGGCGACGCGTTCGCGGTCGGGTCGTTCGACTCGATCACGCTGTGCGACGCGACCGGTTTCACGTCGGGGAAGACGCCGGTCGACGCCGGGACGGTGTTGAAGCTGGCGTGGTCCCCGGACGGCGCGTCCGTCGCGGGCGCGGGCGGGAACGGCGCCGTCGTCTTCGGCTCCGTCGCGGAGCGACGGATCGAGTCGTGCGGATTCGCGGCGACGCTGATCGCGCCGGACGTCGTGCGCGTGACGGACGTGGAGGGAGGGGGTGCCGTAGGGGGTGCCGTAGGGGGTGCCGAGGCACAGCGCGGCGACCTCGACCTGAGCTTCCGCGGCGACAGAGTCGTGAAGATGGCCGCGGGGCACGGGTACCTGCTCGTCGCGAGCTCCGCCGGCGCGGTGAGCGTGCGTCAGCGCGGGCGGATGAACGCCCCGCGGACGATCGACGTCAGAGACGTCGCGACGTTGCTGATCCCCGGCAAGACGTGCTTCCTGTGCGTCACCAGCGGCGGCTCGTGCGCGGTGTACTCGTACGAGGGCAGGAAGACGAGCGACTTGCGCGCCGCCGGGTTGCGTCCGGAGGTGCGTTCTATACACTGGTCCCCATACGACCGCGTCGGCGTGGTGAACGCCGATCCTTAAGGACTTTGCCCGGCGTGTCTCTCCGCCCACCCCTCGCTTTCAATCCCCGCCCTCGGCGCCTTTCAACTCCACCTGACGCCTTTGAACTCCACCCCGACAATCGCTCGTATGGAACGACCCTGAGCTTTTGAACGATCGCTCCGTCGCTCTCGCGCCGGACGCGTGCGTTTTCATCGACCGACCGTCCTCGCGCGTCGTGCGGTTTCTGGACGTCGCGAACGGCCGCGCGCTCGCCGGGGACGAAAACGCGATCGCGCATCACGCGGAGATCACGCGCGTCGTCGTGAACCAGGTGGGATCCGCGCAGGACCGGAAGGTTGCGTTCGTGGACGTGAATCGAGACGTGCACGTCGCGTCGGCGTTCGGCGGCGGCGTCGCCGTCAAACTCGGCGGGATGGTCGACAGCGTGCTGTTCGCGGACGTCACGGACGCGCTCGCGGCGATGGTGGACCAGAGGCTCGTCGTGTGGCTGCACCCGAACGCGGCGTTCGTGGACAAGGACGTCGTGGACGCGACGAAGATCACGCGCGAGGGCGACTTTGGTAAGCTGCCGGCGTTGACGTCGTTTCGCGACGGCTCGCGCGCGACGATTCGCAGGATCGACGGCGCGTCGATTCACGTCACCGTGTCGCCTCATCTTCCGACGCTCCACGCGCACCTCATCACCGGCGCGTTCGACAAGGCGATTCGGTTGTGTCGGTTCGTGAAGGAAGAGAGCCTGTGGGCGTGCGTCGCGGTGGCGGCGGTGGCGGCGAAGGATTTACGCGCCGCGGAGGTGGCCTACGCCGCGTGCGAAGCCGTGGAGAAGGTTCGTTTCCTTCGCAACGCGAGGGAGATTTCGAGCGCGGAGGGGCGGAACGCGGAGCTCGCGCTGTTCCGAAGGAAGCCGGACGAGGCGGAGGCGATCTTGCTGCACGCGGGGTTGATTTACCGGGCGATCGACGCGCGCGTGCGGCTGTTCGACTGGCGGCGCGCGCTCGATTTGGCGACCAAGCACGGGATGCACGTCGACACGGTGTTGTACCACCGGAGAGCGTACTTGAAGTCCGCGGGGAGGAAAGAGACGGACGGCGCGTTTTTGGACGCGATGCGCGCCGTGGACGTCAGCGAAGAGGCCGTGCTCGCGAAGATCGCGGAGGAGAGAGAGCGAGAAGGGACGGGGAGGAAGACGCGGTGACGACGACGACGCGAGCTTATAGAGTCTCGTCAATCGACGATTCATAAGTTGACCTTATTCTTAAAAAGCGCCGCCAGGGTACGCACGCGTCGGTCTGCTAGTGATCGTCCGCACGCTTGATCGGCCACGGGCGAATCACCCACTCCTTCGACGGGTCGATCCTCCCGTCGCCGTCGCGGTCGAACACCTTGAATATCAAGTCCATCGCCGCCGGGTCGAGCGTTTTCGCTTGCGATATCAATCCGTCGCGTTTGGCCCCGCCCGCGCAACTCGAGATGGCCCTCAGCAGATCGTCCTTCGACCGCACGTCGCCGCCGTACCCGTCCCCTTCATCCCCCTCGCCGTCGCCCGCGCCCGTGCCTTTCGCGCGCATGACGTCGTCCAGATCGTCCATGCGATTCAGGACGAACCTGAGCGCGCGCAAGTCGTCAGCGCGCTTCGCCGCGGCGCCGCCCGGGGACCAATACGTCCGCATGAACGCGAGCCACGTCGTGGAAGAGACGCACGCGAGACCGCCGGTGAGCCCCCAGAATATCGCCGGGCTCGCCTCTTCGAACCCGTGCGTGAGGTTCATCCCGGCGAGCGACGCGGGGACGGCGATCACGGTCATCGCGAGCGTCGCGATCGTCGCCTGGAGGTTCAGACGCACCGTCCGGTTTCGAACGCCGTCGAGGTAGAGCTCCCAAACCTCCCTCGTGCTCTCCACCGACTGCGCGATCTCCGCGAGCTCGCCGCCCGCGGCGCGTATCCTCCACAGGTGCGTCTGGAGGAGGCCCATGACAGCGGCGCGGCGGCGCGCGTCGGGCGGGCGCGGGTCCGCCTCCGCGGCGGCGGCGTCCGCGTCGCGAAGACCCGGGTCCGCCGCGGGGTCCCGGTCCGGGTCCGGGTCCGCCGCGGGGTCGGGGTCGTTCTGTGCGAGCGAACGTCGGGGTGGAGTTGAAAGGCGTCAGATGGCGGAGTTGAAAGGCGTCGAGGGAGGTGTGTCGGGATTGAAACCGAGGTGTAAGCGGAGAGGAGAATCGCCGGGAAGACAAGTCCTTAAGAAACGGCGTTCACCGCGCCGACGCGGTCGTATGGGAACCAGTGTGAGATGACAGAACGCGCCTCCTCCTCCGACTGCGGCCGGTACGCCGTCCGCGAGCACTTCGGTAAGAGCGCGTCCACGCGCTCGTCGCTTTTCATCGCGTCTTGAATCGCGTGGTGCGCCTCTTTGATGTCCGCCTCCAGCGACGTCATCGCTCGGCGCAGCGGCAGCAGACGCTGGAACCCGGCTTCGCCTTGCGCGCCTTGGACCTTCAACTCGTCCGTGATGGAATCCAAACAGTACTCCGCGAGAAGCTTCACCCTGCGCAGTTTCTGGTGGTAATACCCCGTCGCCTCGTCCAAGACGCACTCGAGCGCTCGCAACGGGAAGTCGTCCACCGCGATCGCGGACTCGTTCAGCTTGGCGTGCGCGTCGTCCGCGTGCGCGACGGTGCCCGCGGCGGGGACCGCGCCGGCGAGCGGGCCCGCGGACGCGCCGGCGCCCGACGCGGCGGGAATGGCGTCTCGAGCGCTCACCGCGCGCGCGATCGCGACCGCCGCGGCTTTCGGGGACGCGCGGTGCGCGTCCACGAGCATCGCGCAGTCCGCGCCGATGACCGCGCTGAAGGGCTGGAACCGGACGATGAGCATGCTGTCCCCGCGACCCGCCTGACGAATGGATGGATGGGATTCGGAGACGAAACGTGAGATTAATCGATCGATCGACGGACGACGACGCGGGTCGACGCGCGGCGCGATGGAGCGAGAGCGCGCGAGAGAGAGCGAACGCGGCGAGCGCGCGATTGCCGTCGTCGCGTCGCGTCGCGAAGGGCGTCAAAGGCGTCGCACCGGTCGCGCCGTGAGCGTCGCGGGCGTGTCCCCGAACGATCCCGTCCTCTCCAGAAGCGGCGCGTCGCGCGGGAGGAGATGTCTGAGGAGCCCGTCGTCGCCCTGACCGATGCGCACCGCGCGATGCCACGCGCGGCCGTTGTTGTCCACCTTGAGCGCGTAGAGCTCCTTGGGCGCGGCGCCGGGCGCGGAGCGCGCGGCGGCGCCGAGCGCGCGGCGGAACGCGCGCGACGCCGCGGACGCCATGGCCGCGCCGCGAGATGAAGTGCGGCCACCATCAGAACGGGCGCCATCGAAAAAACCACGCAGTCGAAAACTAACATTCCCGACCCGGGCGCCGTCCTTCACAGCGAAGCGCCCCGGGCGAGCGAGCGGGTTCATGGCGACGGCGCGGTCCGCGGCGTGCGCGCGATGGACGGCGCCGAAGGACCGACGCGCGAGGCGAGAGTCCGTCGACGCGCCGCGATGGGCCCCCGGACTCGGAACCGTCGGCGTTTCACCAGATTCTTCTTCTCGGAACGCGCGACGACGAACGTGTTCGTCGCGCGCGTCGTCGACACCGCCGCCGACGCCGGTGGCGAGAGACGCGCCGCCGCGGTGGTCGCTCGTCCACGCGCGCGCGGTCGCGGCGATCGTCCACGTCGTGTTCGGCGGCGCCGACGCGCAGAAAGTCACACGGAAGGCGCTGCGACCGGAGTGGCGCGGACCGGACGGCGGGGAGGAGGACGACGCGCATCGATCATCATCGGAGGCGCTTCGCGGGTGGCCGGGCGACGCGCGCGGCGGCGGCGTGAACAACGCCGAGCGCGTCGCGATCGCGGACGCGATCCTGGGCGTCGAGGCGTCGCGGCTGCGGCTCGCGTATCGCGCGTTATCGCGTCTGCGCGCGCGGGGTGGGGAAGAAGAAGGAGACGCGCGGTGTGTCGCCGCGCTCGCCGCGATCGTTCGCGATTGCGGCGTCGACGACGACGACGACGACGACGACGACGACGACGACGCCCGCGATCCCCCCGACCGCGCGGCGTGCGCCTCGGCCGCGGAGGCGATGCTCGCGTCGTACTGGGCGGTCGCGGACGACGACGACGACGCCGACGCGGACGGCGTCGACGCGCGCCGCCGCGCGGCGACGTCGACGCCGACGCGGCGGCTGTCCCCCGGCGCTCTGGACGCGCTCCTCCTCGCCGAAAATAACGAAAATGATCCCGTACAGGTAGTCGCCCCCCCCGCGGACCCCGCCGCGAATATCGCGGTCGAGCACTCCCTCCCCGCGTGGCTCGCGCGACGGTTCGTGTCGCAGCACGGCGTCGACGGCGCGTCCGCGCTCGCGGCGTCGCTTCGTCTTCGCGGCCCGGTGATCGCGCGCGCGAACCTCGCGCGGTGCGCGTCGGTTTCGGCGCTCGCGGAGAAGTTGCGCGAAGAACGCGTTCGGACAGAGCGGCTCGCAACGTCGGACGCCACGTCGGACACCACGTCGGACGGGTCGCTCTCGCTCTTGCGGCGGCTCTCGCGCGGCGCCCCGGACGCGCTCGCGCTCCCCGATGGACGGCCCAAGGTGGGCGGGATCTTCGGGCTGCGGTGCTACCGAGACGGCGCGTTCGAGGTGCAGGACGCGGGGTCGCAGTGCGTCGCGGCGGCGGCGGCGGAGGCGGTGCTCGCGTCCGCGGCGGCGGCGTCGGCGTCGGACGCTGCCACGTCAGATCGGACTGTCGGACACTCACTTCGGACGTGGCGCGTGCTCGACGCGTGCGCGGGGAACGGCGGGAAGGCGCTCGCGATCGCGTCAGCGCTGTCTCGCGGCGACGCGCCGGGCGTTCGCGCGTTCGCGATCGACTGCCACGACGTCGACGAGCGACGGCTGCGGCACCTGAGAGCCGCCGCGGCGCGCGCGGGATTCGGCGAGGGCGAGGATGGGAATTCTCGAACCGTCGCGGGGGAGATACGAACCGTCGACAGCGCGATGCTTCGCGCGGTCGCCCGCGGCGAGCTCCCGGCGTACGACGCCGTGCTCGTGGACGCGCCGTGCTCGTCCACGGGCGCGTTGCGGCGCTTCCCTTCCCTGAGGTGGACGCTGGACGAAAGCAAAACGTCCGAGACGGAAACGGAGACGGAATCGGAAACGGAAACGTCCTCATCCCGAGTGTTACTCGAGTATTGGAACACCCCAGACGCCGCGTACGACGCGGACGCGGTTGGCGTCGACGGTCACGCGCCGGTGAGCGACGCGTCGTGGCCGGCGCTGCAGCGGAGGGTGCTCGCGCGTTTCGCCGGCTGCGTCGCCGCCGACGGCGGCGCTCTCGTCTACGCGACGTGTTCGCTCCTGGACGCGGAGAACGTCGGCGTGTCGCGATGGTTCGAGCGCGCGAAGTGGACGACGGGCGCGGGCGAGGGCGCGGACGCGTCAGGGGAAGATGTCGATTTCGTAACGTTCGAGCCCGATCCGTTTCCGCGCGGGTGGCCGGGGGAGGAGGACGCCGACGCGCGCGCGACGCACGAGGTCGCGCTCCGGCCGGACGCGCACGGTTGCGACGGGTTTTACATCGCGCGGTGGCGGAGGCGGCGGAAGGTTAGGTTTAGTTTAGATTAGGGTTATAATCATCATAATCATAATCGACGCGCGCGATGACGCTACAGTACTACTTCGGCACCGCGTCCTCTACGAATAGGTGCCCCAACACGTCCGGGAGCTCGTGTATCCTGTGTATCGCGTGGTCCGCCTCTTCGCACACGATCTCCGAGCCGCAGTCGCGGTGGTGCTTCCCGACGAGCACCGTCCTCCACCCCACCTTCTTCGCCGTCTTCACGTTGCTCACGGAGTCGTCCAGGAACAAACACGCGGACGGGTCGTCGCACTTCGCGATCTTCATCGCCGCCACGTACGCCTCCTCGTCGTGCTTCGTGACCCAGTCCACGGCTCTGACGTCGATGATGTCCTCGAAAAAGTGTCCGACGCCCAACAGCTCCAAGCACCTCTCCGCGTGATGCTTCACGCTCGCGGTGAAGACGTACTTCGGAATCGTGGGGTCCATGCGCTCCAGCATCGCGACCAGCTCCGGGTCCGGGCCGATGTGCTCGTGCAGCGGGATGTCGTGCGCGTGGTGGAGGTACTCCTCTAGCATGTCGTCGTCGAAGTAGATGGACGGCTCCTGCTGCATCCCTCGCAGGCACGTCCCCCACTTCTTGTACAGCTCGTACGCGTGCCCGGGCTTCATGGACATCCGGTCGGAGCAGAACGACTCGATCTTCTCCGTGATCATGTTCGCGACGCGCCAGTCGTTCTTGTACAGGCAGTCGTCGCAGTCGAAGAAGACGACCGCGGGTTTCGCGCGGTCGCCGTTCGTCGTCGCCATCGTCGTCGTCGTCGTCGACGTCGCGCGTCGGTCGCGCCGGCGCGCGGTGGTGAAGGCCCCGCTGGGCGACGACGCGTCGCGGAGACGGAGTGTTCGAGTGAAAGACGCGGCCGCGCGTGTCCCGTGAACGACGCGGGTCAGCATGCACGCCGCCGCGGTGCGTCGGAGTGTGGTGGTGGGTGGATGGACGAGTCGCGATCGACGTCGAGTGAGAGTCCAGAGTACTCCTCGCCTCGGAGCGTTCAAAACGAATCCGACAGACGACGCCGCGCGCGCCCCGCGTCGCCGCGATGGCGACCCTGAAGTGGCGCTCGGACTTCGACAAGTTCGTCGTCGTCTCGAACTTCGAGAAGCGCGGGTGGGAGCGCTGGCGCGACCCCGGCCCGGACGCCGCGGACGCCGGCGCGGCGGACGCGCATCAGACCTCATCATCGTGGAACGTCTACTGGGCGAACGTGCACGCGGCGAAGCATCTCTTCCACCCCTCCGCGGAGTCGCGCCTGGGCGATCATCAGGTCGTGAACCACTTCCCGAACCACTACGAGCTCACGCGCAAGGACCTCATGGTGAAGAACGTGAAGCGATACCGAAAAGAGCTCGAGAAGGAGGCGGCGCTCGCCGCGGCGTTGCGAGGAAACGGACTCGGCGGCGTCGCGGTCCCGACGCCGACGGACCACCTCGACTTCGTCCCGCTCACGTTCTCGCTTCCCGCGGACTACTCGCTGTTCGCGGAGGAGTTCAGACGCGGCGGCGGCGACAACGCGCGCGCGACAAACGCGACGACGTGGATCATGAAGCCGACGGGGAAGGCGCAGGGGAAGGGCATCTTCCTCGTGAACAAGCTCGCGCAGGTGAAGCGATGGGCCAACACCGGCGGTGCGCTCGCGGCAAATAATTCAGCGGCGCACTCGACGTCGAATAAACATCAAAGCGATCGGGATAAGACCGAACCGCCCGCGCAGGAGGCGTACATAGTGTCTCGATACGTCCACAACCCGCTGCTGATCGGCGGGAAGAAGTTCGACCTCAGGCTGTACGTGACCGTGACGTCGTACCGACCGCTGCGCGCGTTCATCTCGAAACTCGGGTTCGCGAGGTTTTGCAACGTGAAATACAGCGGCGACGTCGCGGACATCGACAACCCGTTCGTGCACCTCACGAACGTCGCGATACAGAAGAGGGGCGAGGAGTACAACGAGTCGCACGGGAACAAGTGGCCGCTGCGCGATCTCCGTCTGCACTTGGAGTCCACGCGAGGAAAGACCGCGACGGACGCGTTATTCGCCGCGATGCGCGACTGCGTGACGCACTCGCTGCGCGCGGTGAGCAACGTCATGGTCAACGACCGGCACTGCTTCGAGCTGTACGGGTACGACCTTCTCGTCGACGAGTCCTTGAAGCCGTGGTTGATCGAGGTAAACGCGTCGCCGTCGCTCAGCGCGACGACGGAGGCGGACAGGAGGTTGAAGTGCAGGGTGATACGAGACGCGTTGCTGGTGGCGGTGCCGCCCGGGAAGTTGGACGCGAAACCGCGGGACGGGGGGAAACGCGGCGTCGGGGTGGGGGCGGGGGGTAACGGAGGCCACGGCGGCCTCGGCGGCGTCCCGCCGGAGGCTGCGGAGACGCTGGAGCTTCTCGTGGACGAGGCTGCGGAGACGGCGGCGAGGGAGGAACGCGAGTTCGCGAGGGCGGCGAGGAAATCCGCCGCGCGGAATAAGAGCGGCGCGGATCGATGACAGGACGCGACGTACATCACCTTCTTTTAGCGCGGTAGAATGAATTAGCTTAGAATCATAAGCAACAAGACAACAACCTAAGGGTACATAGGGCGACTAATTAATAACCTGCGTAATATAAAGTAAGTAGTCAACGAAGCGCGATCGATCGCTCGCGCGCGTCACGCGGCTTTTGCCTTGCGCATGTTCCGCGGCGCGATAGGCCCGTCGTAAAAGTGATGCCGGAGCCCGAACGCCAGCCTCGAGACGTTAAACACGAAGAAGCAGCACCACACGCCCTCCACGGTGGACCCCCACAGCTGCAGCGCGCCCAGCATCAGCGTCGTGGACACGAGCATCCCCCCCGCCAGCCGCGGAAACGCCTGATGCCCTTGCATCAGACCCTCCGCGACGAACACGAGACCGTTGAGCGGCATCTGCGGGGTCGTTCCGAATGTTCATCGGTCAGTTGAAAGAGGACGTGGTCAAATGTTGAAACCGGGCGATGGGTGAAAAACTTTTGTCTGGAACGCACCTGTAACGCGCCGATCATCACCGGCCCGCGCGCCATCGCCTGCACGTTTTCCAGCGGCGTGAAAAACTTGAGCGCGGGCAGCGCCGCGAGCTGCACGCACGCCAAGAACGTCCCCAGCAATAAACCCCATACAAGCAGCCGGTCCGCGCACGTCTTCGCCGCCTCCGCGCCGCCTCCTCCGTCAAGCGCCGCGTTGAGCTTCTGCGGGATGAGAATGCTCGCCAGCGTCGACAGCGCGAGGACGGCGATGAGGCACAGCTGGAACATCTGCGCGGAGACTGTGTGCGCCGCCGCGGCGGTCCCCGTGGCGTCCATCGTGAGTATCGCGCGCATCACGGCGAGAAACGTGATGTTCTGCGCGATGGACCGCATCTGCACCGCCGCGCCGCCCACCATGAGCTTCCCTATGTTCCCCCAACTCGGCACCCGCATCAGCGAGTTCAGAGTGACGATCCCGCGCTTCAGCATCGTGCTGAGGTACAACGTCGCGGACATCACCTCGGACGCGGACGTCGCCATCGCCGCGCCCGCCACCCCCATCGCCTTGATGAACCCTCCGCCGAAGATGAGCAGCGGGTCCAGCACCAGGTTCACCGTCTGGCTCAGAAGCGTTATCTTCATCGGCGTCGTGACGTCCAGCGTGCCTCGAAACGCGGCGAAACCGACGGTGGAGACGATCGCGGGGACGAACGTCAGCGCGCGCCAGCCGATGTACGGCGCCGCCATGGCCGCCGTCTCTGCGGGCGATGGATGGATGATGCCGTGCGTCGGTCGGTCAGTTGAAAGGGGATCGGAAGGGGGACGCGATCAAACGTTGAAACCGAGCGGCGGGTGAAAATATGCACGCGACGCACCCGACCCGGGGACGACGCCGACGACGGACAGCGCGCCGGCGCGGAACACGGTCAACAGGGCCATCCCGAAGACGCCCACGAGAGAGGCGACGAAGATGGCCTCGCCGGTCGCGCGCTGGACCTCCTCCGTGTCGCCGCTCGCCGCGGCCTTCGCGACGACGGGCGCTATGATGGACGGCACGAACGAGATTATCCAAAACGCGCTCTGAAACACTTGGTTCGCCGCTCCCTGCGACGCGAGCGCGACCGCGCTGCCCATGCGACCGACCCAGAAGACGTCCACGGCGCCGACCATCGGGATGATGAGGAAGTTCAGCATCGCGGGGACGAAGAGCTTCAAGATTTGCTTATCCAGCGCGTCGTTCGCGGGCATCGCGTCCCTGACGAGCTCGTCGAAGGTTTTGGTTTTCGTCCCCGCGCCGACGTCGTCGTCGACACCGGTACCGGTCGACGACGACGTCGGCGCGGGGACGAAAACCAAAACCTTCGACGAGCTCGTCAGGGACGCGATGCCCGCGAACGACGCGCTGGATAAGCAAATCTTGAAGCTCTTCGTCCCCGCGATGCTGAACTTCCTCATCATCCCGATGGTCGGCGCCGTGGACGTCTTCTGGGTCGGTCGCATGGGCAGCGCGGTCGCGCTCGCGTCGCAGGGAGCGGCGAACCAAGTGTTTCAGAGCGCGTTTTGGATAATCT